TTTACTTGTTTGTTTGTAATGTGCACAATTAAGCCATGTGACTATGTAATGCCCAATGTGGTTATTGTGGTCAAACATTTGACTGCACTTCTTCAGACAATCCAAGCCTTGTTTTCAATGTTCAGAGGAAATTGAGGAGCAGAGAATTGTGGAGTGTCGCTATTTCTGTCCAATATACTCAAGTCTGGTTCCACGGTTGCCTACAAAACCTCTTGGTTTTATGTTTTAGTTTGAACACCAAATAGTGTCCAGGCTGAAATATAAGCCCTGACTATTTGACAGTGAAGCTGATTTGGAAAGACAATAGAGTTGATATTCTGGAAGGATGAGATCAAACAGATTCTCTTGAAGGATGAGTGCCAATCACACTAATGCTAGAGGTTTGGAATTGGCCCAGTAAAAGTGGTCCATGACTTGTCAGTCGAGGATGCAGATAGAACCTTTCACTGTACAATATTATTGTGGTAATTGTGTGTCCATTTGTAAAATGGATAATTCCTGGTTCTGAACAGTGATCTACGATGATCGTTTACTGTTCCCTCCCTGACAATTTTAATAACAATTGATGGCTGCACTTTCAGCCACTATGCCCTGAAAGTCTGGAACACTCTTCCTCTATCCCTTCTGCCTTGCCCCTTCCTTCTCCATCTTCAGGTCATGCCTGAAGACCTTCCTATTCAACCGTGCCTACTGTCATCTCCTCCTCACCCTGGCTCAGCATAGTGCTCCTCCACTATCAAATGCTCTGGGATGCTACCCTGAGCGAGAGTCACTGTATAAATGCAAGTTGTTGTTGTTGATATCTACACAAACCCGCTGACAGCAATAGATCACTGGTTAGCGATCTTGAGCCGGATATGTGGAGAATTGTCCTCCAGTTCGAGGTTGTAAAACGGGCTGAATTGCGCAGTACGCTAGGAACATTTAGCTTTCACCAAAAAGAAACATGAAAAAGCAAATTAGAAAGATCCAAAGGAGAGCCTGACATAGTAGATGAAGGTCCTGTTGAGTCCGACATCATATCACGAACACCAGAATGTCACAGGTTTGATTCAGTGCTGTGTAAAATAATTTCACTTCACCCTGCATTGCTCAACTAGAGACCTGTTCAGGTGGATTAAATTGACTTTTTGGGGAAACCAAGCAGTACATCATCATGAGTTACATCACTAAGCCACAAGCATTAGAAAGGTCTCATATGTACTTCTTGGTTTGTGTTGAGTTATTTGATCTCAGTGGTAGGACATGAAAATTGTCTTCTCAGCTACAGAATGCAACATTTTTCCATTTTTGACCCTCTGTACTAAGCTTCTAGTCTTTCCACAAGATGTGTGTGAGAGTTGGAATTATAAAAAAGTAGGGTAAATATTGCTATTTTTAGTGAATAATGTAATGATGGAATCCTCTCGAATGATATTTCATCTGCATTCCTCTAAATTTCATCCACAAAACATACGGTCAATTGACTTTACTCTAAGATTACCTAAAAAGGGAAAGGTTTTGAAAATGAAGTGAATGGATTTGGGTGAAACCTGCAATATTTTGCAACATTCAAATAGTGAAATGGGATTTTTAACATTTGCTTGAACAGACAGAATGGTCCTTGAATTAATGCCCACAAAATATACAGTCAATTCACTTTGCAGTATATTCTGGGAAACGCTTTGAGACATCTTGAAGATGTGATAAGGTGCTATATCAAATACAGTTATTATTATTACTATTATTATCATAATGTCTCACGTGAAGGACAGCATCTGCAGTAAAGTTGGAGTGTCAGCCTAGACTAAGCTCAATACATTTCACATGGTCCCTAATATTTGGAAATACACATTTTACTTTTGAAGGATTGGTATTTTTTGCACCGACAGTAAATCATTTTTTTTATAAAATACTGTAGTTTGATCACTGCAAAACGAAATGTCAGTTCATTTCTGTAGAGCTTTGTATTAAGAATCGCAATAAATTTTTATTATGTGTGGTAAAATGTTCATTGTTACTAAGGACATTGTGTTCTGTTATATGGAAATGTGTCTCCTTTTTGTCAGTCATCAAATGTTTTTTGGATCCTGTTAAATTCTTTTAAGAACTACAAAAAATAGCTTCAAAGTTAAGACTGAATTCAATAATTTGCCAAATTCTGCACCCTCCTGGAATGTTACATAAATCTAGACACAGGTGGAATCTCTTCTATTATATGTGAGAAGTATTCAAATCCTACCTTTTTGAATACGCTTGTAGCCAAATGCCCCTCTTCCTTGCTCGGTGTCCAACTCCATCCCTATCAAGCACTCAGAAATGTTACCCCATGTCAGAGTGGTCCAACTAGCGACCCATGGGACGATTTCATCCATCGCACCCCTCCCCCCACCCCCACCTCCATTTCATCTGACTCGCCCGCTCCCTTCTTAACCCAGAAATGTTGCTATGTTTCTGTAAGGTAAACAGAAAAATATTGCTTTTGCGGCCCACAAACATTTCTCAAATAGGGTATCAGGCATTCAGCAGCCATATGGTCGGACCACCTTGCCCTAGGTGAAGGCTCTCTAATAAAAGTTGATGTTGTTGCAGTAATGTGAAGATGGTAAGATGGGTATTCTGAAAGGACAAGATTATCTGAACCCCTCTGGTGAGGGTGCCCATCTTCGTGATGTACGCTCTATATTTGGAACATGGAGTTACCAGGAAATGTGAATGTGCAGTCCTGTAGCTCAGTGGTTAGAGCATTCACCTCGCAAGCGAGAGACCTGGGTTCAATTCCTGGCAGGGCGAAATCTTGGGCAAGTTTTCTTACTCCACACGCCTGATAATAATCCCTACAGAAAAAAATCCAATAATAAATTGTTCACTTCAATCCACGACAGTTTGTGGGACACTGCTGTGCGTAATTGGCTGCCGCGTTTCGCCCAAGAAATATACAGTCAATTCACTTTACAGTATATTCTGCAAAGCGCTTTGAGATGTCTAGAAGACATGAAAAGTGCTATGTTAAATGCAAGGATTTTATTATTAATTTATTGGTAATTTTCACATGTGCCAAATAGGGTTTGGTTTTGGATTGCTATGGAAAATCACATGAAGGGACAATAAGCATACCAATAATGGAAGTAGGATCAAAGAAATAATTAAATGAATAAAACTGTGAGCACAAAATTACCTCTTTAGGCATTTCCTGTTCCCCACTCTGCCAATTTTCTGCTCATATTCAAAGCTTGCATGCTTCTACAAAACAAAGGTGAGACAAAGGTGTGTATTTATTGCTATGCTAAAAATGTCGGTCTGCATTATGCTTTTGAGGTGGCGAAAGCAGCTGTGACTTGCCAGCCAAGATTGCTGACAGAATCTTTCACTGTACAATGATGTTGTGGTAATTGTGTGTCAGTTTGTATAAGGAGCAATTTCTGTTTTTGAACAGTAATGGGCAATTGTTGGCTAGTCTTATCCTTTCATGACAAAACCATTTTTCCGACTTGGCTTATAATAATAATCCTTGCATTTGATATAGCGCTTTTCACGTCTTCTGGACGTCTCAAAGCGCTTCACAGAATATACTGTAAAGTGAATTGACTATATCTGTGGGCGAATCTCAGAAGCCAACTACACACAGCAATGTTATGAATTGAGTGACCAAATTATTATTGTTCTTTTTGAGGGATTATTATCCCTGGAAAAGCGATCCGCCAATCGACTAACAACTAGGTTCCTACTTACTGCTAGGTAAACAGAGGCGTGTGGAGTAAGAAAACTTACCCAACATTTTACTCTGCCAGGAATAGAACCCAGGTCTCTCCTTTGAGCTTACACTAATTTACGCTATGTATGTAAATTAAATATTGCAATGAAATAAGTGCCATGCAATCATGGTTTATTATATAATTAATGGCATAGTTCATTTTTTAGGTGTCAGCCTGGCTCAGTTAGTAGCTTTCTCATCTCTGAGTAAGAAGTTTGTGGGTTCACCCCCAACATTGGGACTTGAGCTCATAGTCAAGGCCAATGCTCCAATGCTTGGGGTGTGCAGCATTGTCAGAAGTGTTGACCTTTGGTTGCGATATCCTGACTAGAAATACAGTTTTTTTTTACAGTTGGAGTCCTGTAGCTCAGTGGTTGGAGCACTCATCTTGCAAGCGAGACACCTGGGTTCAATTCCAGTCAGGGCGAAACCTTGGGCAAGTTTCCTTACTCCACACGCCTAATAATAATCCCTCCAAAAAACAAAACAATAATAAATTGGTCATTTTCAATCCACGACTGTTTGTGGGATACTGCTGTCTGCAATTGGCTGCCCTGTTTCGTCCACAAATATACAGTCAATTCACTTTACAGCATATTTAGTGAAACACTTTGAGACGTCTAGAAGATGTGAAAAGCGCTATATCAAATGCAAGGAATATTATTATTATTATTATTATTATTATTATATTAAATACACTTTATAATAAAATCATGTGAAGTGTTTGTCCGACAGGATAAGGCACTATATCAAATGTAAGCATAATATCTATCTATATTATATAGTATTTAAGGTGTTTTGGCTTTAAATAGATGTAAAAAGTAAAAGTAAAAGCTAAGTAAAAGCGAGGCACCAGGTTTTTGAGAGTTTTGCACGTCTGCTATTTAAAAATATTGCTCTTAAAGGGCATGACTATTCTCTTTGGATGATTATTGGAAACATAATGACATCAGCAGTGCATTGTGGGCAAAGCGTACATGTCCAGTGAGCAGGAAGTGATTTCAGCAGCGTTTCCTGCACATCACGAACATGCAAGTGGTGTGCAAGAAGTAACATTAACAGTCAGTTGATGACCCAGAAGATAATAACATGTTGCGTCTTTTATTTTGCATCCCCCCTTTATAACACACAATTTTGGGATCCAAAACATCACGTTATAGTAGGGTTGTTGTGCGTCAAATAAGATTCAGAATGTTTTCGTGTTAAATGTGCAAAGAAGCTGATCCTGTATGTGTTTTGAATATGTTACAGGGGAAAACACGGGAAGATGTTATATCATGGAGAATGCGTGTGGATTCATGTTTTTCCTTTTATGTTGGTAAGTGTACAGTGTAAAAACACTGGAATAACGTTGAAGCAATGACTTTGGCTGGGATGAAAACAAATAGTAATTGACAGCACAATAAACATACGCTTATGTAATTGTGCATTGTAAAGCATGAGTCATTTTGAAAATCTTCATTAATCAAAGGCAAGTGCTTCAAAAGTCCCTGATATCTTTAAGTCCTGCTGGAAACATTTTACAACAATTACTGTATTGTGAAAACAGAGACACAAAAATAACTTCATTCTTTTCTGTTTCGCTAAATGTTCACGTTATCCGTGTGTCAAATTGTTGCCACTATAGCCCAGTTATTGCTGTTATCATGTATTTTCCTTGCAAAAGTACAAAGAAAAAACAAAAAGCATTTTACAATCTGCACTTTCAAGAGGAAATGGGATTTCTTCAGCATTAAGAAGGGACATATTATATTCGTCTATCACTCTCTCCAAGTAGGGAATGTGAAATTTCCACCTATTAGTGGCACAAATATACGGAACTCTGTCTGCTTTGGGTGCTCACCCAAATAAAATTGGGAACTCACTTCATGCTGTTTATAGGACATTACTTGGTGAAAATTGGCTCCTGTGTTTGCTTACAAAATATAAAGCAACTAAACTTCCTTTGAAGCACTTTGAGATGTCGTCCCAATGTGAAAAATGCCATATCAAATGCAAGGGTTATTACTCTTAAGCATGGTGATGAGTTTCTACATGTGTCAGACATCCGGCTGACAAACACTCAGAGCCTCATTTTTACTTAGTGTTTTTTTGACATACCTAATCAAAAGGCAAAATGCATCTAAATAAAGAACTCCGACTTGCAAATACAGAACAAATTCTGTATTTGTGCCACAGTGTTTTTTTAACCTGTATGTCTTCTAAAACTTTTTTCTTTCCCACAATTTTCCAGGAATTTTTTTTTATCTGCGTCATGTTGGTGGTTTCAATCCTGTCATGAGAGATGAAAGATGAGGCATGTCAGCATTGTCACTCAGACGTACAATGACATTTTTGAAACATAAAGAACAATTATTAATAATAATCGTCGAAGAACGACCCAAAGCACCTCACAGATATATTGTGAAGTGTAGTGACTGTGTATTTGTCAGAGAACAATTACTTTGTCCACAAAATATAAAGTCAATTCAATTTACAGTATATTCTGTGAAGCGCTTTGAGACATCTCAAAGATGTGAAGGTATTATTATTACTTCCATAGTCCAATATTAAAATTACGCTGAATTGCAGAAAATCCTTTAGAAGTCTCAAAGCTCTTTGCTTTACAGTATAATCTGTGAATAGCTTTTAGATGTCTCAAAGATGTGATAAGGCGCTATTATTATAATTAATTTTATTTGGAAATTAGTTCTGTGAAATTCTGAATCAAGACTGAAACTAAAAATATTCCATAATTCTTTATATAGTCGTCACTTATATAAAGACTAGCTGTACCCATTGCAGAAAAGCTTGCAACCAAAGGATCCAATATGGAAGGCAGATTTCAGTGATACCACTCACAAATTATTTAACATGCCATAAACACTGTGTGTACACCCTAAGCAAAACTGCCATACATGTGTGATGAGCTTGTTTAGGTCATAGTTCATGAACGATAGGAGATTCCCCCAAAAATATCCCCATGACACTCGCCCATGGAAGACCTTTCTAATGAGGTATAAATCCTGGGGGGGGTTGGGATCAGGGGGTGGAGGGCAGGGAGGGTAGGGGTAGGGGTAGTGGTCAGTGGGTGACCAAAGGCGTGGTCGAAGAGGAGGTGCCTTGAAGGAGGCAAGGGAGGGATTAAGGGATGAGTTTCAAAGTGTGGGGGCAGAGAGGCTGAAGGCCTGACTGCCGATGGTGAAGCGGGCCAAGCGCGGGACGTGGAGCAGGCTGAGCGGGGGGAGAAAATAGGTTGGTATGTTAGCAGGTCACAGAGGTCGGGTGGGGCAAGGCTGTGGAATCCTTTGAAGGTGAGGACAAGGATTTCAAACTTTTGTCCTCTGGGGGATGGGGAGCCAGTGGAGCTGGGCGAGGGTGGGGATGATAGAATCACGGATGCAGGAGAGGATACGAGCTACAGAGTTCTGGATGATCTGCAGCTTGTGGAGGGAAGAGTTGGGGAGGCCAACAAGCAGGGAGTTGGCGTAGTTGAGCCTACATTTCATGAACGCGTGTATGAGGGTTTTGGTGACCTGAGGTAGTGGCAGAGTTGGGCGATGTTGTGGAGGTGGGGGAAGGCAGAGCAGGTCATAGCACGGATGTGGGGTAGAAAGGCCAGTTGAGGGTCAAACAAGACACCAAGGTTCTTGACTGACTCAGTCAGGTGGAGTATGCATCCTTGTATGGACTAATTGGCAATATAAACCCTGGCATGGACTGGTTGGGCCAAATGGCCTGTACATTTTTTGTAATCTTTGTAAATTCTATACAGTCTTAAATTTTAAGACTAAATAGTCTTACTGACGTAGACTAAGGTGGAATTGGGGGCTTCTGATGCTGTTTGTTTCTACAAATAAAGTGCTCTGCTGAACTACAATCCGTGAAGTTAGGGCCCTTTTTTATAAAAAGTTATCCAGGCTCCACCCACTCAGTGCTGCCACACCAGCCAGCAGTCTTTGGAAGATATTGAGGTATTGCTGACAGGAATTTCACCGTTCATACCAAAAATGATTGTCACACGATGAATACCACTCCAGCATGAGCCTACTTCTACGTCTGCTAGGATTGATGTCTGTGACCCCAGGCGAGTGCTTACCAAGGCCACACTTGTCTCGAGAATGTCTGATCGAACCAATGGAGTTCTATGTCAGCAGATGTCTAGGCGAGTGAGAACATAGCTCGAACTATTAATTCAGCAAACCACTGTTTGTTTGCCAAGGTCTCTTCTTTTAATACTGACATTTATTTATTTGTGGAAGTAGAGGGCAGGGAGAATGTGAAACAGTTAATAAGATCATATGAGAGATGAAGAAAGCCCTTTGGCACATTTTAGCTCATCCGAAATGGAACAAAGGATGACAGTATTGAGAATTTCAAGAGAGAATTATTAGCAATCCTCCAGGTAGAAATGAACATTCATCTCACAATTCTCTTTAAATCTTATTTTGTCGACCACACTTTTGATCACAATTTCCCCCTCCTCAATCCCTGTCCTCTCCCCCAGGTCGGGCCACAAATTAACTGTGTGAAGCACTTTGAGACATTCTTGCAATGTGAAAAGTGCTATGTAAGTATAAATTGTTGCTGTTTTCTTTTGTGCAGAAGGGCAGATGCAATTGCTTGCAAAAAATATTCACATCAAATGACAGGACTTATTTGTGAAGGGCTTTGAGACATTTTGATGTACTGAGGCATGATAAAAATGCACATTTTTCCTAAGTCCTGTAGCTTAGTGGTTAGAGCATTCGCCTCACAAGCAAGAGGACCTGGGTTTGATTCCATGCAGTGCAAAACATTGGGCAAGTTTCCTTACTACACATGCCTCTGTTTATGTAGCAGTAAGTAGGAACCCTGTTGTTAGTCGATTGGTGGATCACTTTTCTGGGGATAATAATTCTTTCAAAAAAAATTAATAATACTTTGGTTCCCTCAATCCACGACTGTTTGTGGGACACTGCTCTGTGCAATTGGCTGCTATGTTTCCCCCGCAAAATACAGTCAATTCATTTTACAGCATATTAATAATAATAATAATCCTTGAATTTGATATAGCGCTTTTCACGTCGGGAGGACGTCCCAAAGCGCTTCACAGAATATACTGTAAAGTGAATTGACTATATATTTGTGGGCGAACGCGGCAGCCAATTGCGCACAGCAATGTCCCCCAAACAGTCGTAGATTGAAAATGACCAATTTATTATTGTTTTGGGTTTTTGGAGGGATTATTATTAGGCGTGTGGTGTAAGGAAACATGCCCAAGGTTTCGCCCTGCCAGGAATTGAACCCAGGGCTCTCGCTTGCCAAGCGAGTGCTCTAACCACTGAGCTACAGGACTCATATTCATATTCTGTGAAGCGCTTTGAGATGTCATGAAGACGTGATAAAGTGCTATATCAAATGCAAAGATTATTATTATTACTTCCTTTAGAGAAGTTTAAGATGTTGATGGGGATTTGGGGTATGGCATTATATAGCAATGTTTAGAAAATAGGATGACTAGACATGCTACGCTTTCTGATCTGGTAATACAGGTGTGTATTTAAGTTAATGTTAACATTTTGAATATTAACCACAATTGGAAATGTCTTAACAATTGGTATGTGTCTTTTAATGTTAGGTTTCTTTGATGTCTTCAATCCGTGCCGACTATACTTTACAGTGTGGTGAAAATGAATACTTAAACCAGACCACAGGCATGTGCCAAGCATGTCCCCAGTGCCAGGCGGGTGAAGAACCTGTTTCAGTAAGTTTATTCTCTACAGACGAATTTCTAAACTCCTAATGCGAAGAATTACAATATTGCTAATTCTCAGAATGGTACCTGGAATAAACAGTTTCTCTTGCCGCGTGTACCACATTGATCTACATAGACATAGAAACAGGAATAAGCTATTCAGCCGCTCAAGCCTGTTCTGTCATTTTATAAGATCATGGCTGATCTATACCTGTAGTCCAGTTACCCGCCCTTGCCCCATATCCCTTAATACCCTGACGTAACAAATATTTATCTACCTCCATCTTGAAAATGGATCCAGCATCCACAGCCTTTTGGGAGAGAGTTCCAGATTTCCACTACCCTTTGGGTGAAAAACTCCCTCCTAATTTCATTCCTAAATGGCCTAGCTCTAATTTTCAGGTTATGCCCCCTTGTTCTCGATTCCCCCACCAGAGGAAATAGTTTCTCTGTATCTACCTATCAAATCCTTTTATTATTTTAAAATCCTCAATCAGATCACCCCTCAACCTTCTGAATTCAAGGGAATGAACAGAGACCTGATAATTTAACCCTTTAAACCCTTGTATCATTCTGGTGAATCTGCACTGCACCCCCTCCAGAGCCAATATATCCTTCCTGAGGTGCAGTGCCCAAAACTGAACACAGTACTCCAGATGCGGTCTGACCAAGGCTCTATATAGTTGAAGCAATATTTCCTCTCCTTTCTATTCCAGACTCCTTGAAATAAAGGCCAACATCCCATTAGCTTTTTTGATAACGTTTTGCATCTGTGAGCTTGTTTTTAGTGATTTGTGTTCGTGGATACTCAAATCTCTTTGCTCCTCCACAGTTCTTAGTTTCTCCCCTTTCAGAAAATATTCTGTTTTACTATTTTTGGATACAAAGTGGATGACCTCACACTTCCCCACATTGAATTCCATCTGCCACATTTTTGCCCATTCACTCAACCTATCTCAGTCTCATTGTTTCTTCCTGCTCCCATCTACACAATTTACTATGCCTCCTAACTTTGTGTCATCTGTAAATTTGGATATATTCCTTCATCCAAGTCATTTATATATATATGTATATATATGTATTATATATGGTGAAAAGCTGAGGCCCCAGTACAGACCTCTGGGGGACACCACTTGTCACATCCCACCAATCAGAGAATGTTTCCCTATCCCTACTCGTTGTTTCTTGCCTCCCAACCAATTACCAAGCCACATTACAAGGTTACCACCGATTCACATGCTTTTATTTTTGCTGATAACCACTTGTGCGGAACCTTATCAAATGCCTTCTGGAAGTACATGTGGTTGACATCCATAGACACTCTCGTATCCACCATGTTAGTGACCTCCTCAAAAAGTTCAATAAGATCCATCAGACATGACCTAGCCTTCACAAATCTCTCATTGATTAACTCATATTTGTCCAAGTACTCAGTCACCCTGATGAGAGTTTCCAGTAAGTTCCCCACAACTGAAGTTAAGATGACAGGTCTGCAGTTATCTGGTTTCTCCCTCTTTAAATAATACAGTGACATTTGCAATTCTCCAATCCAAGGGCACAATTTACAACAGGTTCAGGTCTCCTCAACACCTCTTGCAAGTCGGGCAGAAATGCTTGAGGAGCAAGAAGTTCTTTAAAACAATCCAACGTAGTAAAATGATACAAACTTCTCACATCACCCATCCTTCTTTCATCATGTCACATCAATAGCAGATGCAGATGACTGTTTGACCATGCCAACGATCACCTCCCTACTTAGTGTTCGGTATGATCTCTGTAAAGTGCTGTGGCACGCTGCTACCCTAAATGTGAAGTGCTATATAGATGCAAGTTGTTGTTATTGTAGAGAATGGGAAGTTGACCTTGCCAATCCTACTCTTTGGCTTGCCACAAGAACAACAACATCATGCATTGACATAGCTCCCTTCACGCAGGATAGTGTCTCGGAGTGCTGCACAGTGGCTGGGTTGATGCTGTGCAAGGGAGCATGGTGAGGAGGAGGTGACCTTCAGCGTGTTCGAAGGGGCAGGTCTAGAGATGGAATTTACAGATAAAGGTGAGGAGGAGGGATTGAGGCAGCGAGTTCCAGAGGTTGGAGGTCTGGTAGCTGCCGTGGTGTAATAATCCAGTTGACTTCTCCTTAAAAGTTCCTCAATCCTTTTGGGGAAATGCCCAAACTTCCTCTGAAAAATTCTACCCACAGAGTTTGGGAACTCAGAAACTGTGTTGCCTTTCAGATTCACAGCTGCAGCTTTTTAAGACTCACAATAAAATCACAATACTGTTCTTTTTACGATTCACTATTTGTGATCAAAATTGTTGTTTTTATGCAGGCTGTAAGCGATAACTTGCCAAATTTATTACCTAACTAGCTTGATTCATGTTACAATTAAATATAATTGCCCTCTGAGGTTGGAATAACTTAAATGATTTCCAGACCAGCGCTCTTTTATCACATTGCTATTTTAGCTTTTCTTGTTGCATGTTCATTAAGAGTTTCTTAAGTCTTAATAACAAAGTCTTAAGCAACACTAATCTGTCAGGTGTTCCAGTTAAATTTCCTGGCACTTACTTCAGCAAACAAATTAAAATGCAGTGATAATTTTTCTTTTGTAAGAACAAGAACCTCATTGTATACAGTTGGAAAAAGATGGTAAATAGTCAGGGCGTACCTCAGTGGTTTTGTGTTCTGTCTTACAAAATTAAGACTTACAACTGTTTTATCATAATACCCAATACTATGTAGATTTACAAAATTACATGTTGTGAGTTGTGATTAATTACCAATAATATTGATTCAACAGAGCATGAATTGTATAAGTGGATTTCAAAGCATTTAGGCATTCGTTGGCATCAAAATAGATTGTTTTCAATCCAAGCAAAACTAAACCTGTTTTTAAAATAAACTTTCATCTTTACAATGAAAAATCGCAACAATAATTCAGAAAACAAAATGAAAGCCATTATCTTTTGTTAAACAGTTGTCATTTTCTTCTGAGGGAACATGTGTTGGAATTGTGTGTAGTTTTCCAGTTTGTATCAAAGGTATTTAGCATTAAACATTTGCAGAAAGACATTTCTTCTTATTTGATGCAGCTGCATGCTTTTAGAAAGCAGTGGGAAATGGTTCTGTGCTTATTAGTTTAATAAATTAAAATTGGCAACAACTTCAGGTCGCATTTTAGTTCTTTACGGGCCCCATTTTATGTTGATTGCTAAAAATGGTAACTTTTTAGCTACCTCTTTAAAATGGAAATTCCCATTACAAAATCATAGAGATAAGATTGTTTCTTTTGTTGCAGCAAACAGAGTTAACCACACAGTGCCTTCGTAGACTGATAGACATTACAGCGTAGGGAGAAGCCATTCAGCCTATTAATCTTATAGTGCCACTAGCCCTTCCACTGGAGTTATTTACCATAATCTTAATTCACTGTTCATTCCTCATACTTTTTCATATTGTTCCTCTTCAAGTATTTACCCTATTCATTTTTAAAAGTTGTTATGGTACCAGCACCCTGGGATGTCTATCTGACATGAAGGGCACTATACAAGTGTAATTTGTTGTTGTTGTAGCCAAGGTGACAACACATTCTTTCTTCTAATAATCTTCTTGTGTCAAGATTGATAACCCTCTTGCATCACCTTCAAGGCACTCCACGGTCTTGCTCCCCCCTACCTCTCCGATCTCATAACTCCATATCAGCCTGTCCGCTCCCTCCGCTCGACGGATACCGTCCCCCACCATTGTCGGGAGAGCATTCAGAATCTTCGCCCCCACACTCTGGAACTGTATCCTGCAATCCCTCCGCCTCACCCCCTCTCTTGCCTCCTCCAAGTATCGTCTGGAGACCTTCTTCTTTAACTGTGCCTTCAGCTACCCTCCTTCCCTTCTGACTCCAACTCCCAGCTTAGGTCCAAAACCCATGATTGTCTAGCACCCTGGGAAGTCTTTCCGACGTGAAGGGCGCTATACAAGTGTAACTTTTTGTTGTGTGCAAGTTTCTTCCAACCTTACTATAGAAGCAATTGGATAGCTCATCCTAACAATAGATTGGGGAGTGAGGGGAAGGGTACTGTTCCTGACATTAGGAGTGACGTATATTGTTAAGGCAGAATAAAGGAAGCTTTCTTCTGCTTGTAGGATGTTATATCTGACCTAGTTGCACTTGGAGAACCCATTCGGTGTGAAGGGCACTATATAAATGCGAGTTGTTGTTGTTGGATCTTGACACTGGCTGTCCAAAGTGGGTTCCATTTCCTAGTAGTAACCCATCTTTATGATCAGAAAATGAAAGCTTGAGGAATTCAGGATTCCGTTCCTTTCTGCAAACTCCATTTATTATATACAATTTACGTAATTACAGCCTTTCACTTTGGGAGGACGTTTCAAAGCACACCATGGTGCTGGAAGGCCACCTGACCTAGGGGTGGGAGCCAACAGATGGAGAGGGAAAGAGGCCAAAAACATGTTTGAAGTTATATTTATATGAGCGTGATGCAGAGAATACTCAATGGGACATGATGATTTCTACTGCTTGTTGCGGATGGGTGGCCAAAGGTGAACGTTCTGCGTTGATCAAGGGTTGAAAAGTGAGGATTGATATGGAGTTTTGTTTATAAATTTTGGGGATCAGAAAATATTTATGCTGAACCTACCCTTAGAATATTAAATAGGTGGGTGGAATCAATGGAAAGGCTGTGGAAGGAATGGGTTTGATGATCTGAATAGCCTTGTCTTGTCCAGTGCTTACTTTTATTGTCATTGCACATTGCAGTATGTACTGAGTTACAGAGGTGGCAGGTTCAGCTGATTCCTGACTGTAGATCAGCTTATGCCACATTTTCAAAATTTGACCCTGAATCTTAGTCGTAAGATTGCGACAAGGACTTGGAAACAGCAAATCCTGGACATGCTAGAACCAACCCTATGGAAAACTCTGCATGGACGTTGATCGCAATGACTTCCACAAAATCACCATCTAAATGGATTCCAGAGTCAAGACTGCAGCATATCAGGAATTTTTTTTATTTACAATTCCTCTGGCAAACCTCTCAAGGAGATAGCTAGTGACGGGCAGGGATTTCCCTAGGAGAATGGAAATGAAAATCAATTGTGGTACATTCAGTCTGATTTGGATATTGTTAAGCATGGTGATACATTGCCACATGTGTCAGACACCCAAAAATACCACTTTTTTCTCTCAATTCAAGGTATAAAAAATCTAATAGTATGACAAACTTACCTCAATCTCTGAAAGAGCTTGGGATCCTGGTGGATTTTACTCCCTTTCCAGATTTTAGCTCAACTTCCAGACGCACATGATATTTTTGATATTTCCCTCACTGTGCTGTTCAGAATTGGATTCCTAGTTTATGCACAAAAGCAGACAGGATCAGGGTGGAGGCAGTGCATCTTACTTTTATTTAAGTTAGCAAGGAAGGTTAAATTAGGAATTTCCACCAACAATCCTCCAGTAATGTTTAGCATAGTGGTATTACATATTCCAGGCAGGGCGAAACCTTGGGCAAGTTTCCTTACTCCACACGCCTAATAATAATCCCTCCAAAACCAAAAACAATAATTAAATTGGTCATTTTCAATCTACGACTGTTTGTGGGACATTGCTGTGCGCAATTGGCTGCCGCGTTCGCCCACAAATATACAGTCAATTCACTTTACAGTGTGTTCTGTGAAGCGCTTTGGGACGTCCTCCTGACGTGAAAAGCGCTATATCAAATGCAAGGATTATTATTATTATTATTCCTCTAATTATGATGACAGTAAAACTCGCATAAATTTGATCTGTATAAATCATATATATAAATTGCAAAAGTCATACATCTGCCCAAATCCCATTCAAGAGTTTATATTCAATGCAAGTTTGACTTAACTCATACTTTGCATCAGTCTTATTAAATGTATGGTCCCAACTGATACAACTTATGTGAGGTTTGCTGTATCATAAATAAGAATTATAACAATCCTTACATTTGGTATCGCACATTTCATGCCAGGAGGGTGTCCCCAAGCATTTCATTCGATATACTGCAAAAGTAGAGTGCCTGTGTGCTTTGTGAGCGGTATATGTGGAGTCTTGTAGCTCACTGGTTAGAGCACTCGTTTTGCAAGCGAGAGACTTGGGTTCAATTCCCAGCAGGGTGAAACCTTGGGCAAGTTCCTTACTCCACACGCCTGATAATAATCCCTCAAAAAAACAATAATAAATTAGTTATTTCAATCCACGACTGTTTATGGGACACTGCTGTGCGCAATTGGCTGCCGCATTTTGCCCACAAATATACAGTCAATTCACTTTACAGTCTATTCTGTGAAGCATTTGAGACGTGAAAAGCGCTATATCAAATGCAAGGATTATTATTATTATAAAATGTAAAGAAAAAAAATCGACCCCATTGCCTCTGGATTTCCTAATCATCAGGACCACATAAGTAAAATGAGAGCATAATATATTTTTGCTGGTATCTGCATGGCAGTGCTGTACTTTCCCAGCTAGGATACTTCAACTGAGTAAAAAGCATCTTCAGACTTTCAGTACATGTACCTTTTGTGTTTCAGAACTGTGGCTATGGAATGAAGGAAGAATTCTATGGCTGCAATCCTTGCCAGAATGGAAAATTTTCAAAGGGTGTGTATCAGATCTGTAGAAGACACAGAGATTGTGAGGGTTTTTTTCGAGCCACTGTGCATATATCAGGCACTTCAGAAACTGATGCCGAATGCGGACCTTGTTTACCAGGGTAAGTGCTGTTGATTACCACTCTCTGCACATTCTGGGAGCAAAGTATTCCAAGCCAGAAAAAAATATTGGCTTTACTGTAGACTTCTGAGATTGATTAAAACAAGTAAGATCTGAAAATAGAGATCAAGCACAAATAGTTACTCCACAGTGGGACATGGAGCCATCTTACTGGAATTCTTGCTACCGTATCAGAAATAAGCATCATAGTCTATGCTAGTTAATGCTCCAGTGCACTGCTGGTGGAGCACTTCATTGTTGGAGGTGCTGCCCTTCAGATGAGATATCGAACCACATCAAATTCACTGTCTCCCTAGCCAAATACCTCAGGATTATTGTGGAGGGCAAAGACAACCCCAAGCTTCTCTTCTTGACTATGACAACAACAACAACAAATGTCAATAAAACCAAAGCTGTCCTATTTGGTCCTTACTAGCGCATTCTCATCTCTGCCCACCTCCTGCTCCTCCCCTTGTTTGCTGTCCAACCCCATCCTTGTAAAACACTTGAATGCGTTACCTTACATGAAGGGTGCTTTATAAATGCAAATTGTTCTTACCATTGACAATCAACCTCCTCATCTTCTGATTCCAACTCACTGAGCCAGTGTGCAATCTCTTAATTTTGTTCAACATTTATCTCTCCTTTAAGTCTTTCATCTGGTACTTGATCAAGTCTACTTTTTTCCCTCTCTGCAGTATCACCTCTCCATCCCTACCTTATCCATTGTAGTTGAAACCCTCATTCATGCCTTTGTCACCTCCAGACTTGGTTTCTCCAATGTTCTTCTCTTTGGCCTTCCACTCATCCAGTGGTCCATTCCAAGCAATTGCTTAGCTTTTATGTCTGTTCCTTCATCAAGCAGTGATTAAGGCAGTAGTACACAAGTGACAATATGACTTTATTTATATTTTGCTGTTTGCAACTGAAAACTACCGCCATCCATTTGGCCTTCACCACATCTGTGGTCTGGCACTGACTCCAATACCACTAACCACAAGCGGTTCCTATGTTTCTCATTCGAGTTGCATGTACTGGTTATTATCCTTTGGAGACGTTTTCGAAAACAAGAAAAATGTATCACACAAGAAAAAAACAGATTTTATTCCCAGTTTCACCCAACAGTCCACCTTGGCGATGGTATCCATATGTTTATTTTTTCAAGATTGTTAGTTGAAACTACTTGTGCCAGGACCAGAAAAATGAATCTTGTATTGGATGTAACATTATCATAGTTCTAGTTGTAAACTCTATGGAAATTGTTCAAATCACAGTCTCGGGTACTACTTTTATTGCAGTGTGAAAATTGGCTGCCACTTTCGGCCACAATAGTCTTAAAGGCAGTGAAGGAACAAAGAGATCTGGGGGTTCATATAAGTAAATCTTTGAAGGTAGCAGGACAGGTAGATAAAGCTGCAAAAGAAGCATACGGGATACTCGGCTTTATAAATAGGGGCATAGAATACAAAAGTCAGGAAGTTATGATGAACCTTTATAAAACACTGGTGAGGCCTCAGCTAGAGTACTGCGTTCTGGGCACCACACTTTAGGAAGGATGTCAAGGTATTCGAGAAGGTGCAAAGGATATTTACCAGGATGGTACCAGGAATGAGGAACTTCAGTTATCAGGAGAGACTAGAAAAGCTAGGATTATTCTCCTTGGAGCAGAGAAGATTAAGAGCAGACTTGATACACGTTTTCAAAATTATGAAGGGATTCGATAGGGTGAACAAGGAAAAACTGTTTCCACTGGTGGGTGGGTCGGTTACCCAAAGACACCGATTTAAAATAGTTGTTAAAAGAAACAGAGGGGGGGTGAGGAGAATTTTTTTCAGACAGCGAGTTGTTCGAATCTGGAATGCATTGCCTGAAGGGGTGGTGGAAGCCGATTCAATAACAACGTTTAAGAGAGAAGTGGATAATTATTTGGGGAGGACAAGTTTGCAGAGCTATGGGGAGAGAGCAGGGGAGTGGGATTGAGTTGATTAGCACTTTTCAAAGAGCCGGCACAGACACGATGGGCCAAATGGCCTCCTGCTGTGTTGTATAATTCTATGATTCTATGAATAGTCTACTCAGTTCTATATCCTGTGAAGCGCTATGGGACTTCCTCACAATGTGAAAGGTGCTATTCAGAATGTAAAGATTATTTATTAATTATTGGTACACTGGAGGCTATAACATGGGATGAAATCATTAAGCACTTAAAGCAGTATAGCCAATATAGAACACTAACAAGTCAGGTTTTGTTTGACCAACTCGCTAGCATTCTCTGAAGAAATAACAGATTGGCTGGTTAAAGAGTGGATTTCATTTGGTTTGAGTTTGAGACAATAATGGCAGAAGACTTTTGCAACAACACAATTTACATTTGTATTGTGCCTTTCACATTGGGATGATGTCTCAAAGCACTTTAGGCAACTGACTAAGAGCCAGAAATGGAGAGGGAGTGGGAACCCTGTGTTTTGAAGGTGGAAGAGGATAAGGTTGTGAGATTCCGCCATGCAGTTCCAGAGATTGGGGTCAGAATGCCTGAAGGCTTGCCCACTAATGGATGGTCTGCTGTTTGTGTAGGTGAAAGAGCTGGAGAGTCCGGAGAGTAGGGCATTCAAGTACCAAATACTGTGGGTGATGAAGGCAATTAGGGTCTCAAAGGATTAGGGTCTCGCTAGCCTGTGGAGAGAAGCAGACAATGCTATGGAAACACGGGTGAAGGGAATGCAGAGCGAGCCCAGATGTAAGGTTTAAAGGTAGATGTGGGGGGGGTGGGGGGTGGTGGTGTGACGATTGTCAAGCATAACACTGCATCTCACTGGCTCCATGAGATGATGAGCACCCATGCAGATCAATGTGGTCAGCACTGGAAGTGAGAAGATGAGAGCCAAGCAGTCTTCTCAACATTGAGCTGTAGAAAGCTAGGATTCATCCAGGACTTGAATCCAGATGATCAAGGAAAGAATCCTGAGGGATGCCACTGGTGATATAGATTTATAAACATCCTGGCTGAATGCCATTTCTTCCTTATCAGGAAATTATGCAGAAAATTAGTTGTTAACCTGAAGATAAATTCTTAGTCTGAACTAATGTTGACTTCATCTGGGATTCTTTTGTCAGCCAGACATGAGGAAACCCATCACCACACTTAAGCGTATCCAAACCAAACTGATAGTTCCATGCTCCCATTGTACATGACGTTCCAAAGATGTTTACTGGAAAGGAATGTACCCTGGACAGACACATCCTGTTTTCCTAACTCTGGAAACTATTAAACTGACACTAATGCTCAAAGCAATGACGTGGGGTTTAAATCCACAACCTTCTGACTCGGAAGTGAAAGTGCTACCACTTGAGCCAAACTGACACACACACATTAAGGATTATGGGAAAAGAGTTTCAGGGGAATTCATTAGAAAACAGTGATTTAGAAAATATCAGATGCAGTGGCACAGACACAATGGGCCAAATTTCCATCCTTTTGTTTCTCTGTTGATATCCCCTCAGGCCTCTGGCACTGTCCATGCATCTCTGATTTAATTGCTGACCTGATTATTTTTTAACAAAACCTTCTATTCAGTCAAATGCTAATACAATTGAATGTCTTCAGGAATCTTTTACACAGCTTTAATTATCATCAGAACATTACCACTTTCATTTGGCTCCACAGGGAAAATGACAGTAGAACCTCTTGTTATCCAGAAACCGCAGGACTGGACAATGCCCATAACCTTATAACTTTGAAGTCTCAGTAGTGTGCATTGTTTTCCATGAACCTCTTTTTGATGTTAAATCTGGAGTCTAATACATCCTGACTAAACATAACATTGTGATAATTATAATGCATGATAAAGTTACAGTTTTTTTGAGTGACAAACTGTTCTTGTTCTTTAACATGAGTAGAAGCTTATTCATTTGCAACCAACAACACTTGGATTGTTCCCTGGGCGCTTGCTTTGCACTGTTGTAGGATTATATTTTCAACCAGACTAAAGGAACCCAACAATGAAGTGCAATTAAATTACTTTGTTTTGAAAATTATAAATATAGCATTTTAAAAGCACTCACAACGGGGCCATAATACGTGGTATTCGTAACTAGGATTTCTAAAATATTCAGAGATATAGCATCCTGATGGCAACCTCGCGAGAGTCCTAACTCAGATTAAAAAGTACATTAAGAAATTGTGGAAATTTAGCCCCATGGATTAATTTTGTGTATTGTTGTTACTACCTTCTGTTTACGCTTAAATAATAATAATAATAATAATAATCGTTGCATTTGATATAGCGCCTTAATCTTTTATAGGACATCTCAAAGCACTTCACAGGATATATTGTGGATATATATATATAAAGGATATAAGTGGATTGAGATACTGTATTTTGTGGGCAAATATGGCAGCCAGTTTGCGCAGTGTTGCACAAGGAGCCATGGAGTGAACTACAAATACAGTATATGAAACAAAAACATTTGCTCCAATTTGGACAGTGTTTTGAAAAATTTACCCATTTGATAAATTCATATTTTCCAAGTTGGAATGAAACTGAGGATGAATGAAAACAATTTTGCCTTGGCTGAACATGATGCAGATTAAATGTGTAAGATTCAGAAAACCGCTTTAATAATCTTGGTATATTAAACATTGCCTTGTGTTCCAATAATCCACTGTGCTACTGCTTTATTTTCAGTATGTTTTTGCTAACTTGCAGGTCTTTTTATTCACAGTTATTATATACTGGATAACAAATCAAGGAATACCTACACAATGGTTTGCCATTCTTGTTCATTGGCACCTCCTAACACAAAGGAATGTGAGTAACTTTCAGGAATACAAGTGGTTTCTTTTGAGTCATTTTCTTTTGTGGCAGTCGTTGGTGGATTAATCTACCAATGGGATCCCGAGGTAGAAAAATTCATGTTGTAGCCTTAAGAGTATTATTACAGTAAAGTCCTGATAACTAGTCACTCCAAGGGAAAAAGGCTGAGTGACGAGTTATCCAGAGTGGCGAGTTGGGCATATGTATAAATACATAAATAAATGCGGCCAGGATAATGACAGAATGATGCCTTAAGTATTAGTGACAATTCAAGAAAGGGTTGAGTTATCAGGAATTTACTGTATTAAAATCTAAGATGGTGTGGAATGTGAAAAACAGTCTTCATTTTCCACAGCTCTTTTGGGGTATCTCAGTAAATCAACATCAAATTTAAGACCATTTTCCAGACTTCAATTTTATGTCCTTGGTTTTAAGACTAAAAATCATGAGGAATTTCTAGGGTGTGGTCTTGAAATGAAGCCAGAGTGAAGGGTTCATTTCGTTCTGACGAATTCAACCTACTATTCTCCACGGGAACGGTGAGTGGGGAGGATTTGGGGGGATAGTGAGGAGTCATGTGGGATCTCCTTGGAACTGAGCTGGCAACTTAATCAAGTCAACTTAGGGTTAGGGTTAGTGGTGGACTTTGTGGTCCAGTTCCTGACCCAGTTCTTGTTCAGGCGGGTCTGCAGTATTCCAGGACATTGCTGATGACACCCCAATCAGCCTGGTTCATCAGCAGTGCTTGAAGGGGCAGACCAATCACAGGAGCAGGGACTCTTCCCACTCCCCAGTCCTAAATTGGTAAGGTGGGTCTTAGCTGGATAAGAGGCGGGAAGCTTGCCAGACATCGCTCTCAATGGCAAGCTATATGCTTTTAGCTAGTTAAACTCCAGCCATACCCCAATACACACTTTGGCTGACACGAAGCATGGGGTGGGAGTTGAGGGGCATGGGGAAGGGAAAGTGCGTATTAGGGTATGGAATAAATACTCTAATACTTTGAGGAACTAAGTAAGCAGGGTGCATCCCTTCAGAGAGAATGCATGTTCCATTTCAGACACAAGGAAATTGACATGTGGAGGTGGCAAACTTATGTAGAACTTTCAGTTTGGTGATGGTTTTTCACATGTGTTCAGACACCAGGCTAAATGATCAACAGAGATTTTTGGCAATTTCAATCTGGTCAGCAAAGATCTATTTACTTCCAGTTTATTACTATTATCCCATTCGAGGACCCGAGTTTGTTTCCTGGGCAGGATGAAACCGTAGTCAAGTTTCCTTTTTCCACAGGCCTCTGTTTACCGAGCAGTAAGTAGGAATTTGGTTGTTAGTCAATTGGTGGATCGCTTTCCAGGGTAATAATCCCTCAAAAACATTTGGTCACTCAATCCATGACTGTTTGTGGGACACTGCTGTGCGCATTTGGCTGCCAATTGCGCACACAAATTGCACAGTCAATCTACTTTACAATATATTCCGTGAAGTGCTTTGAGACATCTCAATGACGTGATAAGGCGCTGTATCAATGTAAGGATTATTTTTACCTTTCATGTCCCTTCACAGGATAGAGCAAATTGATGTAACTGTGTGTTTTGTGGGCAAGCAGAGCAGCCAAATAGTTCACAGTAATATGCCACAAACAGCCATGGAGTGAATGACCAATTTTATTTGGAGGATTGTTAGCCAGGACAACGGTAGAAACTACCTTCTCTTTTTGAATCTTTAACATCCACCTGTGTAGTCAGATAGGGCCTGGGTTTAATCCGAAGGACGGCACCTCTAACAATGTAGCACACCCCCACTGCATTGGAGTGTCAGTTTAGATTATGTTGAATTACAAGTCCTGACATGGGACTCAACCCCATAACCTTCTGACTCAGAGGCAAGAGTGCTACCAACTGAGTCAAGTTAACAAAGTTAAGATGTTGATATAATTTCCTATTTAGGTTTTATTATCGCACAGTGACTGCAAAACAAACCCCCCAAAATATAAAAGTGTTTTTTGTCATTAAGTGGTATTAAACGTACTGACAACTAGGTTATTGTTCAACAGGTATAAGCAGAACAACACCTGCGAGTGTATCAAGTGGCACTATAGACACCATCGCAGATTCTCCCGTGTTACTTGAAACACACAAAGGTATGTCAATGTTGCTTGACATGGACATTTCAGTGCAATGTAGAATAAAACGCTTGGAACTTATTACTTTTGTTTTATGTACATTATGGTTTTGATGCCAGGAAGAGTTGTTGAGGCCAGGAAACTGGACTCATTCATGAAACAATCTGTTGTAACAATGGGAAGATCGTAGGGTTGGCATCTCAGAAGGATTAGATCAGAAGGGTCGAAGGGCCTTCTTCACACAGACCTATCTTCAGAGTCTGACACTCAGTCATTGAAATTACTGGGCTATTCTATTTCAAGTCCTGCTAACAATTGAGAAGCAGTTTGTAACTGGATACCATAGGTTGATTATGGCCTTAGAAATGTCACACATTCCGAACAAATAACTCCTATTGCACTACTATTGTCACTACATGTTGCCTACAAATACATTGTCACCACACTTTCCAGTAAATCTGTGCAGTGCTTTGAGACGCCCTCCTGAGATGAAAGCACGATGTCAAATGCAAGGATTATTATTTAATTTAATTTATTGTGACTATCTTGGCAAATATGTTGCAATAGCAGGATTACTACTGCACAATAAATACATCATCATCAGAAGTGTAAAACTAAACTGTCTCATGACGGTTTAATCCCAGCTCACGTTCCTGTTTTAGTGGGTGAACAATCCAACACTTGGTGAATTCTGCTCCACAAGAGCTAACATTGAAGGATCAAAAAGTGACGTCACTATGAATTCTTGGCTGCCACAAGCCAGTTAGTCCTGTGGTAACTTTTATGACACCTCCTGCTTAAAAGCCAAAAAGCCAGAGGGATTGTGAGGCCCTGCTCTCGTATTCATACTGAAAATCAAGATCAAGAAAGTTTTTGCCCTTCTGCTTCATGGGAGGTTTGTGTCCTCCCTGAGCTCTCCTTAGGACACCTGCGTTACAGTGTGACAAATGCACCTCCCCAGTCAAACTCCCCACATTTGCCACTGTCTTAGTTTCATCCTGTCAACAGATTTGCTCACTGTGGCATTGGGTCTAATATTCAACGATTCATTCAAAAGAAGAACTATTAATAGTGCAAATATTTTTAAATCTTATAAGTCTACCATTTAAGATGCTGTGAGGATATTGTATATTCCAATTACCAGAGGCTGAAGTGTGCAAAATAATGTCAGGACAAGAGAATGCTAACATTTAATTATTAAAGTAAATGCACAATTAAATGTGTACCTTAATTTCCAACCTTCTGCTTCTCCTCAGCAGATCATGGCAGACAAGGTCACCTCGGCACTGCATTGATAATTGCGATGTCCACTATATTTATAATGGCTGTAGCAATTGTCTTAAATGTCCTCTTCTACATTTTGAAGGCAAATAAGTCTTCAAACCAGAGTGAGTATAGTTCCAGATATTTCACTCATGAAAGGAATGTTTTTTCAGAACTGTTTCTATTTGAGCAGAACCTCAGTGCATTGTGTCTGTGATTCAGCTTGTTGCAGTGGTCACTCAGTGAAGAACGTTGAAGACCAAATCAATAAACAGGAAGACAAGAAGGAAGTGCAAGGTAAAACCTAGTCTGATGTTAACCTCCACAAAATATACAGTCAATTCATTTTACAGTATATCCTGTGAAGCGCTTTGAGATGTCGCAACGATGCGATAAGGCGCTATATCAAATGTAAGGATTATTATCATATCAACTTTACATTTATGACTTTCTCAAAACAATCCAATCTCCCACAAATACAAAAGCATCCCAACACACGCTTGCAGGAAAGATCCGCTTCTCCCCCCAACCACCCTTGGCCGACACCCCCAGCTGGGGTATCAAGTCAGTATTGTTAAGTATTTGGGGATGTCCTCCCAACATGAAAGGTGTTGTATAAATATAAATTTGTATTGTATTGTAAATCTGGACCCAGGAGGAATTTAGTATTGGAACAAATTAGAGTGAAGCTTAATAAAGTAATTCAGGTTTATTGTACAGGCCCTGATGAAATCTTGAGATTGAGGTGAATTGTGTTAAATGGCATCTGGACATATTCTTGTTCCTGTATATCAATAAAATCCCAAGATAGCTGGATTTCTCACAGGTTTGTATCGAAAACTGAGTCATGGCAATAAGCTGGTTGCTGTACCTGTGTTACACCTCTATCCTAAACTGACATTTAGAGGGACACTTGTGTAACACTGGTCCTTTTTATTAAGTGAAGGCAATGTTTGTAAGCCTATCCAGAGTGCCATAGAACACGCTGGTAAAATTGTCCACTCAGTTCAATACCTGACCTTAGATGTTCAGGGATGTGCTGATGTCTCTTTGCGGGACCCACTGAACAAATTTTGGAGCTGGAGCATGGACAGCAATGAGGAGGATCTGCATTAGACAAAGGAGGATGACTGATTTATACAATAGAATTACTGGTTCCTTTAATCAGCCAAACCATCAGCAAACAACATAGCAATTGCAGCAAGGCTGTTTCCAGGAAAGGAAATACTGTAGTACCGGTACTCCAGAGGTGTATAGAGGTGTACAATATACAACAGTTATACAGACTCAGTATCTCACTGTTATTAACTCATTCATTGCTGAATATAAGAGGAACTGTACTTTTTAGCAGGAGTTACTGGATTGTGATTCAAAATGTGAATCCATTGCCGATTTTGTTCCTCACTACCCTCACGGGGTAATGTATAATTAAACAGGGAGTCTCTGAAATACAAGTAAATGCTTACTTATGAAAAAGCATTGATTCCTAATGGGGCCCCTTTAAGGCTTTGATTTGAGTGGTATTCTTTCTTTTTCTTCCAGAAAATGTTGTAATATTCTCTGAGAAAGATGAATTTGAAAAGGAACTGAAGGCAGTGCCAGCTAAAACAGTGAAAAAGTAAGTCAACCGGCAATTCATTATGTTGTCACTATTCATTACAGTCATTGCTAACCTAGAAGTGTACATTAATGTAATGTGCAACACCAGAACATTTCTATGGTACTTTTATGGAAGACAATTCTGTTCTTAAAAATAGATTTTTTGTTTCCATCTGAATGCCCTGTGTTATAAATGCAGATTTAGTAAATGTTATAAGAGCTCTCTATGGATTTGGTAGAGTTTTGGCCATCCTACCTTGAAAAGAACATTAAGAATTCAGACAATAGCAAAGAGAATGGTTCTGGGACTTTAGGACTTTAAGTTATCAGAAAATAATAATTTAGTTACTTAATGTTTGATTGTTTGCAGGAGTCTGTTTCACTGCTATAATTTGTTTGGGGTTCAGATATTCAAGGCATTTGCAATTTGATATAAGCTTTTCGGTGTTTTTTTTTCACAGAGTAAAATTGCAGCCATATCATTCCCTATTGGGTGTCTATTTTGTATACTTCGCATCTACTTTTAGCCCAAATTTCTCTGTAGTTGCCTTAAGAAATGACCAGTTGTGTGGCGATTATATAATGACAATCTCAGACCCAGTTAACTTTAAATGATTCCTTCCTCCCCTCTATCCCACTACCCTGAAACAAATTTAAAGCTGTAATTCAGACTACAGTGGAGTCTTGTAGCTTAGTGGTTAGAGCACTCGCCTCGTAAGAGAGAGGTCCTGGGTTCGATTCCCAGACAGTGCGAAGCGTTGAGCAAGTTTCCTTACCTAGCGGTAAACAGGAACACAGATGTTAGTCGATTGGCAGATTGCTTTTCTGAGGTAATAATCCAATCAATCAATCAATTCACGTCTTTTTGTGGGAAAAATGCTGTGCACAATTGGCTGCCATGTTTTGCCCACAAAATATTTAGTCAATTTACTTTACAGTGTATTGTGTGAAGCACTTTGGGATGTCTCAAAGAAGTCATAAGGTGCTACATCAAATGTAAGGATTATTATTATTATTAGTTCCTTCAAAAAGAACAACAACTTGTATTTATATAGTGCCCTTCATTATAGTGCCATTTCACCCACAAAATATACAATCAATTCACTTTATGTTATATTCTGTGAAGCGATTTTAGACATCTTAAAGATGTGATTCGGTACTATATGAAATGCAAGGATTATTACTATTACTACCCCGGGTATTCACGCAGGGTAGAGTCTTGGAGTGCTTAAAGAATATTGGAGTGTGTAGAAATTGATACAGACTGAGGTGAACAAATGCTCCATGGTACACAAAGATTTGGGTGTCAGGAAGGGGAGGGGGCAGAAATATTGTCTGTGGAGGACAGAATTACATCCCAGGAGATTGGGTTGGGCCAAGTTCAGCATGGCATTTGGAGAAAACGGGATTGATGGATCGAATCTTGAAATGTGCAAATTAAGAATTTTACTACATGTGTCTTTCCAGTGAAAATGACGCCTCCTCAGAAAATGAGCAACTTTTGAGTCGGAGCATGGACAGCGATGAGGAAGCTGCGTTAGACAAGCGAGGGATAACTGATTTATGCCTCTTGTCACTGGTCCCTTTAACGAGAGACAAACCATCAGCAAACAACAGAACAACTGGGGTAAGGCTATTTCCTGGAAATACTCAGGGCCAGAGAAATAATAGTCAGTACTCCAGATAGATGTATATGGGTATGTCAACTCATACATTGATAAATATGACACAAGTTTTGTTTCAGCTCCAGATCATTGAGAACTCCATATCTCATATCTTTTCCCTTATTCGGGAAAACTCCATAGACCATCACCTTGCCCCTGCCTTCCAGAACCCTCTCCCTTAAATCCCTGTGCTTATCCGCTTTCAAAACCATTCCAACAACCTATAGTCAACTCCCTCCTATCCCATCCCAGTAGGACTCCTACTCTTGTTCTATGTGAAACCTTTAAATCATGTTCCTATATAAAAAGCGCTATGTAAGTGTATGTGCCTGTAGTGAGACACCTGATAAGTTATTCTCTGGTTGTTGCTAGTTTTACCTTTGGCCGTGTGAGCCTAAATTGTGAGTGACCAGCCATCTTCTCCCCCTCCCCTAGCTCGGGCTACAGTCAGCTGTGTGACTTGCTTTCAGTGTCCTCCTGATGTAAAAGAGGTATAAAGTGCAACATTTACAACTACAATTCACAGTGCTTATTACTATTTGCAACTTCTAGTTCGTGATTATCTTTTGGATAAAAAGTTAAACCACGGTCCTGCCTGCCCTTTCGGTGGGCGTAAAAGATCCCATGCCCCTATTCGAAATGAGAAGGGAGTTTCTCTCTCCCAGTGTCCTAGCCAACAAACCCCCAAATAAAATTGGTCACTCACTCCATGGCTGTTTGTGGGGCACTAATGTGCACAAACTGGCTGTCACATTTTGTCCACAAAATACGCAGTCATCCACTTTACAGGATATCCTGTGAAGCGCTTTGAGACGTCACGATGATGTGATAAGGCGTCATATCAAATACAAGAATTATGATTATTATTATTGGAGCCGGTATTTTGCTTTTGGGTCATTTTTATCTGACAAAAGATTCAAAGCTCCAAAAGAAGTTGGAAAGCAAAATACTGATTGCAAACAATGATAAAAAATCCTTGCATTGATATACTATATAGTGTTCAAACTTCTCAAAGCACCTCACAGAGTTTTCAGTAGAGTGTAGCAAACATGGCAGCCAATTTGTGCACAGCAATGTCCCACAAACAGTCATTAAGTGAAATGACCAAATGCAACAATTGTTATTATTACATTTATTTTTTAATAACTTGGCAAGCGGATCAAGGTGGATTCTGTTACTTTTGCAGACACAGAGCCGAAGGGAAAAGATTCTTGAACTGTGCAAGAAGATGTGCAGCGTTACAGAAGGTAACATCGGTCCATCTGCAATCTATTGTTTGAAAATTATTTCCTGAAGTCATTGTGTTAACTTTGAGCGTAAAAAAATAAAAATAAGTGGAGAGAGAACAATATTCGTACAATTGAGTTTGTTTCTAATTGGGTTTAAAACATTAGCTGTAATTTATTTGCTGATAATTACTCATTGACTGTCGTCTTTTATCTAAATTATATTTCACTTTCATGCACCTTTGATGATTTCAATAATGTGTTCACATTCAAAAAGTCACGTAAAATGCTTTTTCTCAATTGACTAAAGCTTTACAGTTGTCACAATAAAGTTGAAATAACGGCCACCCTGTTAGTCACTCAAAGCAAACTCTTTTTGCTCCCTCTCTTTTCGGCAGTTATTGTATTGTTCAGCAGATTCACTTATTGTAGGGTGAGTTGGGATGGGAAGCTCTTTTGCCCTGAATTCAACACCTTAGGGGACCTTGGAAAGAACTGGAGAACATTTAATGTCTGAGGTAATCAGAGAACCGAAGATGATATATCTTTTGAGTTCTAAAGAGTTTGTTTCAACGCAGCAAGTTATTATGATCTGGAATGCACTGCCTGAAAGGGTGGAGGAAACAGATTTGATAGCCTTCGAAAGGGAATTCGATAGGTACTTGAAAAGAAAAATATTGCAAGGCTATGTGGTAAGAGCGGGGCAGTGAGATTATTTGCATAGCTCTTTTAAAGAGTCAGCACAGGCACGAAGGGCCGAATAGCCTCCCTTCTGCCCTGTATGATTCTAATAATAATAATCCTTGCATTTGATATAGCGCTTTTCACATCTTCTAGACGTCCCAAAGCGCTTTACAGAATATACTGTAAAGTGAATTGACTGTATATTTGTGGGCGAACACAGCAGCCAATTGCGCACAGCAATGTCCCACAAACAGTCATGGATTGAAAATGACCAATTTATTATTGTTTTGTTTTTTGGAGGGATTATTATTAGGCATTATTCTATGATTCTAATAGATGAAAATACAATTTGCAGGGCTCAGCCCTACAGAGCTGCCTTTTGACTGCCTGGAGAAAACCAGCAGGATGTTGAGCTCCACCTACAGCACGGACAAAGCTTTTGTGAAAACATGGCGTCATCTGGCGGAGAGCTTTGGATTGAAGAGGGACGAAATTGGTGGAATGACTGATGGAATGCAACTTTTTGACCGCATAAGTACTGCAGGTTACAGCATCCCTGACCTGCTGACCCGGCTGGTGCACATCGAAAGAATGGACGCTGTGGAAGCCTTGTGTACGGACATTCTGGAGTGGACACAAGTTGCATCCAGAGCCAATCCTGCTGTGTTATCCAAAGGTCAGAGCTTGTAGTCACGGGGTAGGGAATGCAGCATGAAGAAGCATTGATCGTGGGCTAAAAATAAAACACTGTTTCTTGGGCTGTCTTATAATTGCCTAAGATGACAAAGATCACAAAGCGAAAGGCAATAGTAAATTACCATAAGAATGTTTTGCATTCAAGACCCTTAATTCCAATTGAAGACCCCAGCTTCATGGTGCATTTTGTTAATGTTTGCTTCAAGGAGTTATTGCACAGGCGCAACATTTAAAAATACACTACCATATATACAAGCCAGCATTATCGAGCACTTGCAAATGCAGAAACCTCCACACCCCTCCCTCCAAGGCTGTTCTTTTAGTGGTGGATTCAAGACAGAATGTGTGTTTGTCTCCCGAAAAATAGACAGGAACATTCTCGCACTTTAGATGTGCACAATAGAGATGTTGCTTGGACCTTCACATGCCCTTCCTTTTTGTAAAGATATAAAGAATAATCAGGCCCTAACACAAACAGGAATTGCTATCCAATGACATTCCTGTGGAAAGCAAGGTCATTCCCTACACTGTAGGAAAAGATTAAGAAGGAAAAGGCGCAGGGAAATGAAGAATGTTTACTGACTGTTGGAGAAGGGTCTCATTTTAATCTGCAGTGCACGATATGAGGTGTAAGTAGTAGCAAACCAGCCTCAATATCTAGTGTCCTGCTCAGAGGTCTCATAGCAATTTGAGTGTGAAACAAAAGCTGAGGATTTCTTTTATTTCATTATTTTTTGCATTAATATATGATTGCATGAAGTTATTATTTTAAAGTAATTGATATAGAGTGAGATGAACACAGAGTGAGGCATGTGTTTGAAATATGTGAACTTTATCACTGAAATGTGGACAGCGCCAGCTATCAAATGGGGATGATTCACTTTCACAGCTTTCATTATGCAGCACTTGAACAAACTGCTGCTCCTAAATCATGACAGATACACACAAACACCAGCAGCAGCAGGGATGGATTAACCAATAAACCGAGTAAACCATGGTTTAGGGCCCCGAGGTCCGAGGGGGCCCCAAGGGTTGAGAGTGTCTTGAAGACTGAGGGTGTCCTGAGGGCTGAGGGGCCCGGGGTAATTATTGACACCTTTACCTCCCGCTCAGCCCCACTGCCGGTCAGTCTCCTCAATGAGGCAGTGCATAGACCGTGGAGAAGACAGCTGGGAGGTAAAGACCCGAGCACAATTTAACACTAAGTTTTGATCATGTTTACAACTATGAAAGTCACGGAAGAAAGTATTTTAAAAGGTATTGTTGCATATTTTGCGTACATAGTTTAAAGGGCCCCCAAATGTGATCTGTTTTCGGGCCTTAAAATCCCTTAATCTGGCTCTGAACACCAGAGAAATACGTCAGACTTCACAGGATTCCCTAATAAGAAGTTAAAATTCTGGGTGATCAGCAGGAGCCCCGCTTCAGAAGTAGATTGAAACAGTTTAGCTTGATCACAACAACAACTTGCATTTATATAGTGACCTTCACACCGGATGGCGTCTTGGAGCACTTATGTAAAGAATTCCATATAAAAGAAATAATAGTTACACAAACCAAATTCCTTATTAAGTAAAACTGCGAAGTAACACCACAGATTTTAATTTTAAATCTTCAGAACATGCCCTAGTTGTTACTATGTGAGTTGCAGCCACGATGTTAATATAATTTTATTATCTGCCTTTACAGCCTTTAAATATTGCCTTTAATTATGATTTAAGCACTAAAGGCCCAAATGTCCACCTCCATCTGTAAGACTATTTTTGTCTTTAAAATTTAAGTTGTTGCAGAATGGTAGAAAATTCCTAAATTCAATCTTTGTTTGAATATAAATGCAAGTTGTTGTTTTTGTTGTTGTTGAAGCTGGTTTTCTAGTTCTTGAAAATAATCGGCACCTGAAATAAGGACTTAATTGAAGAATTTTTCGCCATTCTGCAACAGCTTAAATGTTAAAAGACAAAATGATCTTACAGGCTGACACTCGGTGGAATTTTGGGCCTTGAAAATTTGAGAGTTTATCTTTGACCAGGATTGCAACTATAACATTTAACATATCCTTCACTGAGATATTGTATATCTTCTATTGTAATCTGCCTTTATTTCCACAAATCTTTTCAGTCAGAAAGACCAACCAGTATTACTATAGTTTCACTTATTGTCAGTATGTTTTAGAAAGACATTGAAATATTGCTTTTGAAATTTACTGAGCTAGTCTCCTGTAGACTGCATGACAGGATATATTTACAGGAACGTAGGATTTATAGAACCAGAGAGGGCCACTGTGCGGTAATTCTAGTCGGTCCCAAAATAAAAACAATTATTGCATATTATTTTTTTCTCGTATTCCTCAATCATAGGCTCGTCCAGTCGTCTTTGTGTATTTTAAGCACATTTTCTCCCCTATAATTTAATGTTGTGTAATTTATTAAAATGTACATAAAATTATGAAACTGTATTGAATAACAGCAAGTACAAATAAACCTTCATTTGCATTTACTTTGGTCTGAAAACCTAGGGTCCCTAGTTGCCAGATATGATTCAGTCAGCTTTCTTCAATATGGAATCAATTGCAACACTTTTGGATTATTACTTTCAATTAACTAGCCTTTTAACATTAAAATGTTTAAGTTATGACATGAATGCTTTCCTGGAACTACTTAGAAATGAATAATAGGAATTGGTAATAAACATAGAGCAGAAATAGCTAACTTATGCGATAAGTTGCCATTCACCTATCTTTTCAATGAATGACAAGTTATACTTAACATAGGAACAGGAGTAGGCCATTCAGCCCCTCGAGTCTGTTTCGCCATTCTATAAGATCATGGCTGATCTGTACAATTCCCTGCTCTTGCCTCATACCTCTTGATACCCTTATCTAACAAAAATCTATCAACCTCAGTCTTAAAAATTTGAATGGATCCAGCATCCACAGCCTTTTGGGGGAGAGAGGTCCAGATTTCCACAGTGCATTGGAGAAGCACTTGAAGCATGAATAAAGGATATGGGGAAAAAAATCATAGGAATGGCATAGTAAATAGCAAGAGTTGAGTGGCATGATGGGCCACTTGAGTGCACTCTCAGAGACCTGGGTTCGATTCCCAACAGGGTGAAACATTGGCAATGTTTCCTTACGCCACACGCCTCTGTTTACCAACAGTAGGAACCTAGTTGTTAGTCGATTGGCAGATCGCTTTTCTGGGGGTAATAAACCGTTCCAAAAAAAATAATTTGATCATTAAACCCATGACTGTTTGTGGGACACTGTTGTGCACAGTTGGCTTTCGCATTTTGCCCACAAAACAGTCAATTCACTTTACAGTATATTCTGTGAAGCGCTTTGAGATGTCAAGAAGACATGAAAAGTGCACTATATCAAATGCAAGGATTATTATTAGTAGTAGTATTATTGTTACTATTATCTTAATGATATGTTTGACCCTGTGTAACAGATTGGAAATAGCACAATTAGATTCTGGTAAGATCTGCTTACACATCCTACTTTCAAAAGGACACTAATGTATTGGCATTCATACAAGTACAACAGAAATGTTTCTGATTCAAAAAGAATGGCTTAATGCTCTAAGCAATTAAAATTACATGTTTATTCCAAATATTATCAGATGCAAGGATTATTATTCTTATGTTCTGATATTCTGGTATTAGATTTTCTAATACCACAAGGCACATCTGCTGGGCCCCACTCTATTTGTGCTTTGGAATCAAATGCAATATTGCCTTAGTTGATGATGCCAACCTCTACTGAGTGTCGAACTCCCTTCAACGATCTGACCAAATTACTTCAGACAGCCATGGCTAGAACTGAAAAGAGGGCAGACAAATGATACGGAAACTGAAACCAACTCAATATTTTCTGTGGAAAACAATGAACACAACGTTACCCACATAGCCTCTCAGCAATCACAATCATTTATCTCAACAATTCACTTGATGATTACTTCCAAACTATCCTCCGGCAAACCAATATTAAATAAGTTAAAACAGTCGGGGGAAAAGTAGGAATCTTCAGGAAAGCACAACTTTGTTTTTTGCTTTTGGGATCCATCCTGGTGTAGAATACTGTAATCCTAGTTGACAGGCTGGAGAGGAAACCAGTCTCTTGCTCCTCAGATTACTCCAGTGGACTGAATAAAGATAGCCTTACTCCATGTCATAGTAAACACCAGACAGCATTGAGATGTGAAAGGCTGTCAGTCATCTAAAAGATCAAGACCAAAGGCATTGTCAATACTATATTTCACTTCTCCATATTTATGCCGGAAACTCAAGATGTACTTCAATAGCACCACAATATTAATCTAACTGCCAGTGCTATGCTTCACACTCTGCTTCTCCTGTCTGTGTCTCTCTGACAATGGAACTCAAACCAAATTCAGCGTTAAGCATTGCTAATTTAATCAGAGTTGTTGGAGGAGACATTTGAATGATCACAGACTTGCCCATTGGCAACCCAATGCAATTTCTTTAAGTCTTCTCCATTTCCTGTAGCCCCCGAGGGCAAAAGTATGAAATGTATGACAACTGTCTTATTAGTCATTTCCAGGAGCACCTGTTATATCTAAAAAAAATGAAAAAAAGGTTTGCAGAGTAATACTTAACTTCATGTTCTGAGACAAGTTTTATATGCTGTAAAATAAACACTCTTGAAGATTATTTCTAGGAGCTATTTACTGCACATGTCTGAACTAGATATATACCCACCACCCGAAGGGGAAAGGATGGCGTTTGTTTTTAAGTATTTTCAGATGAGTGGCTTAGAAGCATCTATTATTGGTCTCTAATAGTGTTCCTCAAGTGTAGAATTCATAATTTTATGTTACGCATTCTTCACATAGCAAACCTGAACACAAAGGTTAAAAAAAAGACTTCATGTCAAACACTTTACTTCAAGACTTCTGTTTTTAATCTGATACTTTATTATTGCTCAATATTACAATATGAGCTGGTGGGAAAGAGAAGAGCTGACTTATAATATTTCATTAAAAATCAGCAATAATGTTTGACAAGTATCTAAAAGACATAAAATGCTTCTACACATAGCATGGCTTCAACATGGAAACACCATTCAAATCGAACTATATACTCCTCTCATCCTTGCTAACATCTCCAAATCCCCTCTCCCATACCCCCTGAAGGCCCTTCTCCCTCACGTATGCATTAAGTTTTCTTTTAAATATTCTAATAGTTTTTGACACATTGAAACCATATTCCAGCAGCGAGATCCATATTCTCATCACCTTCTCATTAAATTAATTTCTCCTGAACTGCATTGTAGATTTGCTACTGGCTATCATATATTGTTGCCCCCAACAAATGGAAACACCCTATTAATGTCCACCTTATTAGATACTTTCATAATTTTACACAGCTCCATCAATGATCTCTTCTCCGGAGGGAAAAGCTGTAACCTGCCCGAAGATTTTTGGTAGCCATCTCCTCTCATCATCTTAATAAATCTACACTGCCCTGTCTACGATGCCACAATATTCCTCTAGTACAGCAATAAGAACTGCACAGTACTGCAAATGTGGTCTAACCAAGCGTTTGCATAATGTTAATAATGCTTCCCTACTTATGAATACCTATCAATCAATATAAATACTTGGATTCCTTTGCTCCTCTGCCCCTCTTAGATTCTTATTATCTGGGGTACAGTTGGCCTTTTTATTCTTCCTAGCAAAGTAAATCACTTCACATTTCTCTAAATTATAAACTTCACCTGTTACCTATTAGTATTCAGTATATTGACTGGTTGCCTCGTGTGTCAGACTCACGTGACCAAAGCAATTCAGAGGAAGCATTCAATTTTCAGGATCTTACTCCTTAAATGCAAAAATCTTCATTCATGGAAAACATCACGAAACATCCAGTTAAAAATTCCAGTGGTCAAGTGTTCTGCGATTACTAATTATTTCTAATCTAAGTGGGATCTCGAAAGGCAGGGGAACTACTTGCCTCAAAACGCACAGATTCAAGTGGAGTTTGAATTGCAAGATCCCCCAACGTTATTCTGACTGGTGGACTACACTCCGATTCAATGAACCCTTGAAAGTGCTATCTGCGTGAAGAGCACCACATATATGCAAGTAAATGTTATTGACATATCTTTGATGCTGCTTTTACCACTTTTAAAGACAGTAAATTGATTACATAGTAAGTTTAACAATCAAATCAAATGGATGGTGAAATCATGCATTCAAATGGTCCCTGGTGTCATGAGAATTAGGTCCATGTTTTGTCCAGAGTGCACTTGTAATCTCTCAATATTTTATTTTATAAAATAAGACCATTTGGCCCAGAAATCTGTTCCTTCCACAAAATAAAGCACAATTTACTTATTGTGAGGTTCATCCTTATTCAATGTCTTCTCTGGGGTAAAACCTAGAATGCAGTATCCTAATTCACCAACCCCCCCCCCCACCCAAAGGCAATAAAACAAAAATTCATTCCCACTTCCCAACCTACATGGACAACTTTGCCTTTTCTCACCAGGTCACTACACCCACCAAACTGTGTGCTGTCTATGGACCATTGTTTTCCAGCTCAGTTTATGTAACCCCATTCATGCAACCAACCACATTGGTTATCTAGTTCTTTTATTGAAAGGGTTAACTGACAGGCGCTCCTGCTACTTCTACTGAATTCTGTTCTAAATATCCACCGCTCAAATAATCACCACAGTACTGGTGGGTGGGTGGAAGGAAAGAGTTTCTTTTCATCTCATCATGCCTGAGGCTGGTTATTTTTAAAACCTATAGTTTTACATTCAGTCTAAATCAAAGAGCCAACTTACATCTGCATCATCTGTGCCTCTCAGCAAATAAAGGTCTGCACCTGGTGCTGCAACTGGTGTTCTGGAAGGAGCCTACAGCAAAACATTGGTTCAATTAGTTTAAGAAAGATACAACTTTTTTTAAAAAAAAGCACATACCTGTCGGGTAATTGCTCAACAATCTACATGTCTGAATGCCTACCTTACTTGCCTAAATGATGGAATGAACATTATTTATTTTACACATTTTCATTAATTAAACATAGAAAGTTTTAGGCAGAAATGGACCAGAGGTCAACCAGGTGAATGATCCAACTTCTCAAAATGATTCCTTCAAGACATTGATAATAATCCTTGCATTTGATGTAATCCCTTATCGTGTTATTGATGTTTAAAAGTGCTTCAAAGAATATTCAGTAAAACACACATAAGTCTTCTTTATAAATCGCATAATTGCCTAAGTCGTACATTCCCCCGAGTCCCATTCAATTTCCTGTTAAAACCACTTAAGATTTCTTAGCACTACTCTTATTAATTACCTCCTAACTCATAACGCCACTCCCCTACCCTCCATTACTCCCGTACTTACTTGGTTTGAATCATGGGAAATGACATCTTAATCAGTTGACGCATGCGCACTGACCAGCAGGCTGCATTGAATCGTGGTAAACATAGTCTTGACCCATCACCAAATGTGCACCAACTGCATTGAATTGTGCATGTGCAGTATAGATTATTGATTAAATTAGATTTTATATAATTGATAGTTTGCCTGCAACTCAGACTTTGCACAAGTTATTAAGTGTTATGGTCCCAATTTAGACGACTTATGTGAGTTTTACAGTACTGTAAAGTGTATGGGGAGCATGATTCTCTCAGGGAACCCCATCCACCACCACCTGAATGTATAATTTCTCAGCCACCAACCCGTCCTTTCATTACGTTCCCTGGTCTGTGAGGAATCACGAGTAAAGATTTGAACAAGAACCTTGTATCATCCCACATAATCAGTCTTATAACTCATATACAAATTATTTTACAGAGAAAAGGAGTCATACTTTAAATAATTACCTTTATTTACAGTTCATAAGGAAGCAGCATAATGTTTCCACTGATTTAATTTAAAAATTGCAAAATCTTAATTCTAACAATCAGAAAGAACAGTACGTACATTGAAATAAACATTTGATTTCAACAAACCAATATACCAATCATTATAAAACAAGTCCCAGAAAGATGCCCAGCCATTTTTTGTTTTAAACAATATACTTGTTAAAAAAGTCAATTGCTGCAGTAAAAATGGTTCAATGTTCAGTGATTTAAATGGCTGGTGTTCAAATTGCTGGTTAAAGTACTGCCTTTAATCATGCCTAGATTAAACAGAATCGATTGGAGGTTGATGGCCAGGAAAGTATGCTCTGGGTCTGTCGTCCTGTGCAGTTCTTGAATCAGAATGTGGATTGTGAACAATTCAAATAGTTTTTTATTGCTCCTGTAAAATAGGACACATTTCAATTAGTCTCTGGTCCAGTGAGATTATATTTGATAACTGGAGTCTGAAACATTTGGCTTTAAATAATAATCATGGCATTTGATATAGTACCATATCACATCTTCAAAACATTTCAAAGCAATTCACAGAGTTTACTGTAAAGTACATTCACTATATACGTAGGCAAATACAACAGTCAATTTGTGCACAGCAATATCTCGTATAAAAAGAATGACTAAATTTATCTGGGAATTATTGACCAGGGCACTGGCAGAAATTCCCGACTCTTCTTGAATAGTGCCATGGGATCATTAAGCTGGACATATTTGGATCACATATATGGTGTTGACACAGGTGTCCCTTCCAATTGAGATTTTCTAATTTGTAAAACTACAATGAGCCTTTTCTTAAAGGCACTATTGCATGAGCTGAAAATGTTTTACCTATCAATGTTGCAACATTTTAGTTACTTTAACAAAATTTTCTTCTTACTTTATTTTGGAAAGTTTCTGCAGGATGACACTGAGTTTCTCTAGTATTTGCCACTCCAGTTTAGGATATCTTAGAAGCAGAGAACAAGTCCGGAACCAAGTTTCATTGCTGCATGCTTCGAGAAAAGACTGCAAATATCCTATGTCAAACCAGAAAGACAGTATGATACTTATGTAACAACATTACCTCTCTTCACATATAAAATCTACATAACTAGAAAGCTGTAAAATTTTCAAATTGTGAAACTGGCAGATGAAGGTTGATGTTGAGAAATATAAAGTAGTGCATTGAATGGGAAAGAAGAGAACTTAATTGCTAAAGTTCTTTGTGATAAGGGGGAAACACAAGGTCTAGGGGTACCTGTACACAGATCTTTAAAGTGAGAGTAGAAAAAGCCACATCACAGTAGTGTCACAATACTACACCAACGTGTTCTTAACGCAGCAAAGTAGCAGAGTCCCATGACATTCACTCTTATTTAAAAATTGTCCAACAAAAGACCATAAAACACAAATGAGATTCTGGGATTTACACAGAGGAGACTTTTTATACAATAATTCTTACATTTGATGTAGCACATTATTACTTTATCAAAGCATGTCAGGAGGATGTGCCAAAGCTCATCACAGGATATACTGTAAAAAGTGGAGTGACTATATGTTTTATGGGGAAACATGGCAGCCATGAAGTGAACATCCAATCTTATCCAGGGGATTGTTGACCAGGACACTAGAAGGAACACTGTTCTCTTTTTGAATAGTGCCATGGGATCTTTAACGTCCACCTGAACAGGCAGATGGGACCTTGGTGCAAAGTAGGTTCACACAGATGATACCAAGAATGAGGAGGGGTTAAAAATAAATAAAAACGATTATTGTAGTAAAGGGCTTAAACCCCTCTTCCGTTCATCTAGAATCTCTCCTCGACTTTCCTCAACCAATTATTTTCATCTTCTAAAGCAGTAAAGTTTGCTATGACAGGCCTAAACCTGAATTTTTTAATGAAAAATAAACAGGAAAATCCATTCTCATTAATATATTTTGTTAGACAACAATCAAAGCTGGCAACTAAAATTACTGGCACAGTACAACCTAATAGCAGTGGACGAGAGAAAACTGATCTGAAATGCCGTAGGTTGTGCGTGGTTGGAAAGACGCACTGCATTTCTGTAGCAATTGCAATAATATGTGGATGATAGATTTTAAAATGCAGTGCCAAGAAAATTGTCAAATATTTTTATTGTTTTCCTATCCTTAAGGTTCTAGCTCTTGCTGGGGTACTGTTCCTCTGGATGTCCCTCTGGTATCTCATTCACAAGTTAGCATTCTTCACACATGAGACCAATGAATGAGTGTTAATTATGATAATAATTCTCGCATTTGATTTTGTACCTCTCACGTTGTTGAGACGTTCAAAGCGCTTCACAATATAGACAATAAAGTGAACAGACTATATTTTGTGGAGGTTAACATCAGACTAGGTTTTACCTTGCACTTACCTTGCTAAATACGGCAGCCAATTGCACACAGTAGTGCCCCACAACAATTGTAGATTCAGTGGGCAATTTTTTTTGGAGGGATTATTAAATTTAGGTAGCGATCCGCCAATCGACAAACACCCGGGTTCCTAGTTATTGCTAGGTAAACAGAGGCGTGTGGAGTAAGGAAACTTGCCTCAGGTTTCGCCCTGCCCGGGAATTGAACCCGGGTCCTCTCACTTGAGAGGCGAGTTCTCCAACAATATGCTGCAGGATTCCATTTGATAACAGGAATAGAATAGCTAAACTCAATCCCGTTCTTAACCTAAGATCACAAATATGTAATTCTTCCAACAGGAATCAGGTAATAGAAACCTAGCTGACTTTCCCTTCTCCCCACCATGCCCTACCCCCACCACCATCCTGTCCTCCCTCCCAAAGCAGATCACTGAGGTCAAATACAGTGGAGTCCTGTAGCTCAGTGGTTAGAGTAATAATAATAATAATAATAATAATAATCCTTGCATTTGATATAGCGCTTTTCACGTCGGGAGGACGTCCCAAAGCGCTTCACAGAACACACTGTAAAGTGAATTGACTGTATATTTGTGGGCGAACGCGGCAGCCAATTGCGCACAGCAATGTCCCACAAACAGTCGTAGATTGAAAATGACCAATTTAATTATTGTTTTTGGTTTTTTGGAGGGATTATTATTAGGCGTGTGGAGTAAGGAAACTTGCCCAAGGTTTCGCCCTGCCTGGAATTGAACTCAGGTCTCTCGCTTGCAAAGCGAGTGCTCTAACCACTGAGCTACAGGACTCCACTCGCTTTGCAAGCGAGAGAACTGGGTTTGATTCCCAGCAGGGTGAAACTTTGGGCAAGTTTCCTTACTCCACACGCCTGATGATAATCCCTCAAGAAAAAAAAACAATAATAAATTGGTCATCTCAATCCACGACTGTTTGTGGGGCACAGCTGTGCACATTTGGCTGCCGCATTTTGCCCTCAAATATACAGTCATTTCACTTTAGTCTATTTTGTGAAGCCCTTTGAGATATCTAGAAGACGTGAAAAGCGCTATATCAAATACAAGGATTATTATTATTATTACGGTGCAAGTACTGAGGTCAAGTACCACTATCCCAGATGAAAATCAGCCTAATTTAGTAGACTGACAAAGTTACTTCCAGACAATGGGCAATTCTCTGAGTGATTAGGCAACACAAGCAAGGCTTTGAAACTTTTCGCAGTTCACTTGTATACTCTTCCAGTTAGAACAAGAATGGAGAAACATGAAAACAAATCCGGTGTCAATGTTTGAGCCAAACAATGATCTCACACCATTTTTGAGAAAAGTTACTGATGGCTTAATGAAAGATATGTTATTAAAATTTCACACAAAAAATCTATAAGGAAGTAAAAGTCCTAGTCTATTATCAAGCTTACATAAATGATGATTTGTAGTTGAACATAAATACTGCAGAGAGAGAGAGAGAGAGAGTGAAACTGTGAAAACCATGTGTGAATTGTGATTGAGCTAATTTGTAGAGTGAAAGAAGCTGGATGGTTACAAACATGTTTATGCACATTCCCATTACCAGGTAGCGTAGGTGGGTGCAGCATGGCTTGAGACAGGATGTTAAAAGGAGAAACTAGCAATGCTACTTTTTTGTTAAGGTGCTGTGTGAAAACAAAGAACTGGGTAGATTAGTTAACACATTCTACTCGTGGGGAATTGCAGCCTGATACCAATCTACCGTATTGTCACAAGAAATCAAAATTTTTGTCTTTATTAAAGCAAGACAGAAGCTGATTTCTGTTGACTAAGTAGAAAAACTACATATCTTGTAAGATTTTCAATCTTTGAAGCCTTTTACTAAAGTATTTCCGGAGTAGACTAGGTTCTAAACAATCATCATAGCATTTGACATAGTGCACCATGTCAGTAAAGAAGTCTCAAAGTGCTTCAAAGTGTAGTGACTGCATTTTTTAGGCAAACATGGCAGCCAATATTCACAGCAATGTCCCACAAACGGAGCGTCAGCCTAGACATCATTAATTCAGTCCTGAAGCTTCCAACTCAGAGGCAAGTGCTACCAACTGAGGCAGGCTGACCCACTGGTTCTGAGCAAATACCATTTTATCAAAAAATCCTCCCAGAGTATTTCTCCACATCATTAACACCTGCTCTTTCGGATGTCTGATATCTGTCCGTATGCATGGCAGCAACTCATATGCTTTACGCACTCCTGTATAAATACACAAGATTTGTGCATTACTGTTTTTGCCACATAACCATGCCAATTAATTATATTTCCTAGGTTGAATGAAGACGTATGAATAAACTTGCACAATAGAGTGTTTTAATTTTTTTTAAAAAAATTTCTTAGTTTTTTTTGTGGTGGGGGGGCGGGGGTGCTACAGAATTCTGGATAATCTGGAGCTTGTGAAAGGTTGAGCTAGGAAGGCTAGTGAGAAGGATATTAGAAATGTCAACTCCAGATGTGGTCACTGGACTGATTTAAGAAATTGCTTGGTGCTGCAACGGGAAGATGGTAAATGCGTATTGTGGAAGAATGAAACCAAATGAACTAACGTGCCCACTTCACCCAAATAGTTCTTGCAACTTTTATACCAGATTACATAGAAAATACCATGGCACAGACACTGTACAGCTCAAATATCCAAAAAAACATATGCACTCTTTTAAGTTTGTGTTAGATAAAACAGAACATGGTAATATAAACAGGCAAAGCAGCTCTCCCAGGTTTATTCTGTAGGAAATTCTGAGAATGTACGGATACCTACTTGACTCCATTGTCATCTGTAGAAATATGTCTACAGCGCTGGACAGCAGACCTTTGCTGGAGGGTTTCAGGTACACGAGAATGATCGGGATAGCCCGGTGCTCCAAGAACAAGGCCTTCCCACCATCTATCTTCAGATCCATATGGAGAGTGTCAAAGGCTTGAGCCACGATATCAACTATTAAAAAAGCGAATTAAATAATTTACTTATCCAATTTCCAGCCATTTAATAACCTTAATTGTATTATCAGAAACAAATTACTTTATATAACACACCCCAAAATTGGTCTTGATCCTACACTCAAGGAAAGAGTATACAATATTCTGGATTTCTCAGGAGTTGTAGCATAAAGAAAGCAGTGTAGTTTACCTAAACCACCAAAAAAAGCAGTATATTCACTTTAAAGCACACTTTAAAATCTCATGTGAGGTGCTGAATTCTGAGCAATAAATTAGTTCACCAATGAGAGACAGCAGCTGCTTAAACCATGCACGCTTTAAACAAATTTGACACTGCTTTACAAAGATTTCCAAAGAACTAGCTGCACCTGTTGAAGCTTCGCTTGCAACCAGAGGATCCAATATGGAATGTAGATTGACTCACAGACAGACACACAGACATACATTTCATCTGAATCTACCCTCATCTGGGAGGACTCCTGTGGAAGGACTCCGTTTGGGAGGACTCAGTGGGAGGCCTCAGCGCTTTAAAAATGTAACTTTATTGTTGTTTCCGCAGCTTAGCTTCATCTGTGTTCTTTATTTTGTTCCTGCCACTTGGCCTCGTGCGTGCTCTGTGACGCAAGATGCCACAGTCAACCAGTGCGGCCACCAGGTATAAGTGCAGTGCGTGCGTACATACATAGGTGCTCTGTGACGCATGATGCCACAGTGCCAGTTTGACTTGGTGGCCACCAGGCGAAGTGCAGCAAAACCCGCAAAACTGAAAATAACTCATGAACAATAGGAGATACCCCAAAACAAATATGCCTGTGTCACTCTCAGTTGCAAGATCTCTCCAATGAGGTATAAATCATGTCTCTACGTCAATCGGTTATTGAGATCCTTCTTGAAGCGCAGACAAACATTGTCGTTTTTATAGTATAGCTAGACAGACAGACAGACAGACAGACAGATGTACAACACAGAAACAGTCTGCTTCTGCTCGGCCCTACTAGTCTGTGCTAGTGTTTATACTGCACACAAGTCTCCACCCATTCATTACCTTCTCCCATACCTTTCTGCTTTCCTCTCCCATGCTCTTAATAAGGAATAATACGTAAAGAATATATCTAGTTAAAATAATAATATAATAACAATCCTTGCATTTGAAATAGTGCCTTATCACGTCTTCGAGACGTCTCAAAGCACTCCACAGAATATACTGTGAAGTGAATTGACTGTATACTTTGTGGGCGAAACATGGCTGCCAATTGTGCACAGTAGTGTCCCACAAACAGTTGTGGATTGAGTGACCAGATTTTTTCTATTACCTTGTGTAATTGTCTTGAGGATGCTTAGGGTCGACAGAAATCGAATATTAAGATCAGAGCTCCTAAAGAAAGCAGATGTCTTTGGTTTGGTTTCTGGAACATCTGAAGGGTTCTCCTGCACGAGCCGGGGTGCAGCTCCACGATACAGTTCTTCTCCTAATCTTCGCATTGTTGAGATAATGGTGGTGTGCTGAGAAAGAGAATATTCATACTGTAACACAACCCCAATGGTCCACTGCTAATGTTAACTGATTACCAATACATTTTAAATTGAAAGGGATTAGAGATGGTTTACATTTCATAAAAGGATTTAGTTATTCACACTAACGCATTCACTGAATTGTTCAGCCAACATCCATTTTTTGTTATATACCTTTTGCAATACCAGACACGAATGATAGAAGTGCTTACACTAGGAAATTCATATTCACAGGAAGTGTTTGCAGCCAAACATTCCTTTTTGCAATTCCCACACCACCTCTAAGGTTATGCCTTACTTCAAAAAAGATGAATTGTTTATTAATAGAAGCCAACAGATGGCCTAGTAGGTAAAAGGACCCGGGGGGTGGGGGGGAGGAGCACAATGTTGTACAGGTCAAAAAGTGACTGCTTTGACTCTAAAGCGGATGACCTCAGCCAAGGCAGTAGTCGGGGCACAACAATTGCCCTCAACATTCTTGTAGGTATTGGAGGGAGGGAAATCCACCAGAGCTTGTTCTTATGATCACTGTTCAGCTAAAAGTGTCAATGTGTGGATGTGGGCGAGAACAAGTTAAGACTCAGCTAAAATTTCTTGGTATATAAGCAACTTGTAAGGATGAATTTCCTTACAGGTCTGTCAGTTTCTTCAGGTTGTAGAATAGCAGTGGTAGCACAAGAACTGCAGCCAAAAGCAATGACATATCCCTCAAAATTGTCCCAAAAATACAGATGAGGTAATACTCAACTCCATGCTGAACATTAAACAGCAAAAAAAAATCAATGTACTCCAAAATTCAACTTATTGGTTTTACACATGTGTATATATATATATATGAGTATAAAATATGAGTATATTTATGTCTCTTTCTTGGCTCTCTCACACCCTCACACCCACCCCCACTCCATCGCACCCACCGTAAAGTATATATTTTATTTTGAAGTATTAGTAAACTTTTTTTAAAATCACATTCACTGATAATGAATTGTATAAATACTACTAAATTTTCCTTCTCATTCTGTCCTCCCAACGTGAAAGGCGCTATACAAATGTAATCTTGTTGTTGTTGGCTTAAATTGCATTTTGTGGGACAGGAAAAATAGGTCCTTAAAGCATTTGGTGGTGTTGGTTTAATAAGAAGAAACTTTGCAAGCTTTCAGGCATTCTGTCCCCACCCTCCTCTGCTCCCTCCCTCCCCCCCAACTCAGGTGCCCAACCAGCTGCGTGAAGCACTTTGAGACATTCTCTCGACATAAAAGGCATTATGTAAATTGTATTGCATCTTAGAAATGTACTGATTGATCTTTTGGTTTCTTGGCCACTCTTTAGGGATTTCAAAACTTTATAGTACACATGTCAAACAGTTAAAAAAAACAAAGCTGCATTCTTTTCATGAGGCATGGTTTCAGATCTTGGCTAAAGTTTATTGTAGGAGACCACCAGCTCCACACAGGACAGGATAATAATAATACCTTACATTTGATACAACACCTTATCATGTCTCAAAAATGTCTCAAAGCGCTTCACAGAATATATTGTTAATTGAATTAACTGTATTTTGTGGGCGAAACAGTAGTTTGTGGATAACAAATTTCCACACACACACACAAAAAAATTCTGAGTAGCTTTTCTCCACTTACGGGTGCTGCTCTATCCATGTGCTTTAAAGCCCAATAAATGAATCTCACCAGTGTGAGCTGTAGTTTGGCATTTCCGGGTGGCATCGAATGGACTTGCTCTGTGAGTAATGGCAAGGTCTGCAAGGAGTTCCAGAGAAAAAGAGGAGTCAGTTGAAAATACTACACTACTTTACCAAAACAATTTATTCCTTCATCTAAAAAGATCTTAAAATCTGAATGAAGATTAAGTATTTTCACATATGTAGTTTTATACAAATATTTTCTTGAAAATAAATTAAATACAAATTAAAAATTCCCCAAACAGATTTTTTATTTAGAACATAAGAATTAGGAACAGGAGTAGGCCATTCGGCCCCTCGAGCCTGCCCCGCCATTCAACAAGATCATGGTTGATCTTCAGACCTAACTCGAATTACCTGCCCTATCCCCATATCCCCGAATCCCTCTATTTTTAAAAAATCTATCAGTCTCAGCCTTGAAAACGTTCAAGGACTGAGCATCTACAGCCTTTTGGGGTAGTGAATTCCGTAAATTCACTACCCTCTGAGCAAGGAAATGTTTCCTCAACTCTGTTCTAAAAGGCTGACACTTAATTTTAAGACTGTAACCCCAGGTTATAGATTCTCCTACCAGGGAAAAGAGTCCCTCAGTGTCTACTTTATCCAGCCCTTTAAGAATCTTATATGTTTCACTAAGATCTCCCCTAATTCTTCTGTACTCTAGAGAATGCAGCCCTAGTTTATTCAGCCTATCCTCATAGGTCAGTCCCCTTATCCCAGGAACTAACCTGGTGAATCTATGCTGCACCCCCTCTAAGGCAAGTATGTCCTTTTTTAAATAAGGAGACCAAGAACTGCACACAATACTCTAGGTGCGGTGTCACCAAGGCCCTATACAGTTGCAGCAAGACTTCCCCACTCTTGTACTCTAAACCTTTTGCAATGAACGCTAACATTCTTAATTGCTGCTGCACCTGCAAACTAACTTTTTGAGACTGGTGTACAAGGACACCCAAATCCCTCTGAACACTAACACTATCTAATCTCTCCCCCTCTAGAAAATAATCTGTTTTTCTATTTTTGCTACCTAGGTGAATAACTCCACACTTCCCCACGTTCATCATTGTGCTTAAGAGTATCCAAACCAAATAGAGTACCATCTATACATAGAAATTCCATTAGAATGGAATGCATACTCTGTCCCTGGAGAGAAGCATCCTGCTTAGCCAATTCTGGAGCGTATTCGGCGCAGGTTGGCAAGACCAAGGCTTGAGGACCCCAGAGTGTGCATTGAGGTACTGTTGGGAGTCTGAAACCACATAGCTTGCCATTGAGAGTACTGTCTGACAAGCTTTCCCTCTGCTTGTTCAGCTAGGATCCCCCTTGCCTGTTAGGGCTTGGCTTGCAAGTTTAATAGGAGCTGAGTGGGAAGAGTCTTTTCCCTTGTGACTTGTCTGCCCTTCTAAGACCTGTCAATGAGCCAGACTGGCTGGACTGACACCAGAGATTTCCTGGCCCCATTTGGCTCAGGAACTGGAACACTATAATAAGATAAATAATAATCCTTGCATTTGATACAGTGCTATAACGTCACTAATCCTCACTCCGAAGGAGAACAGTCACAAGCTGAAAGTCCAAGATTGCAGCTTGGACAGATATGGGAGAGCTGGTGGCAGTATGTTAATTCACTATCTGAGATCCAACTTTAGTCTTTAGAAAAATGAGTTCCACGAACTCTACCAACAACAAACAATGAGAACATTTATAGCCACCAGATTTCTTCTTATCTTCCAACAAAAAAAAGTTGGTTTTACTTATTCCACATGGAACCAAATTCACTCGATTTATAATACCAGAGGGAGGCAAATCAGATTTTATGCGTATTCTGGTTCTTCTCCAGTATTACAGTGTTGTAAATGTCAAAATCACGTACATAATGAATGTGCTTATCAGAAAATACAAAATGACTGTTGATTCACAATGTAAACTCATTCTAAACAATAATATGGATATCTGCCAATACCTAAGCCTGTAGATTCCTCCTGAGATCTCTTATTGATGTTTCCAAAACAAGTAACAATTTCAAGTCTGTAATCAGTTCTAAATATAGGTATGACAGCACTTACTCTAGTTAATAAAGTGCATTAAAGACAAATGTGCATTATGAACAGAATGCTTTATGGATGCAGTTAGCCTAAGGTGAACCGAGCACAATGAACTGCCTTGAATACAGGAGATCACGCCAGTTCACCGTTGTGAAAGACCAAATCATGAATGCCAAAGAGAAAGTTACATAGGATAGACATTCTTTTGGACACATGAAACTACTTGCATAAAACAACAATGGTGCCTTTGTATAGTTTCACTTTAAAAACAAACAAACAATCTGTGTTCAAGAGGTTATGCAGATTAAATGACACTGCTCAGCAACAGACTCAGCCCAATGTCTCTTAGGTCATATTAACTGAAATATATTTACTGTAACAAGTCAGTTAGTAAATAAACTGGTTACTAATGCATAACAGTTGCTTGGACAATGTACTTAATAATAATATAATAATAATAATCCTTGCATTTGATATAGAGCTTTTCACGTCGGGAGGACGTCCCAAAGCGCTTCACAGAACACATTGTAAAGTGAATTGACTATATTTGTGGCCGAACGCGGCAGCCAATTGCACACAGCAATGTCCCACAAACAGTCATAGATTGAAAATGAACAATTTATTATTGTTTTTGGTTTTGGAGGGATTATTATTAGGTGTGTGGAGTAAGGAAACTTGCCCAAGGTTTCGCCCTGACCTGCCAGGAATTGAACCCAGGTCTCTCACTTGCAAAGCGAGTGCTCTAACCACTGAGCTACAGGACTCCACGAACCGCCAAACACATAATGGAGCCAAAACTGTCAGAATATTAACACCAATTCTAGCATTTGATTCATCGCCTTTCACATTGGGAAGAGATCTCAAAACACTTCACAGGATATGCCATAAAGTTGAGTGAACGTCTTGTGAGCGAATACCTCAGCCAATATAAGCACAGCAATGTCCCGTAAAGTGCCTGACAAATTTTATTTGGGGGACTGTTAGCCAATGCACTGGGTGAAACTCGCTTCTTTCATTCAGAATAGTGCCATGGCATTACTCACATCCAACCTGAACAGGCAGACTGGACCTTGGTTTTACACCTAATCTGAAGGACGGTACTTCCGATGTTGCAATGTACCCCAGCACTGCATTGGAATGCATCCTAGATTAATAATATTAGTTCTTGCATTTGATATAGCACCTTATCACATCTTCGAGACATCTCAAAGTCCTTCACAGAATATACTGTAAAGTGAATTGACAGTATATCTTGTGGGAGAAACGCAGCAGCCAATTGCGCACAGCAGTGTCCCACAAACAGTCGTGGATTGAGTGACAAATTTATTATTATTTTTTTGAAGGAATTATTATCCCTGAAAAAGCGATCCACCAATCGACTAACAACAGGGTTCCTACTTACTACTGTAAACAGAAGTGTTTCACCCTGCAGGGAATCAAACCCACGTTTCTCGTTTGTGAGACGAGTGCTCTAACCACTGAGATACAGGACTCCAAGATTATATGAGTTCCAAGTTTCGACATTGGGCTTGAACCCATAACCTTCTGACTCAAGAGGCGAGAGTGCTATCAATTGAGCCAGGCTGACACACATCATAATAATAATTTTGATATGGAGCAATTATATATTTGTCACAATATCTATGCCAATGCTGGTGTGAATTTAGTATTGTTTTATAGTGTAGTAATACACAATTTATAACATTTTCAAAAGATTTTCCTAACAATGTCATTTCCTCAACATCAGTCATGTCTTAATCACCTCCAGACATGACTTCACACATGTTCTGCTCACCAGCTTTAACTTTACCCTCATTTTTGAAACCTGTGTAAAAACCTCCTTGACTGCGCCTTTGCCCACCTTCATTTCCCACCCAATCTCTACAGGGGTTTGAGACATTGACTTTTGTGAAAGATGCTACATAAATGCAATTGGTTTCTTAGCCAGCAAAAAGAGCGTCAACAACCATATTAAAATGTAAAATAGGTTCACACAAAGGCAGATAATAACGTCACAAGAGACTTGTACATTCTAAAACAAATCTCTTACTCATTATTTTTAAGATTAGAATTAAAACGTACCTTTGCACACTTGTCTTGAATATATTTCACAGGTAAACCACTTGGGTCTGGGGCCCTTTGGCTATTACCATCATCCTCTGATGACGAGTGGCAAAGGTGACTGTCCGTGATCCAGTCCAGCAGGATTCCAAGCAGCTCACAGAAATTACTGTTTACAGCAGGCTGAAGACCACAGAGCCATCTTAAACAATGCTAATAATGGCATCACATTTTCTGCATAATTCATTTTACATGCTTTTAAAAAAAAACTTCTCAGAAATTGAATAATGGGGCTCGGGGGGGTTGAGTGGGTCCCAGATTTGATGTTCATCAAGGTAATACACCAGTATTAAAACTGAAATGGAACTTTTCTACCACCCCAATGTTTAGTCTCCATTGGAGCCGTGAAGCACGTCCAAATAAATACACTAAGTGATAGAACAAGGTGAAAGACATCTGAATCGCCTATGGATATGATTGCAAATCCAAATGATTATTCCATGCTGTCTCAGTATCAAAATGATTTTCTTTATCATTACAGCCTTGCAGTTTCTGTCAGCAAGAAAAAACCCATTCTCAACTTCTGCTAATTAGGTACAGGATTTAAATTGGCCAAGCTCAATTCACATAGAACCTTTAAAAAAATGATCAAACAAAGATATTGCCTAGATTTTGAAGTAAAAAGAAGTCTAAATAATGCACCAAAAGAACATCTCTTACTCGGTTACTCATTTTAGGAATTTGCTGAAACATATCCTGTTTTTCTGGTCTGATCTCCTTTACACTGGTGGCAATGTTTTCCCGAGACTTCTGTGCTGCAGCCAATTCATTCTTCCTCTGAAAGGAAGAAAACTAGTTTTGTGATTTTAAAAATACTTTATGACACAACCATCCTTACTGAGGAGGTGTATAGGAATTTCATATTTCTGGTAAATTACAAATTATGGCATGGTATTTAATACAACACAAATTTACAGTTATGTAATGTCTTTTACGTTGTGAGGACATCCCAAAATGCATTCGCTGTGCTGCTGCAATGGTGTATACAAAATATAAAATAATGTACTCAAATTTAGTACAATTGTTTATCTCAATGAAATATTTAAAAATTCTTAAAAAAAAGTTATTTTGAAGCATAGCAAATGTTAGATAGGCAACTACAGCAGCCAATCTGTAACCTTCAAAATCCCACAATTAGATAAGTAGCCACTTCATAGAATCATACAACATAGAAGAAGGCCATTTGGCCCATCATGTCTATGCCGGCTCTTTGAAAAGAGCTTCCAAATCAATCCCATTCTCCCGCACTCTCCCCATAGCCTTACCCCAAACTAGGACTCCCCAAATAATTATCTACTTCTCTCCTAAAAGCTGTTATCGAATCAGCTTCCACCACCCTTTCAGGCAATGCATTCCAATTAATCTTAATTTTTCTGGAAGTGAATTTAGATGAGGAATATAGTTTAGGACACATTGATTTAAACTATCAGGAAATTCAATTGAAACTACAAAAATCAAAGAGGGAAAGAATGAGAGGAACGAAGGAAAAGTACAAGGGAGGGGAGGAAGAAAAAGAAAATTCCCACCCAAATGAAAATGAAGTTATATTATTTTTTTCAATTTAGCATAATGAAATGGATTTAGAATGATTCAAAATTAAATTCTATTTTATAATTTAAAGTATTAATTCCTTCGACTGCAAATACACAAAATATCAACAAATTATATTCTTATTAGTACTAGATCTAATATGGAGCTTAGAAGGAACCTCTTCAAGTAGAGAGGGAAATGAGAATGTGGAACTCACTACTGGAAGGTGTAGTTGAAGCAAAACACCACCAATGTATTGAAGACAACATGTGATGTATATTTAAGAGAGAAGGGAATAGACGGTTGTAGGAGATAGATGTGGTAGCTCACATTGGGTATATATATGGGCATGGATTAGCTGGACTTAATGGCCAGTTTTTGTGCCCTATGTAAATATTTAAAATTTGACTTACTATATTTTTCATTGATTTAATATTATTTGGTGATATAGGTTCCACAAAACTAAATTTACCAAAATATCTCACCTGCAGATTTTCTAAGCGATTTTGAACCTTTTTACCCTGAGTTTCCATTTTTTTGTTCTTTTTGCTTACATCATTAATCTTAAAAAAAAGAAATCAAGATTAGCATTAAGAGACATATACATAGCTTCATTCAAATGTTGGGTAATAAAAGCTTTTGATATGTGATTTCAATGTAGATGTTTAACAAACTGACTGACTAACTAATTACAGCAACAACTTGCATTTATGTAGCAGCCTTCAAGCGGGGAGCGAGCCGGAGTGCTTTACAGTGTCGGAGTCCGACAACGAGCCGGGGGAGGGAGGGAGGGAGAGTTTCAGAGTGCAGTGCAAGGGCATAAAGGGATTTGAAAACGAGTGATTGGCTCTTGAAATCGATCCATTTGGTGATTGGGAGCCAGTGGATCCTGGCAGGAACTGGTGTGATGGCAGTACGGAGTTTCGTGCAAGTGAGTATCTGGGCGGCAGAGTTTTGAATTAATTGGACTTTGTGTATGGTGGAGCTGGGGAGACCAGCGAGTATGGTATTGGAATAGTCCAGCCAGGAAGTGATGAAGGCGTGGACGAGGGTTCAAGCTGCGTCAGTTGTGAGGTATGGACAGAGGCGGGCAATGTTATCAGATGAGAAAACAATCACAGAATCATATAATTATAGGAGGTCCCATCATGTCTGTGCCGGCTCTTTGAAAAGAACTATCCAAATCAATCCCACTCCCCTGCAAACTTGTCCTCCCCAAATAATTATCTACTTCTCTCTTAAAAGTAGTTATCAAATCTGCTTCCACTACCCTTTCAGGCAATGCATTAAAGATCCAAATAACTCGCTGTGTGAAAAAATTTCTCCTCACCTCCCCTGTTTCTTTTAACAACTATTTTAAATCAGTGTGCACGGGTTACCGACCCACCCACCAGTGGAAATAGTTTTTCCTTGTTCACCCTATCGAATCCCCTCATAATTTTGAAATCTTCTATCAAGACTCCTCTTCTCTCCTCCAAGGAGAATAATCCTAGCCTCTCCAGCCTCATCTGAGAACTGAAGTCCCTCATTCCTGGTACCCTCCTGGTAAATCTTCTTTGCACTCTATCCAATGTCTTGACATCCTTCCTAAAGTGTGGTGCCCAGAATTGAACACAGTACTCTAGCTGAGGCCTAACCAGTGTTTTATAAAGGTTCATCGTAACTTCCTGACTTTTGTATTCTATGCAACTATTTATAAAGCCTAGTATCCCGTATGCTTTTTTTAACAGCTTTATTTACCTGTCCTGCCACCTTCAAAAATTTACTTATATGAACCACCTCCCAAAATGAATCGCTTTGGGTGTCATCCGCATACATGTGGAAATTTATCCCATGTCTGTGGATGACGTCATCAAGGGAAACAAATCAAATGTATTATACTGCATACATATCCTAGATCCTACACAATAAACAACTCCATGTTATTTCTGATTATTGCAGCCGCCCAAGTTATGTAGTTATGCAAATCAGGGTAGTCCAACCTTTTTGGCTGCTGAGGGCCAGATGCCAAAGTTGCAATATTTTACCTGTACTGGCCAGCCCCGTTGTTGGGCAGAGCCTGATCCCCTATTGACCGTCTTCTAATTGGGTTAGGGCCTGTGTGTTGCCCATATTTGCTCATCGGACATTGAAGTTGGGAATGGTTGTGGGCCAGATTAAATCATCCCGCAGGCCGAATGCGGCTCGTGGGCCACCAGTTGGACCAGCATGATTAAATTATTAGAATCTGAACTTCTAATTCACAGTATCTTAGAAACATAGAAACACAGAAACAGGAATAAGTCATTCAGCCCCTCGAGCCTGTTCTGCCATTCTATAAGATCATGGCCGATCTGATCTCAAGCCCTTGCCCTGTATCCTTTAATACCCTGACCTAATGAATAAGCTTCTAAAGTCAGTTGTTATGTAAAAAATACTCCCACTCCATTGTGCATTGATTAATCTTTTTATGCATAAAAATACAAGGTAGGAAAAATGTTCTAAACATTTCTTAATGTAGCATTAGACACGATATGCTGCATACAAGATGTTCCAACATTTTCCTCCTTTTATGTTTGGGCATAACCCAAGGGAAGTAAAAGGAATACATTAATACAGGATTTTAAAAAAAAATCCTACAACTGTGCGCCATTCTTTCTCTTATATGAAAACTACATAACCCGATTATGTGCTGCTTGCAGCAGTATTGCCTGTAGAACTCTTGCTCATTCCACTGAAAAACCTTTTGCAGTCTGGATACATGCCACCACACCACACTAAATGCACCTTGAGACACAACCATATTGTGGCAATATGAACTTCACTGAATATTCCTTGCCTGCGTTTTCAAGGAGTCATTCAATTCCTTTAATGTGTCAAAGGAGGATTTAAGCCTCTTGTTTTCTTTCATCTTCTCCTTTAAGGCATCTGTGAGCTGACTGACTTCTGCAGCATGTTGCTGTGGAAACCAAAATGATTGAACAATCAAGTTACTCACTACTTCATTTTCTCAACACAATTATGCCCTTTTATGCAGAAGATATCAACCCATTTTTTAACTAAGGGGTATATAATTATTCATCTCTTTCTACCTTACACTTTCACAAAATGACATTTGGGTTAGGTTTTGAATATTATTTCCGTCTAAATCAGATCACACCATAAGTGAAGAATAAGAGAGTCTGAGAGTACCTCTTGTCTAGATGGCATCACTATAGTGGTAAAAGTGGCTGGAGATATCCAGATTGATTCATTTAATTATACTTCTTTGAACTGATCAAATAAGTTGCCCAGTTCCTTTGAAAGCTTTCTTTCTCTCTTTACTCAGTCCCGCCAACATCTCCTTTCTTCTGGCTCAGACTTCCTCAACCTTTCTGTCTCTTCCCCCATCCCACCCCCACCCCCCACCTCTCTTGTCCTCCAATTCACCATACCAATGCTCAACCCTGGTGTTCAGTCAACCCTCAGCTCCTTTTCCTCCTTCACTTCCAGTGCCTCACCAAGGCCACTTTACTAATTCTTTGCATCTCTCACCTCCATCACTGTCTCACACCCAATGTTGCTGAAACCCTCATTCATGCCTTTATCATCTCCAAAATCAACTTTTCAAATGCTCTCTTCACTGCATCCCCAGCCCTAAAATCCAATTCATACAAACTCTGATGCCCGTATCCTTACCCACACAATATTTTGCATCCCATCACCCCTATCCTTGTCACACTCCATTGATTCCCTGCAGAACTTCTTCCACCTCACTCTTCAATTCCCCCTCCCTGGCAAACTAGCTGTGTATTCCCTGCCCCACTACTGGCAGCCAAGACTTACGATGCTATAACTGCACTCCCCTGGAACTCCAACCCTCAACCTCTCTATCTCATCCCTCCTTATCCATCTTCAAAAGCTAGCTACCTAAAATTACTTCTTCAACCATGCCTTTAGTCACCTCCCTCATCCCCTAACTGCTCAGTGACCATTTCTGTAAAGTGCTTTAAAGTGATACTGAAGGGCACTTTATGTATTCAAGTTGTTATTGCTCAGGCCTTTTAATTGTTATTCATTCATTTTCACATGGCTTGGATGATGGTGTTCACCCATCACTTGTTAAAATTGCAGCACATTTCCTTTCATCTTTTGGCTAATTTTAATACCTATCACCTTTCCTTTTGTTTTCTGTACCTTCTACATTGTAACATTGTCGGCACTTTGTAAACTCCAATTCTACCTTGGATTAGATGTCTGAAAGGTGGACCATGGGCTAGACCTGAGACGCTGATCCGGTAGAATAGATCAAGTATTGGGTTTCATCACTGGGTTTTGGGCCAGATCCAAATTTCTCCTGTCCCCTCTGGCCTCAGATTATTTTACTTCCCTCATGTAAAGCAGTTTAATTTACATGATAGTAGATAGAATATACCTTTAATGTTATAGAAAATGCTACCCACTGTGGTGGATACGATATTTCTGTGAACATTGGGGTTTGGATGAATTTCACTTTATTACAGCGCATCACAAAAATAAATCTGAGGATAAAGACAAAGATAAAAACACCAGGGGCAGCATTCTCCCTATGATAATAATTCACCACAAGTATGTGGGTGGGGATCCAAGTAAATTGACCCAAGAAAGTAGGGTTCTGTGATTATGAAACATATTCTGCTTAGCATTGGAGCCAGCCAGCATGCCCTGCATTCGTTTTTAAGCCCGGGATCATTTGGGGATAATAAATATTTTCCTCTAACATCCAAAGATATGCAACTTCTCTTAGGATTGCTGGGTACCAATCAGCAATAGACCTATAATGGGCGTAGGCCATTCAGCTCATCAAACCCGTACTGCCATTTTACTAGACCATGATAAATGGTTTAATCACATTTCCCCTTCTTTTTTCCTCGTCTCTAATACCTTACTTCTCACGTCTGTTATCAATTGAATGTTTCAGGAAAAAAGGCCCATTGGCTACTTGCAAATATATAGTGTATTAAATGTACCTCTTTCATAATCTGAAACTTGGCATGAACCTCCTCTTCCACACCTCTTAGTTTTGTCAAGGCAACCTGATGCTTCAGCAGCAGAGCCTCTCTCTTAGTTAGGTGCTGTTCGTGTACAATAACCTGACGCTTGCTTTCCTGCACTGCTGCACTTTCCTTCTGTAACAGAAGATAAAACAGGATAATTACTTATGAGCTGGGTCAATGGAAAAGTCCGTAAGTATTTGCAAAAAATTGCAGAGTGTTTTGCAGGCCGTTGAGGAGAAACTTTGCGGGAAATTGCGGGGGTTGGTGCTATTGAGACGCATTTTGCTACTAACCTACATTTTTTCTCTTTTTTCATTTATAAAAACTAAACATAAAGAAATAACACATCATAGATTATTGGTAAAAAACAATTTATTAATGTTTTCTTTAACAAAAACAGAACATAACACCTTTCAAAAGATACAAAAGTGCAGTTTCAACACAGTTTGCAGACAAATTAAAATTTCTAATTTCTCCTTCAAGTATACATAACAAAGCTGTGATTGTGTTGGAATAGTCCCTCCTTGTTTCGTGTATTTACGTAGAAACTCTTGGAAGGCAGGAGCTTTTTCAAGCAGTGTGTCTGCTCTAGTCAAATACTGCACAAAGTCCAGTACGAGTTCTTTCCTCTCCATAAATAATGCAGTGGCTCTAGAGAAACATGTTGTCAGACCAAGTTGTCTTTGAGGTCCAGATCCACCTAGAAAGGAAAAAATAAAAATTTACTTCATGATGTAGTTGTCATTAGAAATGTTCTGTCTATTTGTTTTTGTTTGTAGTTGTTTTATGTGCTTTTAATATTCAATCAAAAAGGAGGGAGATTAAACAAAACACTGCAGATGCTGGAAATCTAAAACAAAAGCAGAGAGAGCTGGGAAAACTCAGCAGGTCAGGCAGCATCTATGGAGAAAGAAAAGTGAGTCAACGTTTCAGGTCCACGACCCTTCGTCAGAACTGGGGCATGTTGGGAGGGAGAAGTTTTTAAGTACAAGAAGGAGGCAGGACAGGAAGACAAAAAAGAAGACAAAGGAGAGAGTGGGTTGAAAGAAAACTGGGGAGAAGAGGTGTTAATAGTGCAGAAGGGAGGGAGATTATTTTTTTAATCATACAAATTAAGATTAAGACTTTCTTTCAAAAATTAAAGTGAAAGCAAATCATGATATATTTTCATTTAATATATATATATATCAAAAGTATTTTACCTTTTTGCTTTCTTTATTGCCATTGCTTTGCGTTCACAATATTTCCGAGATTTCATGCACTCATCAATGGTGTACTTGCGAACATGGTCAATTGTGTGACAGCAAATGCGACAAAACAATTGTCCCCCTTCTTCATAAAGATCATCTGTATAGAGGACAATTCTATATGAGGGACAGATGGAAAATGAGATGTGCTACCCCTTGGCTTTCTCGTTTGGACATTTTCGTATTGTACTACCTAAAAAGTTAAAGTTCCTATAACACCATTCTAAAAAAGGAGAAATTCTTCCAGGGACTGAATGCTACTCCAGAGTAACATTCAATCAATTTACAGAACTTATTGGCACAAATAGCTATAATGTTTGGACACCACCCTTGGGGGGAGGAGGTAAGCAAGGTCTCCTTGGAGCTGATAGTTCTGGTAGCCCCAAATGGGCTGCAATACTCCAGGGCATGCTGATCAACAGGTCCTGGAGGGGCAGACAACAACAACAACAATAAGATTGCATTTATAGAGCGCCATTCACTTCTCACTCAGTGCTTTTTCACTTAGTTTCTGTTAATCCTGGAAGCCAAACTCTTAGCTCGTAATCTCAAGTGGTCCCATCTGGATAAGCAGAGGCAAGTCACCAGATAGTGCTTTCAATGGCAAACTGTAAAGGCTTAGCTGCTAAAACTCCAGCAATGTCCTGCAAACACACTCTGAAGTCCTCCAAGTCTTGGCTCTCAGCAACATGCACCCAATACTCTCCAGAATTAGGGAAGCAGGGTGAGAACTTTGAGGGAAAATGTGCGCATTTTGTTCCAGACACGGAGCAATTTCCATGAGTAGGTGAAACTCAGTCTGGTTTTGATACTCTTAAGCATGGTAATGGGTTTCTCCATGTGTAAGGCTGACCATGGATCAATAAGCAAGGAAGCTAAGATAGCCACTAACAGATCTAAGAGTTCAGGAGGCATTTCTTTACACAAAAGGTGGTGAGAATGTGGAGTTGAGGAATTGATGAAAGCTGTGGTTGAAGTAGAAAGTATCAATACATTTAAGAATAAACAACACATACATATGAGACAGAGAAGAGGGGTATAGAGAGAAGTTCTGCGTGGGAGGAAAATCTGAATGGATGTTGGCTGACGTGGAGTATAAACCCGACCCAAATGACCTATTTGATACTGTAGATTCTATGCAAGTATCATTTATTGAATGAGCTCATATACCTCAAAATAACTGGGCACATTTCACAGCTAACGGTGCTAGAAAACTGCTAACTGCTTGGAATGCTCAGCTCTGACTCAGTGATTCCCAGTTCCTTTACGCAAATTGAAATTGCCAGAAACCTTCCTTTGCCTTTTAGCTGTTCTTTTTCAGTTTTAATTTCACAGTTGTCTTCCTTTCAGGTTTTGCAACATGCAAAAATACAGCTGAGAGAAAGGTGAACTAAAGAGTAGATATAGCACTAAAGATAGTAAATAATATATTTGTCCTTTGCCTGCAAACGTTGTGGGGTTTTGCCACCTTCCCCCTGATGACAGACCAGCCTGCCTCGCCCATTAGCAGCACTTTGTGGGGTGGAAGGACAGACTCTTGTTAATTGTGCATGCCAAACCACCGAAGGGTGGTCCCAGCTGAATAAGCAGTAAGAAACTGTAAGAAACTTGCCAGATAATGTTCTCAGTGGCAAGCTATTCGGTTTTAGCTGGTTGAACTCCAACACATATTTTCCCTGAAGTTACTACCCTTCCTCAAGTACTATTCCACGGACAACAGCAATATTCCTCGTATTGGCACAAATGGCCATTCAAGTGGTCAATCTTCATGTGTGACTCTAGGCATCACCTCCAAGTCCAGTACTACCCTCACTAAACATACATATTTTCCAACAGGGTTACAGGACATCAATCAAAATGAGGAACTTGGTTGATTTTCCTGTTGCTGGCCTAAGGATGCTGAAGCCAACTAAACAACTAATTGCTCTTCCGCTAAGCTGAACTAACAGAGCGGGAATCAAACTCAAAGATTCATCCTGTGTGGCTTAGTATAACGCCTTTGCACACTAAGGCATCTGGGAAGTTAAACAATTGATATTTTTCATACTGATGTTTCAGAAGAATTAAAAACATAGATTGAACAGTCAGTCAATTTCCAAGAATGTAGTTTGAGTTATGACCGCCTGGTTTGCCAAGCATCAGCTATTCTTTGAGCTGTACTTTTTCAGTTTTAATTTCACAGATCTTCTACAAACAAACAATGTCCTGCAATGAATTGCAATTGAGTTCTGCTTGAGGTTAAAATGTGTTTCAGTAATCTGAATGTGTACTATTCATTTTATCATTGTTAAATCTTTCCAACTATAAAAAAGCTGCAAAAGATCTAAGCAACAAAATCAGACCATGTGAAGACCAGAATTCTTCATTCTGTTGAGTAGATTAAAAAAATTCAATAGATGACATCGCTCCCATCCCTAAGCAATTCTTAATAGAGTTATGAGAATACAGATTTAATAAAATGGTGAAAAATAGTTCCAGAGTCAGTTTTGAATATACAAAATAAAAATACTTATATTTGATATATTGACTTCCATGTCAGGAGGACGTCTCAAGGCACTTCACAGGATACACTGCAAAGTGGAATGACTGTATTTTGTCTGAATATGCCTGAATCCTGCAAATTTATTCTAGATAAGACTTTAAAAAATCCTAATTTCCACTGCTATTTACTCAGAATAATAATAATAAATATTAAAGAGTATTTACTCCTAGATATGTTTCACCAAACATATCTTTCCTTCCCCTCTCAGCATTCCGAAGGGATCATTCCCTCCGTGACTCCTTGGTTCATTCCTCCATCACCACCAACAGTTGCTCTCCTCCCCCGGCACCTTCCTATGCCAGCAAAGAAGATACAATACCTGTCCTTTCACCTCCTCCCATACCACTGTCCAGGGCCCCAAACACAGTTTTCAAGTGAAACTGCGATTTACATGTACTACCACCGATGTAGTTTACTGCATTCTCTGCTCACAATGTGTTCTCCTCTACATTGGGGAGACGAAACACAGATTGGTTGACTGATTTGCTGAACACCTCCGTTCTGCAAACCCTCAGCTTCCGGTTTCTTGCGACTTCAACTCTCCCTCCCATTCGCATTCGGACCTCTCCCTCTATGGTCTCCTACACTGTTCCAATGAACCACAGCGCAATGAACCATTCCTTACATTCCCCCCCCTTCCCCATTTTCAAATCCCACCTAAAGAGCTTCCTTTTTCCACCATTGACAGGCAGGCCTTCCCCCTCCTTCTCCCCCTGCCTTAGGGTCAGACTCTGCCACTGTCAAGCGCTCCGGGACTCTACACCGCGTGAAGGGCGATATATAAATGCAAGTTGTTTTTGTTGTTGCATCAATGGAATGGGTCAGTTTAGAGTCCTGTCTAGGGCACTGTTTTCCTTTGTAACTATTCACTGCAATACTTTGTGGAAATTAAATAGCAGAGATTTGTGGACAGAGAATAACACTTCAAAAAGTTTAAAGATGTTTAGAGATTTCGGGCCAGGAGATAACTTAGCAGTCCCAACCTTAGATCTAAATGTTGAAAATTTATTTTATACCAAATCTGATTCTAAATTAGGCTTTTAACTTTAATTACAATCTTCATTTCATTCTGTTCCACCATTTTCATTTCCTTGTGCCTAGAAAACACTCTGAATTTGGATAGCCTAAAAAGACATATCAGCTGTCAACGGAATGGGGTTGCAGCTGCAGGCAATCTCCACATTTTGTTTCCAAAGCAAATGTAATGACATTACCCACAACCACTTCGAAAGACCAGTTTGCTTCTTCAGAAAACGCATAATGAAAGCTGCTGAATTTCCTCGCGTCACAATATCGTGGTGCTCTTTAGGAATCAAAATAACCACTGCTTCCTTGTCCATAATGCGTTTTAGCCTAGCTCAGTTGGTAGCACTCCCACGTCTGAGTGACAAAGTTGTGCATTCAAATATCAAATGCAAGGATTATGATTATTATTATTGTTATTGTTATAACCCCACATCAGCTTTCCAAAACTCAGTCTGGGTTGAAACTCCAATACAGTCCAGTGGGGGTGTCCAGTCTGCATGTTCAGGCGGATGTTAAAAATCGCATGATCTTTATTCAAAAAGAGAAGGGAGTTTCTCCCGGTAACATGGACAACCATCTCCCAAATAAAATTGATTACACTCTTCATGGCTTTGGTGGGATACTGCTGTGTGCAAATTAGCTGCTGAATTTGTCTACAAATACACAGTCACTACACTTTACAGTATATCCTACAAAGCACTTTTAGATGTCTTCGACATGAAAGGCACTATACCAAATGCAAGATTATTGTGAAGTAAAATCCTGGATTATTATAATAAAATCCTGGAATATTATAATAAAGGCACAGAGCTGGAGTCTAAAGACACCTGATCGTTCTGCACATGTACAAATATGTGGTAGAAATACCTATCCTGCAAGATGAAAACAAATGCATGTATACAGCATTATCCAAAATTGATATCATAAGTTTAGCAAGTACCCCCCCATAATGCAGACCTAATTATGCTGAAACGTTTCTTCACAACTCTCACCTTTGTCTTCTTTTTTCAAAACCCTTTTAAGAACCCACTCCTTTATGATCACTTTCCTCTTACGCCTTCCCAAGACTCCCATTGGATTTTTGGGAAGAAACTGCAAGACATTATCCTATGCGAAAATTGATTGATCTGGAAAATATTGACCAGTGTATTGATGAAAAACTCCTTTCTACTTTCAAATAGTGATATGAGACCTTAAAGCACACTTGAACAGGCAGACACAACATTGGTTTAACATTACACTCAAATAACAGCACCTCCAACAATGTAGTACTCCAACAACGCACTGCAGAATCAGCCTGGACTATCAGCTCAAGTTCCTACTTAGGTCTTGAATCCACAGCTTTAGAAGCCAAAGCCAGGAACTCTACCAACTAAGACAAGCTATTATTGCCATCCCCTGCAATCCATAACACTGCAGATGAGATGCAGTAGATGTAGAGGAATCAACAAGGCCAAAGTTCAAAGTGTAAGCAATCCAAACAAGCATTGATAGATCAATACAAACTACAGTACAAAATTGACATAAATCACCAGCTTTAACAATTCACACAGCTTATATAAATAATATACCCACCTGTAATTTCTGGTGTATGAAAGTTAACTCATCATAAATCTTCATTATATCTGGAGGGAGATAGCCTTGTTCTTTCCAAATTAAGGATTCTGAAAAACTTGCATTCCTCTTGGATGGCGTGAAGCTGTCATTTACGTAAGGAACTCCAGCTGATGTGACAGTAGTAGCGGCTAGGTTGGAAGGCAATGTAACATCTGAAGACAAAGTCAGACGTTTGCAGAGAATGAATACCTATGCTATCACAGGGTCCTAAAACTGAAACAGCTGCTCTTCAATTGTTAAAAATACCATATTTTGCAGTCAATTGGAATATATAAAATGGAACATTTTGTTAAAAATGGAATACTTTCTTGCTTTTTGAACTAAAGATTCTTAAGAAACCCTAATTAAACTTTATAGAATCTGTAAAAATGAAATGATCCTTAAGTTTTTAAGTTTCCCCAGTGTAATATATAACAGCACAAATAAAATAAACTGCATAATTTCTTCCCTGTCTGGGAGACCTTTCAAAATCCACAACTTATCAAATTGGAGGATTTCAGCTTTTGGTCAATCTGTTGAATAAGCAGCAAAACTATTTATTTTTGGTCAGCCGGGTGTCTGACACATGCGGAAACCCGTCACCGTACTTACGAGTATCCAAACAAAACTACTTAGAGGAAGTCTTTAGAGGTATCTTAGGATCTATAGTATTATAATGATAATCCTTGCATTTGATATAGCACTTATCATGTCTTCGAGACGTCTCAAAGCTCTTCACAGAATATACTGTAAAGTAAATTGACTGTATATTTGTGGGCAAAAGATGGCAGCTAATTGTGCACAGCAGTGTTCCACAAACAGTAATGCTGATTCTGTTATTAGCTACCAGAAACATGCTAGTTTGACAAGTTTTCCTAGACCGGAATTTAAAGATCCCATGTCAAAATAATATTTTGAAGGAGAGCAGATATAACAATGCAAACGTAACTGATTGTGTGAAGCACTTCACAAGAGAGGTTTGGATGAAGAAAGCTCATCCTTCCTCAATACTCTTCCCCAAAACTGCCACTCTGCATAGACTCCAACTCAGTTTATGTGAAGTGCTTCAAGACATTACCATCCTACCTTCTCTCCATTATACCATCAAACTATTTAAATAGTCTAGTATTTAAATTAAATAAACAGTCTAGTGTTCTGGCCACAATCACTCCAGGTGTTAATTTTTTCCTCAAGGTAGAGAAATACTTTCTGTTGTCTGTTGTAAAATTTCTCTTCACAATATTGACCATGTGGCCTCTAATTCTGCTGCTTTATTATATCTGAAAGCTTCAATATGTTTAGCTCTTGACATAATAAAAAGTTTTATTTATTTTTGATTTAAGTTGAAGACCTAGACATGGGCCACCTAGAAAGAGTCTTAATTGTCAGTGCGTGCTTCAACCAATGCTCTGATTGGCAATCGATCTACTCCCAAAGGAGACTAATGTTTGCTCTTGCTTGCTAGATTCGGCAAACAAACTAATTGTTGCAACTGCCTCCATCTGGTGAAAATTCCAGGCCAGAACATTAACTTCCATTATTTTTCTAGCTAGAATCTGCATCTGATTGAATCCCAGTAGCTTTGAGTTTTTCTAGAGGCATCAGATATAAAAAGCTCTACTGCATGTCAATTCAGATTGGAGTGAAGGTACTCCGTAGAACACAGACTTCAGAAAGTTGAAACAGTTCTCTGACATTCTGGATAATTTGCCATCCTTAGAGAGTTACTTACTTTTAACTAGCAACCCATGAACTTCTCCTCTCAAAGTATCCAAAATTGTTCAGATTTCTGCTCACGTTTGCCTCTTAAGCAATGCCAAAGCTTGAATTGTGCAGTTTTGACTCCAAGATACTGGCAGTCAGAATATATGAGCATATTAGGGTTATATTAAAACCACTACACAATATTTAAATTGAACTGAACAAAACAATTTGCAACTGGTTTAGACCGATATATTCACCATAGAGAAAATATTCACTACAAACATCAGTGCAAAAGTACCTGAATTCTGGGAGTACTGACCAGTTTCGGTGTAAAACTGTGTTCCTGTGTCTTGTACAGTGTGCTTCTCAGCTTCTTCCTCACTCAATTCATCGTCTGTTGCTTGATCTGAATTAGCAGATTCATAGGCATCCTCAACCCTTTAGATTTAAAATGAGTTGTAAAATTTATTATCGTGCAAATGTGACAATATTTCAATTGTTTGACTTTCCTTTGATAAACGTAGAACAAGAAGGAAATGGTAACAGTGCAGCATGCTATTCTGATTGGCTTCCAGCTTGAACCACTTACTCTAAGGACTTTGGCTCACAGTATTGAGAAACCTGGATCTTCTAGACCTAGATCTGGCATTCAACCAATTGAGTTTTATGGGATGTTATTAAGTTTCCTGGGATGAAATAAGTTTTAAATGAAACATTGTGGTTTACAAATTAAATAGTATCAGGTCTACACAGCATACAAAATAAACATCCTCCCAAATACAATCTGCAGCTTCTCATTTCTGAATGGTTCTTTTACCTTAAGCAATTTTTGGCTTTCTTTTCTTCCTTTACAGGAAAATTTGTAATTTCACTCTTTGATATTTTTCTTCATATTCCACTTTGAATACATGCGTTAACAAGTTTCAGTCTGGCTCACTTGGTAGCCTCGCCTCAAGAGTCAGAGGTTGTTGGTTCAAGCCCTTCATCGGGACTTTGAACTCACATCGTCTACCCTGGCACTCCAGTGCAGTGCTGGGTAGGTGGCAATATTGGAGGTGCCGTCGTTCAGATGAAACATTAAACCGAGGTCCTGCCTGCCTACTCGTGAGGACATTAAAGGTCCTATGACACTATTCTAAAAGAGAAGTGAGCTTTTCTTCTGGCTCCTGGTCAACGACCGCCAAATAAAACAGATCACTCACTTCACGGCTGTTTGTGTGCAAATGGGCTGCTGCATTCGCCTACAAATACACAATCGCTACACTTAACAGTATATGTGCTCTTGACATGAAAGGTACTATACCAAATGCAAGGATTATTACAGTAAAATGTGCATAAGTATTATCTTTATAAATTACATAATCACCCAAGCCGCACTCGAGTCCCATTCAGTTTCCTATCAAAACCACTTAGTTTTTTTTGCACTACTTGTATTAATCATCCTTTAACGCCATTCCCTGCTCCTTCATTACTCCCGCACTTACCAGCTGCATTGAAGTGTGGCAAATGGCGCCCTGACCCATCGACACATGTGCACAACAGCTGCATTGAATTATGGGAAATGCAGTCTTGGCCCGTCACTGCTTACCGGCTGCATTAGCGAACTCGCACATGAACTATTGCATCAATCTTACACTACATGCGCAGTATAGATTGATTAAATCGGAATTTATATGACATACACATTTGCCTGCAACTCGGACTTTGCGTAAGTCATGTATGACTTAGAGTTTTACTGTATTAATATTTGGCAATTACTGTGCTGTGATATTCTTAAACACAGTATGCCCATTCCTAGAAAAGGCTTAATTACATTTGACAATACTTCATGTGCAGTTGAATTACCAGTTTATTAAGTGCATGAAGTAATGAGAAATAGAGGATTAAAAGAACAAAATGTTCACTATTCAGCATTCCCTGTGCTACTCGTATGCTCCCAATTATTCTGGGAGGACAGGATATTCCAGGCATGTCCACTCATTGGTCAACCTTATTAAGAGGTCTAGATTATTTTATAGTGTGTGGATGGCCTAAAAGCCATTGTTCTGACAGTAAATGCAGTGCAGAATATTATGCTCGAAAACAATGTAGAGAAAATTGCCGGACAACATTAATGTTCGCCTTAAGAACTATAAATGACCTTCTACTAGGATTTGGTGGCATCAATCACATGACTGTAGTGTTTCCCCTTCCTGTACCCCATCCCCCAGAATCAGTCAGTTCAGGTGAGGTGGTCTTTACACCAAGGTTAAGGTCATGAGGACTACAATCGGAAGTACAATAAATAACAATAATAATCCTTGCATTTGATATAGTGCCTTATCACGTAGTTGAGATGCCTCAAAGTGCTTCACAGAATATACTGTAAAGTATACTGTGTATTTTGTGGGAGAAACACGGCAGCCAATTGTGCACCAAATTATAATTTTTTTTAAAAGGGATGATTACCCCAGGAAAGCGATCCGCCAATGGACTAACAACCAGGTTCTTACTCACTGCTACTAAACGGAGGCTTGTGAAATAAGGAAACTTCCCTAAGAGTTTGCCCTGACTGGGAATTCTGCTCCAGAATGTGCTTCAACTTCAACCTCAGATAAATATGACCATCTGTAATGTTGTTCTATTTTATGTAGCAAGTAAAATAAAAAACGACCATTTGTGCTTGTGAATTGCAAGCTGGATATTGATTTACTGAGCGCAATGCTTCAGTAAACAGCCCTTCACTGCTATGTACTCAACCTGTTCTATACTCACCACCATCACTTTTTAACAGATTGTCTCCTGATATGGGCAAAGTGTGCATTTGGCTAGCGTTTATTGTCCAGCCCTGACTGCCCTGAGAAAGTGGTAATGAGTTTTCTTTTTAAACCACTGACCTTTTGTATTATCATTTACAATGGAATGGCTTGCTGCATTTTAAGAGTCAACCATGTAGTGTGGGACTGGAGTCACATGTAGACCAGATCAGACCAGGATGGCAGATTTCTTCACCGTGAAGGAAAGTGAACCAGTTGGACAATCATCATGCCTCTGGTGTTAGCTCAAATTACCACATTTTTAAAATTGAAATGACAACTACCTACACTGTTCGCCTGGTAACTTTACCACAACCCAATCGTGATTCTATGTGACTTTTCAAGAGCATAGTGAAGTTCAATCTTGTCAACAGACAATAGATCTCAAACTTTTTTTTAAAAAAAACAAAATTACACATGGAGGTCTCCCCAGAGTCACGTGGATCTGCAAATAAAAAGTTCAATGACTCCACCCAGTGGCTGTTTTAGGACAGCGAAATTGCATCACAGAGAGAGATTGACTTCACTTTAAATAGCATATATGCAGGGTCTTTATATTTTGCATTATCTGTCTTATGAACTTTCAAATTTTCTCCTGAACAGTTTATTTATGGTCTTTTTTTATGGTAACACCTATTTTAATTGAGCTATATTATATTAGCAATATTATTATGTTAGCTATGAAAACATAACCATTAGATTTTTTAAAAGCAAGACCACAGCACTTGTGATCTGTATTGTAACAATCTGGGCCTTTATTCTTGAGCATTTTGGTGATTCAGTTGCAATGGCCTTCATTATTTCTAGCGTGGCACTTGCATTGCTAAAACAAGTTACCATCCTATTGTCTTTCATCAATTTTCTGGTATCTAGCTTCTTTCCCCTCCAATCTATCACTCTTGTACTTGATGGTTCTTTTGAGTTTTGATAATGAACTCAGGGTCTTCTCCCCCCTCACATCCACCAGGTTCTGAGGCACTGTATTAAACGCAAGGATTATTATTTATTTTATTATTGCTCCAACCCGATCTCACTTTCATCAACTTCTTTCAAGCTACACGCCCTCATTGCACATAATGATTAATCCTCTGAGAGCAATGGCTACTGTGATTTCCTCTGCGGCCTTGGGATGTATTAAGAGGTATAGAAGAAAAGGCAGGAAGATTGGATTAAAAGATATGCCACAATCAAACAAACTGGCAAAGATGCTCGAAGGGCTGAATGGTCTCCTTCAATTCCTATGGTTCCCAACTCATTCTTCACCTCATCATTAAGTCTTTGGAATTCCTCGCCTTCGTTTAACAATTTTCGGACTTTATAAACTCAACCACTTGAATCATCTAGTTTTCTTTCTGCTATTGATTTGGATTTTTTCTGAGTTTTTTTGTTAAATATAAAATTAGGCCATAGACTCTTAACAACAAGAAGAGCTAATAAGGGTTCCGACACCTTTTCTCCCCAAAGATAAAACATCTGCCTTTGGAATAGAACCCCATCTGGTGGCCTGAATTAGAAGTGACAAATCCCATACAGCTGAATCAACAAAAAGAGCCATCTTTCGGCAAATTAAACCTGTAATATTTTACAAGAACAAGGTACTTTTAAGTGAAAAATTCTTCACAAATTTAGAACAATTGCACATGGATGCTACTACCATGCCACACATTTCTAAACTCATATTTTCTCTAAAAATGGATTAGGTTACAGCTTGTAATGGCTTTTTTTGCAATGCTGACCAACAAATACAATTTATGGTAAACCTTACCAAGCAGGGCTAGTTATTACTCTCTTGCATAGGTCATGTAGTATTTGATTGTAGTGCTTTCTCTCACTATACGTCAGACCAGACGCAGGCAATTTTCCTGACGAAGGAATCTTTTCTGATGACATATCAAAACGGCCTGAATTTCAGAACAGAAATTAAGCTTAGATTAATTAGAAGACATAATCATAGACCACTGTCAATATAACACACCAGACTTTACAGATGTTCACTGTACAAGGGGTCTGGAAAAGAGTCGTAATTTAACATATAATAAGGCTTGCATTTGATATAGCACTTTTTCTCATTGTCAAAGCATTTCACAGTATTTATTGCAAAGTCTGTTCAATGTTTAGGTGAACATAGCAGCCAATTTGCACAGAGCAATGTTCCACAATCAGACATTAAGTGAATGACCAATTTTATCTAGGGGATTCTTGACCAGGACATCAGAAAAAATTTCCTTCCCTTTTTGAAAAGTATGGGATCTTTGACATCCACCAGAATAAGCAGATGGAAAAGTAACAACTTGAATTTATATAACACCCTTCACATGGGGTAACATCTCTGACCACTGAACAATCGCGCAGTTTGACGCCAAGTTGGGGACAATTATTCAGGAGCAACGTGAAGACAATAAAGAGGAGCAAGTTAGCATAACTGGGGCAGGGAGTTTCATAGGTGTGGCTGTAGTGGCTGACTACACAGCTGCCGATGGTATAACGGAGAGGTCAGGGGCGCACAGAAACAGTTGTTTAATAAACATCAAACATTACATATAGCAATGAATCAATAAACAGAGTAATCAAGCAGTTTAGGGTGAACATTAACATTAAAAGTGGATTGATATCAACTGAATCCATCAACACCAATTAATGTTCAACCATGACCAAATAATGCTTTTGCCTTTGTTCTGAGAAACATAACAGGGTAAGAAATACAAATTAATGGAAACATAATCAGCAACGTCTGAAAGCAAAGCTAAAATTGATGATCAGGTGGACATAGAAAATGTAGCACATCAGCAGGTCATTCATCCTTGTGAATCTGCATCATACCCTTTCTCTGGTAACACCAGTTTAATGAGAATTAATTTGCAAGACACTCAAAAAAATTGTAAATAAGCAGTTCCTGCTGATGTGTCTCTCGAATTCCACTTTTTGGAATTCTTGGCTCTACAAACCAGACTTCAAGGAAGTTGTAATTTAGATTGGTGTCTGAGCAGAGTTCTAGAGTTCACAGTTCTGATGAAGGGTCGTGACCCGAAGCACTGACTCACTTTCCTTTCTCCATAGATGCTGCCTGACCTGCTGTGACTTCTGATTTGTTTCAGAGTTCTGGAGTACCAGACTGACACACATCTGAGTACCTGCAGAATTCCTGGTTTACAAATGCTTTTTGCAAATCCCAAATTAGTAGACCCCAATATAAATCATAACAATGAAAGAACCAAAATAGACAGCAATCCTACAACAGGAAAGGAACTTGAGTCTCCATGGAGATATTTTATGGCCACCAGCATCAACCCACAAGCATTTTAGATCTACACAAGCTGAAAATTGCTTTTATTTGTGAGTCATGGTCAGTTTACCAAGTTCTTGCACTTTGGAAAAAGAAACAGTACCAGAAAGAAACATTTTGAAAAAGATAGTAGTACAGGGGCTTATGCAAAATATATTTTTTTAAATTCTAGCAACTTACCCCTGGCATCTGAGGATTGACTGAAATTCAGACTAATTCTTGTTCCATTTAGTGTGGAGTCCTAAATTAAAACATGAATTATTACTAGACAAAAAAAGTGTCAGGATACCTACTAGGTACAATAGTAGAAACAGTTTATCCGATCTCGTCATCCGAATTGCGCTCTCTTGTGAACAGTCACCTGCATTAATTTAAATCTAAATCAGACATGGCTGTCCATCAGATCTGGTTCAACAACCTATTGCCTCTCCCTATGCAGTCAAAACTTCAGATTATTCTAATAATACTTTCATTTGATATAGCGCCTTATCACGTCTTCAAGACGTCTCAAAGCGCTTCACAGGATATACTGTAAAGTGAATTGACTGTATATTTTATGGGCGAAATGCGGCAGCCAATTGCGCACAGCAGTGTCCCACAGTCATGGATTGAGTGACCAGTTTATTAAATTTTTTTTGAAGGAATTATTACCTTTGGAAAAGCGATCTGCCTATCAACTAACAACTAGGTTCCTATTTAACTATAGATAAACAGAGGCGTGTGGAGTTCAACATTAAAAAGGCATAAGAAAACGACTGACAACTTTCATTCTTAAAAAGTTGCATATAAACTTTATGCAAAATTTACAAAATGGATAATTCTTCAAGACTGTGACATCAAGGCAATTAATACAAATGTGTTCTTACTGGTTTATTTTATAGTACAGCCAGTGATTACTTGGGAGTATTACTTTTCAGTGCTTATTTGTGGATTTTCTGACAAAATTCAATCTTCTCATTGCATCAAATATAGTCAATTCACTATACAGTGTGTTCTGTGAAGCGCTTTGGGATGTCCTCCCGACGTGAAAAGCGCTATATCAAATGCAAGAATTATTATTATTATTATTATCATTATCAAGTGCATTGCAAAGATTAAAATAGTGGTTATCCCAGTTTTGTAACATGTTAATGCTTCAGGTAATTTGTTACATACATTAAACAGAGTCTGGACTAATGGCAAAGCTGAAAACAGATTGCTCATTGCTGTTACTTTGTAAAGTATGTTGTGCTGATTTCCCATGACATCCAACAGTTAAATAAAGGCACATTTCTGAGTAGATATGTACCAAAAACACATAGTGTTTTGTAATTTGTGCAAAGAAGACATTTTATGGATTATTGAAATATTTACTTAACAGGACCCTTTTTGTCTTAAAAGGGAGCTATGCTGGATAGGAGTGAATCAGTTCAGAGTATTGTTTTACTCTAAGGTTCTCCTAAAGGAGCAGAGATTTCCGCACTCTGCTCCTATTAACCTTTACAGCCAATTCCTATCAGGTAGGATGGTCCTAGATGAACAAGCAGCAGGAAGCTTTCAACTCCAGCAGTACTGTATCCCATTTAACACTCTGGATCCCCAAGGCTTAGCTCCCACCAATCTGCACCTAATACACTTCTGAATGAGGTAAACAGGATGCATCAGGATACAGGATGAGGGGAGGCAATACAACAACAACAACAACAAGATTCCATTTATAAAGCGCCTTTCACGTCAGGAGGACGTCCCAAGGCGCTGCACAGTTGGGTCATGACCCGAGCAGGGGGGAAATGGTCAGGGTGAGGGAATACAGTCTAGGTAATACAATCTTAAAGGGGGTAAAAGAACAGAGAGACCTGGGGGTGCAGGTAAATGAATCCTTGAAGGTGGCAGGACAGGTAGATAAGGCTGTAAAAAGGGCAATGGGATTCTAGGCTTTTTATAAATAGGGGCATAGAGTACAAGAGTCAGGAGGTTATGATTAACCTATATAAAACACTGGTTAGACCTCAGTTAGAATACTGTGCCCAGTTCTGGGCACCACACTATAGGAAGGATGTTAAGACATTGGAAATAGTACAGAGGAGATTTACGAGGATGGTACCAGGAGTGAGGGACCTTGATTATGAGGAAAGGCTAGAGAGGTTAGGATTATTCTCATTGGAGCAGAGAAGGTTACGAGGAGAGCTAATAGAGGTCTTCAAAATCATGAGGGGATTTGATAGGTTGGAAAGGGAAAAACTGTTTCCACTGGTGGGTGTGTCGGTGACTCGAGGTCACAGATTCAAAATAGTATCTAAAAAAAGCAGAGGGGAGGTGAGAAGAATTTTTTTCACGCAGCGAGTTGTTCAAATCTGGAATGCATTGCCTGAAAGGGTGGTGGAGGCCGATTCGATAACTACTTTTAAAAACGCAGTGGACGGGTATTTGAGGAGGACGCGTTTGCTGGGTTATGGGGAAAGGGCTGGGGAGTGGGATTGACATTACATTGCTCGATTCACAAAGAGCCGGCACAGACTCGATGGGCCGAATGGCCTCTTTTTGTGCTGTACAATTCTATGATCCCTTCAGGAAGAGCGTGTGCATTCCACTCCAGACACAAGGGAATTCTTATGTGTGGGTGGCACACAGATTCTCAGCTTCGCTTGGATATACTTTAGACCCTGTGATGGGCTTCCACACGTGTCAAGATACCTGGTTGGCCAAAAAGAAAAGGACAAAGATATCGCCAAACTATTCTTCACGATCCTCCACTGTTTTCTTACCTTGATACAAAACTGTGAGGAGCTCATGGAGCTCATAAGAATTGCTAGATGAAAGAAGACCAGTTTGAATTCTACCATCCTGGTAGTTGCACCCACATGTCCCAAATTATATAATAATCATCCTTGCATTTGCTACAGCACTTTTCATATCTTCAAGATGTCTCAAAGCGCTTTACAGAATATACTGTAAAGTGAACCGACTGTATATTTGTGGGCAAAATTGGCAGCCAATCGCGCACAGCAGCAATCGTGGATTGAGTGACCAAATTTTTTTTTTTTTTTAAATGTCTATTATCTCCGGAACAGCGTTCCGCCAATCGACTAACAACCGGGCTCCTACTTCCTGCTGGGTCTTTTTATTTTATTTTTAGATACATTGTACCCCAAGATTTTGTTTCCTAGAAGTAATCTGTCGAACACTTTCTGCTTCCGCTGCCTCTCAAGGGGGCCCCGGTTCCACGCGGTTGCTGCTCGCTCGCGCAAGTAGCATCTCCGCAGATTTGTTCTGAATCTACTTTCAAATTGCGGGCCGCGTGCTCGATGTCCTACTGGTCTGGAGAGGATAATAATAATAATAATAATAATAATCCTTGCATTTGATAAGAGCGCTTTACACGTCGGGAGGACGTCCCAAAGCGCTTCACAGAACACACTGGAAAGTGAATCGACTGTATATTTGTGGGCGAACGCGGCAGCCGATGGCGCACAGCAATGTCCCACAAACAGTCGGAGATTGAAAATGACCAATTTTTATTATTGTTTTGTGGTTTTTGGAGGGGTTATTATTAGGCTCTGTGTGGAGTAAGGAAACTTGCCCGGGGTTTGGCTCTGACCTGCCGGGAATTGAACTCGGGTCTCTCACTTGCAAAGCGAGTGCTCTTAACCACTGATCCACAGGACTCCACAAAAGCAGCTCATCGCGGTCTGCGTTATCTGGAACCTTCCCCACCTTAAAAACCGCTATGATATCCCCCCCTCCCCCCCCCCCCCCGCGGTGTGAACGGGCCCGAGCTCTGAGCCTCTGATCAACATCTGCTTCTGACCGATTGTAACGGGAGCGGAGCCTCGGCCCCGCCCTGACCGGGTGGCGGGGACGGCCTCCTGTTGCTGGTGGACCTTTCCTTACCTGAGCCCCGCCGAGCAGCGCCAGCGCCGAGCCCCGGCCGCGCTCTGTCAGGGCCCTGCGCTTCAGCCGCTCCACAAGACGGTGGGTGTTCGGCTCCTCCTGACTTCCCATCTCGACCAAATGTGCTCCTGCCGTCAACTTATACCCCACCCCACCCCCGCCCGACCCACCGCCCCACCGCCGCCCGCCCGCCCCACCGCCGCAGCAGCTCCCGGGCCCCCGACAACCGCCACCGCCGCCGCGTCGCCCTGGAGACGGTTCAAATCTGGAGCCGTTTTCAGCGGAAACACAACGCGGCGGTTCAAGGGTCAAGAGGGGGTGGGGTGGGAGGGGGTGGGGCCAGCGCCCTCTGCTGTCAATCACTGGGAGTGACAGGCACTCAGCGGGGCCAAGGACATGATGATAAGAAGCGATAATAATAATAATAATCCTTGCATTTGATATAGCGCTTTTCACGTCGGGAGGACGTCCCAAAGCGCTTCACAGAACACACTGTAAAGTGAATTGACTGTATATTTGTGGGCGAACGCGTCAGCCAATTGCCCACAACAATGTCCCACAAACAGTCGTAGATTGAAAATGACCAATTTATTATTGTTTTTGGTTTTGGAGGGATTATTATTAGGCTCTGTGTGGAGTAAGGAAACTTGCCCAAGGTTTCGCCCTGACCTGCCGGGAATTGAACTCAGGTCTCTCACTTACAAATAATAATAATAATCGTTGCATTTGATATTGCGCCATATCGCGCCTTCCGGACGTCTCACAGCGCTTGCAGGATGCGCCGTAAAGTGAACTGACTGCATATTTCGAGGGCGAAACACGGCGGCCAATTGCGCGAAGCAGGGTCCCGCCACCAGTCGCGGACAGGAGTGACCGCATTCATTTTTTTTTCCCCGAGAGATTACTTTTTCTATTTGTTTCTCTCTTTGTACAGTCACACACAGTATAATGGAAAGAGAGGAGGAAGAGAGAGAGTTACAGAGCGCAACAGGAAAGTGGGAGTCGCAGGATAAAAAGATAGTCACACGGTGTATAATGCGAGTCAGAGTAGAGACAGTCACACAGCGTAACAGGAGAGTGATGGAGTATACACAAACACTAGTGTGGAGATGCACTATAACATGGAGCAGGTAAAAGGCTTCCTGTATCTAACCCACTGTTGTCTGTCAGTCGGCGTGTGGATTCCGCCGGCTTCAGTCCCTGCCTGTCCTCACTCCGAGGTGAGACTCTCAGAGCTTGCGCTGTGTCCCAGCATTGTATGGGAAATAGAAGCCCATCACTTCAGAATGCCAATATCCTGTTTATATCACGTCATTGAAGTTTAAAAGATTTTATGTTGATTTAGGTCCTCCTGGGGAGGAGGGAAAGGTAAGCAGGCTCTCCATGTAGCTGAATTGGCTCGAGGGTGACATGTTTGGCAATGGGACATCAGAGTCGAGCCTCTGTGGCTGTCTCTAATCTGGTTCCTGAGCCAGGCGTAAGCACGATCAAAAACAACACAATTACATTTGTATAGCGTCTTTCACGTCGGGAGGACATCCCAAGGCGCTGGACAATCAGTGTTTTGGACCAGAGCTGGGGATCGGGATGGGTGGAGGGAACGGTGGGGAAAGAGGCTGATCGAAGGCACGGTCAAAGAGGAGGGTCTTGACATGGGTCTTGAGGGAGGCGAGGGACAAGGAGGGGTGGGGGCGAGGCGGAGGGACTGTGGGATGGAGTTCCAGAGGGTAGGGGCAGAGAGGCTGAAGCTCCGCCCACCAATGGTGAAGCGGGCAAGGCAGGGACGTGAAGCAATCTAGGCATCCAGTTTGACCCCCAGCTGTCCTTCCTCCCCCAAATCCAGTCACTGACCAAGACCTCCTTCTTCCACCTCTGCCACATTGCCCTCCTCCGACCATACCTTACCCCAAATGCAACCAAAACCCTCGTGCATGCGTTTGTCACCTCCGGCCTGGATTACTCAAATGCACTCTTCGCCGGTCTCCCCAGCTGCACTATTCAAAAGATCCAGCTCATTCAGAACTCTGCTGCCCACATACTTACCCGGACCAAACTCTGTACCTACATCTCACTAGTTCTGGCCAGGCTCCACTGGCTCCCCATCACCAAACAGATCAACTTCAAGATTCTCACATTCATATTCAAATCTCTTCATTCTCCAATCTCCTTCACTCTCCGACTTCCTCACTCCCTAATCCACCACACGGCACCTCCGCTCAACTGGCACCAGCCTCCTGCTCATCACTCACACTCTCCACCCCATCATAGGAGGTTGCGCTTTCTGCTACTGCGCCCCGAAACTCTGGAACACTCTCCCTGAATCCCTCCGCCTTGCCCTCTCTCTCCCCTTTTTCCAAGTTCCGCCTGAAAACTTTCCTCTTTGACCGTGCTTATGGCCACCTCCCCCCACTGGCTTGGAGTCAGGCTCCGCCACTGCTTAGTTCTCTAAGACGCTAGCCTGCGTGGGTAGTGCTATACAAGTGCAAGTTGTTGCTAACCCTGTAAGCCAAAGCCCTAACCAGTAGTATGATCCTACCAGCTGGACAAGCAGCTCAGAGCCTGAGACAGTTGCTGAGAAAAGAGATGTGGCTTTGAAAGTGAGTTTTAGCGAACATAAAAAGGGAAACAGCATAGACGGTGAACCAGGGACAAGGGAAAAACTAAAGTCACGAAGAGAACAGAACTTCTTCAAGGTAGGCATTCCTGGAAGAGAAGGGGCAGGGAATTAAATAGGCAAAATACTGCAGAAACTGGAAATCTGAAATAAAAACAGAAGTCACGTGGAAACTCATTCTTTATGGATTCCAGCTTAAATTCCACCCTTCCTGCTAATATCCACACATGATCAGATACCTCCGTGAAACTCAGCGTTATTCTAACCACTGCTCTCGCCGCCTCATGAGATCTACCCTCTACACCATGCGATGACACATGTATGCTCTTGACCTTTCTCTTCAGCCACACCCACTCACTTTATTTCAGAAACAAAAATCATTGGGAACACTCAGCAGTTCATACAGTAGATAGAGAAAGGAAAGTGGATCAACGTTTCGGGTCCAAGACCCTTCGTCAGAACTGGTGGATGTTGGAAGGGAGAGGTTTTCAAGACTAACAGAAAGGGGAGGCAGGGCAAATCTTGTTTCAGATTTCCAGCATCTGCAGTATTTTGCGTTTCACTTTATTTCAGAGCTGTCCTAAGCCTCAGTTCCATTTCATCCTTCGCCTCATTCGGTAATTTAACAATAGATTTGTTGTCTTACTTTTAGATGGTAAGGACCGCAAGCTCCAACGACTCTTGGATGCCAACCCTTCTCCTAATCCTTACTCTTCTTCTGACCCCATCCCTCCCTCCAATCCCACCCTTTGTCATATTTTCACTAACCCTTCTGACCTTCCCCACTCTGATCCCAAACAATCCATCCTTAGCAAAGGCCTTAGCTTCATGCCCTTGCACCCCCAATAAATTTTGAGCTCAACATGTTGCTGAGCTCTTCTTCCGCCCCTTCACCTCGTTTGGTTAGGAGGCTTCCCCTCACACAGCAGACCCCTTTTCTTGTCTTCAGAGTTCCCATTCCACCGGTATTCCTCCCTCAGGCCTTCTATTCTCCCCTGATCTGTTCATTGAGAACTGCTGGTGTGATATTGGCCGTGTCAGTTTCTCCACTCCCCACTCAAATCATTCTCCTGCTGAACTTGCTGCATTCCACGTTCTCATGTCCAACCCTGACATCATAATCATGCCCGCTGACAAGGGAGGGGATGTTGCGAAAGGACCTTGCCTTGCGATGGATGAACGACAAGACAACTCTCTGACAACTCCGGACCATGACCCCACTACTGAACGCAAGCCATCATCTCCCAGACTGTCACTAACCTCATCTCCTCTGGAGATGTCCCCCCCAACCTCACAGCGTCCAACCTTATAGTCCCCCAACCTTGCACAGCCTCTGCTTCTTTCCCAAGATCCCAAAACAGAAATATCCGGTAGACCTATCATTTCAGCCTGGTCCTGCCCCACAGAACTTACTTCCTCTCACCTAGATTTTATTTATTCCCTCTTGTCCAGTCTCTACTCACCTGCATCCGCAACAATTGACCCCTCCATCATTTCAACCAATTACACTTTCCTGGCCGTCTCCTTTTTACAATGAACACGCCTCCATCTCGCACAGGAGAGCCTGCAGGAAGAGCCTACTTCCTGGAACAGCGGCCCAACCAGTCTCCATCCACCATCACCCTTCTCCGCCTGGCTGAACTTGTTCTCACGTTGAACTTTTCTTGTAACTTCACTCACTTCCTCCAAATAAAAGGTGTTAAAATAAAGAGTTCTGACAAAGATCAACTGTAAAGTTACATCACTTTCCTCTCGCCAAAGATGCTGCCTGGCCTGCTGAGTGTTTCCAGCGACTTCTGTTTTTATTTCAGATTTCCTTTTGCTGCAGTATTTTGCCTTTTGTTCAATACACAACTCCATATGCAATTGGGATGCAGGAAACTCCCTTTGGAGACTCTTAAGCATCGTGATTAGCTTCCGCATGTATCAAGACACCTGGCTGATCAAAAACATTTAAAGAACACGTAATCCGAACTGATCCCATGATAATACTCAGAAAGACATGCCTTTGAAATTGGTCAAGGCCATGTGAATATTACAGCTACAAATTGATTTGTTTGCCCTCAAATGAAGTTGACAGCAATTAGCTGTGAAATGCTTTGAGACATTTTGGCAAAGAGGCTATTATCAAATGCATTTTTTTTTGCAAATGCAACTTGTTTCTTACACACAGGTGCTCACTTTCCATATCCACATTCATATGATAAAAAAGTGAACTTCACAATTTTAACTTATGAAATAGCACATAATAAATCATGGATGATAACTTAAAAAAGTTCAACAAGATATTGCTTTCAATAATTTTTTTAAAAATTTGAGCAATATTTCATGGAAGACATTAAGGAAGAATCATGGAACCAATGACGTTACTGTGTTCACAAGGAACATGGTCTCTTAAAAAATTACCCTACTTGAAATTGTATGCATCTTACTAGTGTAAAAGCACTGCAGTTCCATGTTAGATACAGACATGAGAACACCTCTTCTGTTCAAGCCCAAAAGTAATAGAAAAACTGCTAAAATTAATAGTTACCACATTCTGAGTTATAAATATTTATTAAAGTTGCATAAGTGTTGGAATTTAAAATTGCCAAATTAGTTACAGAGCCAGTAAAATATGACAAACTATCAAATATTACAGAAATTGGGTTAAAAATTTCTCCAAACGTCAGCATTTTCCATCTTAACAGAATTAACTCAGATAGAAATGGACTGGTAATAAGACTTTCAGTAAAGATTTAAGTATTGTTGCACTAAATCTTAAAATGGTGAGCACATGCAAAATCTTGTGAAAAACACCCAGTAATTGGCCACCATCCTGTTTTGGTCCTGGAAACCAGTCATTAAATAGTGCATTAATTCACAAATAGAAAGCATAAAAAATAGGTTACATTTCAAGCTCTTTAGAAGTTTAATGTAATGACAAGAAATTTTCTCAACACTGATTCCAATTGTTTTTTTTAAAAAAACTCTCCTTCAAAGTTTGACAGCAACTATTGGTGCAGCAAAATAACTCATGACATATCTAAGATAAATGTTTGTAGACCGGGTTGAGTCGAGCTTTTATTCAGAAACATGCAAAATTCCAAATACGTAACAAAACGATTCAACAGCTATCAGCAGTCAAATATAATTTGTACACCTAGAGATCAGGACCAGTACAGTATTACATGGTGGCTCTATCCAATATTATATTGTTTAAGCCTTAAAGCAAGATTTCTAGATAACAAGGAGCAATGGCAGATATTCTCCAATTATGATGTTTGTCCACAATCAGTTATTACAATTGCTTTACTTGTTGTGCCATCTTTTGACCCAAATGATTCAATTTTCCTCACAACATCCATGCCATCCTTTACATAACCAAAAGCTACATTCTTAAAATCTAATTGTTCTGCTTTCCTCAGAGTAATGAAGAACTGTGAATTGTTGGTGTTTTGGCCACAATTTACCATCGACAACAAACCAGGACAAGTGTGTCTCACGACAAAGTTTTCATCTTCAAACTGTTCACCATAAATGGATTTTCCACCAGTTCCATTATGTTTCGTTATATCACCACCCTGAAATAAGAGTATTTTTTCATTACGTTTTAATGCAACACACTACGTCAATATAGGGATACGGAATTTTAAAAATGGGGAAAAGATTTTTTAATTACCTGGCACACGAATTCTGGAAAAACCCTGTGAAATGTTGAGTTTTTGAATCCAAATCCTTTCTCTCCAGTACAAAGTGCCCTGAAGTTTTCAGCTGTTCGGGGAACAATATTTGCCAGAAGTTCCATAGTAATTTTCCCCAAAATCTCATGATCAGTACGTACATCAAAATATACAACGGGATTGCTCGCAAATGACAATGTCATTACATAGGATTCCTGAGGGGTCAGAAGCTCTGAAAGGGCTTTTCGACATTCTTCAAATTTCTTCTTGTAAGTAGCTGCCAATTCCGGAGTTTTAAATCGGGCAGCAAACTGTTCTACTTTGGCTTCACCATCTGCAAAAAAANGAGTCCAATAGCAGTGTTATTTCTGTTTAATAACATGCTGTAATTTCCAATCGGAATTGTTCAAATAATACCACCTTTCTTCAATTAATTACCCAAAGTTGATGCATTTGAACATGGTGTTTTTCATGTTCAGATAAATGGTATGTATTTGCATGATGCACGTTACTTCAACAATAAATTGCATTTATACTATATTTATTTCATTTATTCATGTCAGGAGGTTGACCCAAGGTGTTGGACAATGAGGGGCTTGCTCCCTAGCTGCGAGTTGGAATGAGACAAGGGGTGGACTCACAAGAGACATCAAGGAAACAACAACTGAGATTTAGACACATTTGAATACACCTGTATTTACCCACTCTTGCACTTTTAAGCAATTTATCTTCCACGGGACTCAAGAACCTACACACAATATTAAGATTCTTCATTTGACTAAGTCCACATTGTTTTATGATCACTGATACTCCCTTTTCTAAATTGTGCTACTGTAAAATAATGGACAAACTTACCAGTATAATCTGCTGCAGTCCAAACAAATGCATGGTTTGAAGTATTCAATGGTATAAGCTCCATTTCCTCAGTAATGACGTGGTTTGCACAGACTTTTAAAACTTGCTCCCTCCTCATTAGAACTCGATAACAATGTTTCTGTGAGTGATAGAGGAGCTTCAGATCACCAACACCTCGTTCTTTCCACTGAGAGACATCTCTGTCCCATCGATATAGTTTAACTCGCTCCTTAAATAGGATTTCCTCTTCCTCTTCACCAGACTTTGTTTCAATCTAGGAAAATTAATAGCATTCATCACTTTATATTATTTAATAAAATATTAAATAGTCAATTTACTTTGCAGAATATTTTGTGAAGTGCTTTGAGACTTCTGGAAATGCAAGGATTATTATTTGTCATAAGTGGTGTTTTGTTCAAACAAGATTTTCCTGCAACTAAATTTTCTTCTTTAGTTAGACCTCAATTACCTGGCAGAATCTTTGATATTTATTCTTTTACCAACCTGAATGAATGACAGTGATCAGGGTACAAAAATACCTTTAATATTAAACAAATCAGGTGCCAGCCTGAATCAGTTGTTAGCACTCAACTTCTGAGTCAGAAGGTTGTGGGTTCAAGCCCTGTATCGGAACTTGGAATCCATATAGTCTATGGTTCAAATGCAGTACCAAGCGTGTAGTCCATTGTCAGGGGCGCTGTCCTTTGAATGGGATCTTAAACCTTGGGGAGAGAAGGCAAAGTACTGCAGATGCTGGAATCTAGTATAAACACACAAGTCGCTGGGAACATGCAGCAGGTCAGGCAGCATCCATGGAGAGGAAAATGAGGGAAAGAAAGACAAAGAAAATCAAATTTTTAGATGGAGGACAGAAGATGATGAGATTGGAAGTGTTGATAGTGCAAGACAAAAGGCAATTAGGGGGATTATACATATAAACAGATGCATCTAAGAAACAGAGGATGTGTTAATGGTTATGGGGGGGAGGGAAGGCTGAGAGAAGATGGGAGCTCTGGCTCAGGTCTGGAATGGTTGAAATCAACGTTGAGGCCAGAGGGCTGTAAGGTGCCCAGGAGGTGGATTAAGTGCTGTTCTTCGAGCTTGCGTTGAGCTTCGTTCAAACAGCAATCGGAGGCCATGGACAGAGAGGAAGCAGGAAGGAGAATTAAAATGGCAAGCGACCGGAAGCTCAGGGTTGCACTTGGGGATGGAACTTAGGTGTTTGGCAATGCGATCACCCAATCTGGACCAACTAGATGGAGCTTGGTCTTTTTTTGTCTAGCATTTATGTTCTTATGCTATGTACGCAAACGTCCTCCTCTCCTCCTCCACTATTCACAAATTCAACTCATCCAAAACTCCGCCACCCGCATTCTCACCCGCACTAAATCCGCACCCAGATTACCCCAGTCCTTGCCAAACTCCACTTGGCTCCATCACAGAGAGGATCAACTTCAAGATCCTCATTCTAGTGATTAAATCCTTCACTCTTTGGCACCCCATTATCTCTCCAACCTCCTTCTCCTCACAGCACTACCAATTGCCTCTGCTCTACTGGCTCCGGCCTCCTTCTCGTTCCACTGTAATAATTAATGTGTTAAATAATCTCAAATTATATTGGCGATATGAAACATATGATCAATCTCATATGAGGGAGGGAAGCTGGATGTGACTAGCTTCGAAGAAGATCCTTGCTCAAGGAAGAGAAACAAAAGACTGTATATAAACAACGAACTGTTTTCATTCCTTATCAGTCATTTTCTCATGGAAAAATGGTCTGCAGCTGGAGAGCTGTGTTGCATTTGTTTTTACAAACGAACCATCTTACAAAAGACAATAGGTGAAAGGAAGAAATTGGAACTTGGGAGTCGCGAACCATATTCCAGCTTCTAAAGAAAGAAGATCAAGACTACGATTTAAGCACTAACTGTACAATAATACCTGGATAATTTTGGGTGATATTGAACTGGAAACCATACAACAATACTTGGATACCTTTTGAGGACTTCTATTTGGATTCAAATGGGTCATTAAATTGGACATTGCTTCTCTATCTCTCCCGCCAAAAATGGTTTGGTCAACTTAAATCGTCGTAAACTACAGAATACATGGATACGCGAGCATAATTAGATGTATTATTTTAATTACTTATAACGATTATTAATCTGAATTAATAAACCTTGATTAATTGTACAATATTTCTATCAGTCCTTACTTCACCGCAGTGTCATGAAAACAAATTAACCCTTACACCTCAAATCCTCTGCTCCACCATCGGGGGTTGTGCCTTCAGCCACTAAGCCCCCGAGCAATTGAACTCCCTCCCTCAATCTCTTCACCTGGCACCCTTTCCCCATTTTAAGGTTGCGGCTGAAGACCTTCCTCTTTGACTGGGCCTATGGTCACCTTCCCACTCCTCCTGGCTTGGCATCGGGCTCCACCATTGTTAAGCGCTCTGGGTTGCGCCCAGCATAGAGGGCACTATACATAAATGCAATTTGTTGTTATTACTGCGTGCAAAATTGTCTGCTACGTTCACCCATGAAATATAGTCACACCGTTTTACAGTGAAGGGCTTTGTGATGTCTCATGGTTTGATAGGTACTAGATCAAAAGCAAGATTATTATATGGAGACTAAGAAAACTACCATGGTCCAAAATTTGGGAGATTTTTCCCATTTTCTTTACAATTGCTACTTTATAAAATATGCAAATTAATGGTTTTATTTATTTCCACCTGCTCAAGTTGAGTTCCAATAATGCTGGGAAATGGATTTTATATCTAAAGTAATTCCACATTTCCTACAAACCCGTGTGGTGTACAGCTCCAATTACACCACCTCAGTCATGTGGATCCAAAAAGTGCAGCAGACAGAGACAGACAGACTGCGAGAGAGACAAAATTATAAAGTGTAGTGACTGTGTGTTTCGTGGGAGAGACCTCGGTCGACCAAGTGAGACCTCGACGGAGAGAGATAGAGCCATTGAGAAACTGAGGGAGAGAGAGAAAAAGACAGAGAGAGAGAAAAAATATATTAAAGTCCTCCTCCCACTGAATCCGCCCAGCTGAGTATAATGTCTAAATGAAATGTCCGCCTGTGTGTCAATCTACATTCCATATCGGATCCTTTGTTTGCAAGCGAAGCTGCAACAAGTACAGCTAGTATTGTATAATTTGCTTGGTCTAGGAGTGATACATAACCTAAAAAACAGGTGATTTTGGTAGCAGGGGTTGAAGCCCATATTACTGAATAACACCTCGGAATTGAGATTATACTGCGTATGTGTTATAAGCAAACTCCTCAATGCCAGAAACGCTAAATTCCATTTTATAAATGCAAAGTGCATTTTGAAAAAAAATATATATATTTTCACCATGCCAACTGCAATGTGTTTGGAACTGTTGAATTTTTTATGCTAATCAGTGTAAAACTGCACAACAACAACAACAACAAGATTCCATTTATAGAGCGCCTTTCACGTCAGGAGGACGTCCCAAGGCGCTGCACAGTTGGGTCATGACCCGAGCAGGGGGAAATGGTCAGGGTGAGGGGAGGGAAGGGAGGGAGAGAGGAGGGGGGAAATGGTCAGGGTGAGGGGAGGGAAGGGAGGGAGCGAGGAGGAGGAAGAGAGTCGAGAGGGGAGCTGAAGGCACGGTCAAAGAGAAAGGTTTTGAGACCGGCCTTGAAGGAGGAAAGGGAGGAAGCAAGGCGAAGGCACTGGGGGATGGAGTTCCAGAGCCTGGGGGCTGAGAGGCTGAAGGCCCGACCACCGATAGTAGGGCGGTTGGGGCGGGGGACGTGGAGCAGACCGGAGCCAGAGGAACGGAGGGTACGGGCAGGTAGGTAGGGGGTTAGTAGGTTGGAGAGGTAGGAGGGAGCAAGGCCATGAATGGCCTTGTAGGTGAGGATGAGGATCTTGAAATCAATCCTCTGGGGGATGGGGAGCCAGTGGAGGCGAGCGAGGGTGGGAGTGATGTGGTCCCGAAGCCTGGTGCGGGACAGTACACGAGCTGCAGAGTTCTGAATGACCTGAATGACAAAGTGTAAACTGTACGATATGGAGATTCTACTACATCCTGTCCTAATAAAGTAATGACAAAATCGGAACTGGTGCTACAAATTTAAGAAAACTAAGGAACATTTTTGCAATGACAGAGGTGCCTAATAATAACCTTAGCTTCTAAATGTAAAACACAAGTATTTGGCTCAGATGAATTTTCATGGAACTTATTTAGCCAACATGATGGATTCTAGAAATTCTCCTACACTAAATAATTGACAGTGGATTTCCAGATGAATCTTACCTCAGGTAGGAAATTATTGGCTCAAAGTGGATATCTTCATTCGTTACCACATCAGAATCATCAACTTCATCTCCACCTCCACGAGTTGACATCACAGGTGAACTAAACACAGTTCCTCCAATACCCGGCCATTTGAAATTTGAATCTGTTTCAAAAGAATGTTAGTACTGAATGGAAATGCACCAGCTAGCTTAATAAGTCAAAGTAGTTTTCCAGTAACATTTCAATACACAATCTGCCAAGACCCGTTGACGGACGGTCACAAAAGCATAAAAGGCCACAAACAAGATAAACAAAATCTACAGGGATGATGAATTCTAAATTATATACAGGCCTTGAATATTGCTGAGCCTATTTTGCATTATAACAAGGCTGCATCATACAGTCAGTTTATCTTTAGGTGTCAGGGTCAGACTCGTTAAGATTTTACCTTTATTTCCAAATGCATATTCTTCTCCACCCTTTTCTGCTAACTCTGCAAAAGAAAATCCTGAAGGAGCATCGAATCCAAATGTGATCTTTCCTGGAGAAGAAACAAAATGCATACTCAGATATCACATACGTAAATCGCATTATGGAAATTTTCTGAGGTTAGGAATAGCATGGATTAGCTGCACAGTAAAGATTGGATATTACCTCACTACAGCAGAATCCCATTATAGCACTATATTGCAACACTAATTTGTGTATAAGGCAGGTGCCTTGTGGATGTACGTAGGACATTGAATCAGATTGCTGCATGCAGGAAACGGCAACCCACAAACTAACTTACTCAAGCTATTGTGTATTGTGAGGCACAGAAAGCAACAGGAGCAGCAACCGGATGACACGATAGCCTTTCTCCCAACCCCTCACCCAAACCCAGCTCATTGCGTCGATTCTCAATCTGTACTAAGTTTGCTGCTCTCAGACAGAATTGCATGAAGAGGCTACTTTGGGCTCAGCCTTCCCAGGATCAGGGAAGGAGAAAACAGACCTCAGTGGTTATGTGCGTACTTTGCAGCATTCATGCGAAAAAATTAAGCTCTGCTGTGATTTCCTCTACAGTTGAGTGGGCTGCCGACACTCACTGCCAAGGCCGACACATGAAATATCACTTGGGTCATGTACCGGAGAGAAACCAACTGCCATGGAACTGCTCCCTAGCTAGACTATATAAATTTATATTTAGACAAATATACACCTGTCCACTGACAAAGTTTCAAGAACTATATTACAATCAATCCTGGTCCCCAACAGCCACACCATATCAGGTCCAGGCAGGTTTCCAAACAATAACTCACACTATGAACTCCTGAAGAATCCCCAAAAAATGAGAAGTCCTGCCACCCCGTCACCAAGTTAGGTTCCCCTTGAAAAATTTGGAGGGTTGCTATACTTCAAATGCAAACCACAAGATCAATTAAAAATAACTTTCTTGCATTCACCAACCCTTTTGTACCTTGAGTTGTAGAGTCTGGCTCCTCATCCTTTTTAGTTGACAAGTCAATGGGCCTGTTTTCATGGGTAGCATGGAGCTCGGTCTTAATTACGAGTTCTGTTGAGGAGCTTGGCCCAGCCTCTGAGTCAGTAGACAGTACATAGCTGAACTGACCACTGACATCGTCTGTTGAAGTCATATCAGTGGAACTGCTAATCATGTTGTCCTGTGATTCGTGCTAATAAAACAGAGCAGTTCAGTCCAAATTTTCCTGATTAAGACAAGAACATTCTACACCCTGGTTATTACTAATTGCTTCCTTTTCAACAACTGTTCAATTGAGAATAGAACAAAACAAATGTTTCAAGACTAGCATCACATTAAACTGTAAATACCCCCATCTACTACTAATCAGGGTATATTAGTAGGTTAAATGTTTGCCACCCAATCAATTTAAAAATCAGCACTTGTGAACAGTTGGAGCAAAATGTAAATACTGTATATTCATTAGGGGCAGCATTGATCATTGGGAGTTTCAATACAATATGAAGGTAAAATACAACTTCAAACAATTACATAAGATTTCATCCATGATACTTAAATCATTACAATGAAAATTTCTTAAAATTCTTACCTGACAATCTCTAATTTTTCTCATCTCTGTCTCAAAGTCTTCCTGCTCTTCTTTCTCCCCTTCAGTGTCGCTGCCATTTCCACAAAAGAAGGTTGGAGGAAGCTTCAATCTTTCAGCCTTTGACTTTTCCTCAGCAGTGGGCAATTTCTCCCATACAAGGATACAGTCATCATCCCCTACTGCAGTAGTTCCAATTAGATTCGCTATAAAGAGAAGTTCATTGTTTAAACAATTCTTTGATTCCGATGAGAAGCATGTAACCTTACTATCTATTGCTACTAGTCATCCTTTTTGGACAAAACAGTAGAATAGAAATCTATACAAGTGAACCACTAAAACTTGTGGTAAAACACAACTGGGGCTAAATTCCTGTAGGAGACTACAATTAGAATTTAATCGGGCAGTATCAGCAGATCAAATAATATCTTACCAGCCATGGAGCTACACACATCAAAGTTTCAAATAAAATTGAACCATGAACTTACAGCTAACCATCAAAACCATGCATTTATAACCGCAGTCAACCCAAATGGGTACCAAGACTGCATCATTAAAATTCAAATCACAAATTGCACCATCAAAACCCCACCACAACTTCAAAATATATACCCGCTGAAGAATCTTGCTCCCTGGTATCATCTGAACGCAGACATCCACCAACAGTGTCTAAGATTTCTTCCGCTGAAAGAAAATACTGTGAATTAAAATCATTTAACAGATTTTAAAGCAGAACAATGGAAATTAAGCATTTAAAATCTACCATTTTCAGAAAGCTCTGGCTGATTTGACTCATCTGGATTCGATTGCTCCCTTTGCTCATCTGAACTCAAAAGTCCACTGAACCGATCAGTTTCTAGGATTTAGAAAAATGAATAATTAGAAATGAGTGAAAAATATTCAGCATTTGTAAACGATAACAAAGACATTTATTGTTTAAAATATGTATGTACCCGCCACTGAAGACTCTTGCTGCTCTCTCACCCAGATGCAATAGCAACAATAACAACCTAACTTGAGCAATTGGAGACCCTGACCAACTAGTGAATATACACATTGTGGGGGGAGCTAAGCAGTGTCTCTTAGGCGCTGATTCCAAGGTGGCATGCTTGGCAAAATGTCGGAATCAAGTCAATCCTCTGTGAGAGTCTCAACAGTCTGATTCCCAAACCGGGTTCTGTAGTACTCAGTGTCAATGCTGATGACAGACCCGCCAGCCTGGCTCTTGGGTAGAACATGGAAGGGTAGACCATGGAAGGGCCGACTAGTCCTTGAGAGCAGGAATTCTTCCCACTCCATTTCTGTTAATCTTGCAAGCCAAAGTGGTCCTAGCTGAACACATAATGGGAAACTCGGCAAACAGTGGCCTCAATGGCAAGCTAAGTGGTTTTAGCTATTTTTAGATTGTTCAACCATGCTTATGGTCACCTCCTCCCCCCACTCTGGAACAGCCTTCCTCACTCCCTTCCCATTTTCAGGTCTCTGCTGAAGACCTTTCTTTTCGACCGCACCTTTGGTCACCTTCCCCCCCCCCTCCCCCTGGCTCAATCCCAGGATCTGTTACTGTAAAGCGCTCTGAGACGCAGTCCAGCATGAAGGGCGCTATATAAATCCCAGTTGTTGTTGTTGTAGCAATACCCCATTGCACTCTGGGTTCTCTAAGCCTTTGGTTTTGCCAACCTGCGTCTGCTGCTGTAAAGAGCATGCATATTCCATAAGGAAATTTGGATGCGAGGGTGGAATATATGTGGAACTGTCTGGGTTGAATACTATGGGGACAAGTTGTCCCACACATGTCAGACATCTGGTTAAATCCCCCAAAAATAAGAACATATCAATAGTTTACAATAATTCATCTTAAAGTAAAAACATTTGTTTAAAAAGTACACCTCATTTGCAATTCGTAAGCAGGCAATTTTCACAATTGCAAACCTGTATCTGCTTGAGACTTCTTTTGATCACCCGGATACAACCTTCCATTGAGTCTTTTAACAGCTGTTTCGTAGTCTTCATCTTAAACACAAATACATTTAAGTTTGACATTCATAATTCATAAGATTGTTCAGTTGAAAAATGTAGTTCAGAAAACAATAATCTTGTAAGGAATTCTTTGATAAGTGAATTTACTTGTGCAATAATAATACTCCGTGCATTTGATATAGCGCCTTATCAAGACGTCTTTGAGACGTCTCAAAGTCCTTCACAGAATAAAGTGAATTGATTGTATATTTTGTGGGAGATAAAATGTATAATAATCCTTGCAATCAATACGGGATCTTTCACATCAGCAGAAAGTCTCAAAGAGCTTCACAGGATTTATTGAAAAGTCAAGTGCCTATTTGTCTGCAAATGTGGCAGCCAATTTGAGCACAGCAATCCTATAATCAGACATGTAGTGAATGCTCAATCTTATTTGGGTGATTGTTGACCAGAATATCAAGAGAAAGTGCCGTCTCTTTTTGAATTGTGCCAAGAAACTGAAACGTCCACCTAAACAGGTAGGTCTTCTATAACCCCTTGTCCGAAGGACAGCACATCCAACACTCCACTGGAGTTTTAGCCTGGACTATGTGACTTCAAAGTCTTCAAGTTTGGAGGTAAGTGCTTCCAACTGAGCCTGGCTGACATGAAGATAGTTTTACATCTTTAAAATTCTGCAGCTAAGATAAAAAAAAACCTAAATTACGTATACACTACAATTAAAATATGTATGTGCAGATATGTATCTATGGAGTTCCATAACGTAGTATTTAGCGAGAGGACCCGAGTTCTATTCCCGGGCAGCCGAAACCTTAGGCCAAGTTTCCTTAATCCACACACTTCTGTTTATCCAGCAGTACGAAGGAACCCGGTTGTTTAATCGATTGTCAGATCGGGTAATAATGTCTCAAACCAAATAATGGTACCTCAAACTGCGACTGTTTGTTGGACACTGTTGTGCGCGATTGCCTGCCTCGTTTCGCCCACAAAATACAGTCAATATATTCTGTGAATCACTTTGAGATGTCTCAACGACATAAGTCGCTATATCAAATGCAAGGAATTTTACTATTTGACAATAATAGTTGCCTTGTGTGATTATTCAATTTTCAGAGGAATATAAACTTTATCGATTCAGGACGCTTTCAATTAAAGAACAGGTATTCACCATTTGAATACAGTAACAAGTTTTGCTTCTTGTAAAGTTTGTAGTTAAAAATACAGATACGCCCTGGACATCCACATAACGGTAACTGCCCCAGGGTTGAAATTGCACCAGTGTCAGCAAAACTCGTGGATTTATTATGCATTTCTGATTATTTCTCAAAGCGTCCCAAGCACTTTGAGATGTCTAGAAGATGTGAAAATCACTATATTAAATGCAAGGATTATTATTATTAGGGAACAAGCAACGAAAGTTCTGAAAGAAGTGAACATTAAAAGTAGGGCTTAGAGCAACAGAAACTCAGGGCCAGGTATAGAGCCTCCCTGACCAGCGCGTCTTAACAGCAGTGTGTTTGTTGAAGTTAAGGAACACAATCTACCTTGCATTTCCATAGTTTTCTCTCTAACTTTCAATAAAATGTTATTCTTGGAGCCAGTTCCAATTAGTGTGTATATCAGGATCTCTACATAATGTTCCACTGTTGAATGTAATGTTTTCAAAAAATAAAATTTAGATGAACATGCTAGCTCTACAAATATTCTTTAATTACTTCTAAAACGTTCAATGTCTTATAATAGTAAAACACAGGTGAACTCTGTTTACCTATATATCTAGAACACCCTTCAGTATAATGCAGGCTGGTTTAGATTGCCATATAGCACAAGGTTTGCTTGTGCACTCTGGGGATGCACAACTGAATAATAATAATAATAATAATAATAATCCTTGCATTTGATATAGCGCTTTTCACGTCGGGAGGACGTCCCAAAGCGCTTCACAGAACACACTGCAAAGTGAACCGACCGCATATCTGCGAATAAACCAAACATCAAATTGTGTGTGAATTTTCAAGAGCCAGCATTTCAATCTAAGATTGTCTTACCATCCTCCTCATCATCGCTAACGTAGCCAGGTTTATTTTTGTAGCAGAAGAACGTTGGGGGAAGTTGTAGTTCTTTAGCAAAAGCCTCTTGTTCAGGTGTAGGTGTCAACACAAAGACAATCTGTACATCTTCATCTACATCTAATGTAAAAAAAATCATAGCTTCAAAGTTGTAATAGTTTTCAAACAAAGTATAAATATTCTTTGGCATTAGTGAACCCAAACTTACTCATGTCATACTCATGTGTGTTGAGGGTAGGGAAGACAGAGTGGCCATCTTTTGTGCTGAATATTTCTATAAGAGAAATGCACAACCCTTGCTCAATATCCTTCTCTGTGTTTGCTTTCCTACGCTCAACTAGGAAGGAAGCAATAGTCTATATCAGTGAGATCTGTACCAGAGGGCAGAATACTTGTTTATAAATGACAGTCCACATTGGCCAGGAAGATACATATTTTCATTCCCTGTCCTTCCAGAACACTCCAGTGGGAAATCGTAATTTAGCTAAACTAGTTCCCAATTTTGACGACAGGAGGAAGCAGAAAATGAGAACCGTCATTCTAAGCAATCCAAATGATATTCAACACAAAACTAAGACAGTGAGAAAATAGATTTGAAGTTAGCACTAAGTTTTCTTTTACCATTTTCTCCAAAGGAGATTCTTCCATCAAAAATGTAGTCACAAAAGAGTTTCTGTATGATTTACTACAAATCTAACCGCAACCTCCATATTAATGGATTTCAATCAAGCACATTTTTCAAACAGCTTTTTAAAGAGATCTTATTTTACCAAATCAGTATTTTATGAAATTTCAGTAACCAAATGCCAACTTCTAAAGCGTATTATGGATAAATGAGAAAATGTAATGTTGTGGTCTCACTGGCTAGTTATAATTGGCAGTGTTTTGGTAATAAATACAAGTTACTACAAATTCCTTCAGCAGATGCTTAGTCATCAAATTCAAAAACAATTCTTCTTTGTGTCGAGAACGTGCAGGCTGCCATTACAGAAACCATTTATGGTCATAGTAGCCAATGAACCATGCACATTCTGAACCAATCACTTATTCCCAAGGTGATGCATGCAAGATTACATAAAAACTCACCTCATTTTATATTTTCTTAGATTATTCCATGATAGACACTTCAACAGAAAAATTTAATTAATGTTCCTAGTAGTTTAGTCTAAATAAGTATCAAATGCTTGCTTGCCTTACATTCCAGTCAAGTTCAGAAACCAATCTTCATACCCTATCCAATTATTGAAATTTTACAGTCCATGCAAACATCCCAGACTCGAGCAAAATCACATGACAAGTTTTTAAATGTTAACCATGCTGAATCAATCTAGTGGAAGCACAAAAACGAGCAAGTTTATTAAACATAAAATAGTCTAAAAGCTGCAGACAAGAATAATGCAAACTGAAATTGTAAATGGAGAAAGCTGGAAGAGGGGCAGAGCAGTGACATTTTTTAAGAATGTTGATGCGTTTCAAAATATCTATTATAACAATAAAGGGAATCATATTCTGTTTAATGAGATCGTATTGATTTATTCAGCCTTTTGGTTATGTGCTTTTAATTTTCTTCTGGAAGGTCTTGCTCCAAACAGTTCTATTTTGTACAGTTCTATCCAACTCCCCATGATTCATAACATTATTCTTTCATCTCGTCTACAACAACAACAGGATTCCATTTATAGAGCGCCTTTCACGTCAGGAGGACATTCCAAGGCGCTGTACAGTTGGGTCAGGACCCGAGCATTGGGGGGAAATGGTCAAGGGGAGGGAAGGGAGGGAGCGAGGAGGGGGTAGAGAGTCGAGAGGGGAGCTGAAGGCACGGTCAAAGAGAAAGGTCTTGAGACCGGCCTTGAAGGAGGAAAGGGAGGAGGCGGTGAAGGCACTGGGGGATAGAGTTCCAGAGCCTCGGGGCTGAGAGGCTGAAGGCCCGGTCACCGATGGTAGGGCGGTTGGGGCGGGGGATGTGGAGCAGACCGGAGCCAGAGGAACGGAGGGTACGGGCAGGTAAGTAGGGGGATAGTAGGTCGGAGAGGTAGGAGGGAGCAAGGCCGTGAATGGCCTTGTAGGTGAGGATGAGGATCTTGAATTCGATCCTCTGGGGGATGGGGAGCCAGTGGAGGCGAGCGAGGGTGGGAGTGATGTGGTCGCGATGCCTGGTGCGGGACAGTACACGAGCTGCAGAGTTCTGAATGACCTGTAGCTTGTGGAGAAAGGTGCCGGGAAGGCCGGCGAGGAGAGAGTTCCCATAGTCCAGCCTTGAGGTGATAAAGGCGTGGACCAGTGTTTCAGCAGCGTGAGGGGTGAGGTAGTGCCGTAGTCTGGCGATGTTTCGGAGGTGGTGGAAGGTGGTGCCAGTTGTGGTGCGGATATGGGGGAGAAAGGACAGCTCAGGGTCGAACAGAACCCCGAGGTTCCTGATTGGGTTTGAGAGGTGGAGAGTGCAGCTTTGGATGCTGATGCTGTCAGCGCCTGAGGTGCGGAGGCGCTGACACGAGTCAATCAGGAGGGCCTCAGTTTTGCGCATGTTGAGCTGAAGAAAGTTGTCTCTCGTCCAGGACTCAATGTCGGACAGGCAGGCTGTCAGGACATCGGTGGTCATGGAGTTGAGGGTAGAGGAGGAAAGGTAGAGTTGGGTGTCATCCGCATACATGTGGAAGTTAACCCCATGTCTGCAGATGATGTCACCAAGGGGGAGCATATAGAGGGTGAAGAGGAGGGGACCGAGGACAGAGCCCTGAGGGACACCGCACGAGACAGGAGGAAAAGCCGTTTGTGGAAACAAAATGAAGACAGTGGGAGAGGTATGACCTAAACCACTCGAGGACAGGGCCTTGAAGGTTGAGGTGGGAGGACAAGCGGTGGAGGAGGAGAGCGTGGTCGACCGTATCGAATGCGGCCGATAGGTCGAGGAGGATGAGGAGGCAGAGGGAGCCCTGGTCACAGATGGTCAAGATGTCGTTGGTGACCCTGACCAGGGCAGTTTCTGTGCTATGGGCAGCACGGAAACCCGACTGAAGGAGTTCGAATAATGAATGGGTGAAGAGGAAAGAGCGCAGCTGGGAGGCGACAACTGTTCAAGGACCTTGGACAGGAAGGGGAGGTTGGAGATGGGCCGGTAGCTTGATAGCTGCGACGCATCAAGGGAGGGTTTTTTTCAAAGTGGGAGTGATGATGGCAGTTTTCAGGGGAATGGGAACAGAGCCAGAGGAGAGGGACAGGTTGATGATGTCTGTGATATGTGGGGCAAGGAGGTGGAGCTGAGAGATAAGGAGTGGAGTGGGGATGGGGTCAAGGGAGCAGGTGGTGGGTTTCAAGGACAGGATGAGTTTGGTGACAGAGGGTGGGGAAACGGGTTTGAAGGTGTGTAGGGAAGGATGGGTAGGAGTCGGAGTGTGGGAGGGAAGGGGTGGGTGGAAGTTGGAGGGGGAGTGACCGCGGAGCGGATTCCCTTGATTTTGGATTCAAGGAAATCCAGCATCTCCTCGCAGTGAAGGTTGGAGGAGATGACCTGCGCGGGGTGGCGGGGGGGACGGAGGATTCGGGATGTGGTAGAAAACAGAAGCCTAAGGTTGTTCTTCGCCTCCAGGATTATCCTGGAGTAGAAGGACAACTTGGCCGAGGCTAGAGTGGAGCGGTAGATTTTGAGGAGGTCCAGCCAGATTTGTCGGTGGACCATTAGGCCAGATTTGAGGCAGCCTGCACCTGGCTCTTCAGTGAGCGGAGGTGGATGGTGAACCAGGGGGAGGAGCGAGAGTAGGAGACAGTACGGGAGGTGATGGGGGCAAGAGTGTTAAGTGTGGAGGAGAGGGTGTTGTGGAGGAGGATGAGAGCGGAAGAGGGGTCAGTGAGGGTTGAAGGCCAGAGGGAGAGGAGTTCAGAGGACTCCAAGGCAGCATTTAGGGATTGTGGGGCTAACTTCTTCCAGGGGCGGTAGAAGATGGTGGTGGGTCTGGTGGAGGTGGGGAGGGGTGTGGAGTTGGTGAAGGAAATGAAGTGGTGATCGGAGACGGCCTTGTCGGTAATGGTGACATCCGAGACACTGAGGCCCCGGGTGATCACCAAATCGAGTAGGTGGCCGTGACTGTGAGTGGTGGAGTTGATGTGGAGGGAGAGGTTGAGCGAGGAGAGCAGGGAGAAGTCCGAGGAGATGGAGCTGGAGGGGGTGAAGTGCAGGTTGAAGTTGCCCAGGATGATGAGGCGATCAGAGCAGAGGCAGAGATGTAAGTAGGGTGGAAATATCGGAGATGAAGGTGGGAGAGGTTTTAGGGGCCAGTAGAGGAGGATTTTGAGTGAGAGGAAGGAGGGGTGGGAGAGGGTGAGGTGCTCAAAAGAGGGGAAAGAGCCAGAAGAGTAGGGGGATAGGGCAAGTGGTGTCCTTGAGATAAGGGCTACACCACCACGGCGGCGGTTGGGGCGAGGGATGTGATGGGAGGTGTAGCCGGGTGGTGTGGCCTCCGTGAGGGGGATGGTGTCGCCTGGGGTGAGCCAGGTTTCCGTTAAGGCCATGATGTCAACGCTCTCATCAAGGATAGTGCCTTGTATTTAATACCAACTGATCCACTACATTTCCTTCTCAGTCTCAACAAACTGTGGATTTCTCCCGTTATGCAGTTTAATCAATGCCTTCACCCCACAAGACTTGCTCTACACCTTATTTAGTATCATTTTATTTATCTTTATGAGCTGTCTTTAGCACAAAAAAAAACAAATCATATTGGAAGAACTGGGGATCACAATAAAGGCTGAGCATATTACACAGTACATATAAAGAAAGCAAGAGCATTTGGAGTAGATGTGTCCTAATATAGGAATGTGGGGAGAGGGGTACTTGTAGACAAAATTCCACAACACTCATAATTTTTAGCTCAGATATCCTGCCCGTGGACTTTGTAGATCTACGTTGATATTTCACAAAACCCAGATCAGAATATATAATTCTATATAGAGAACATAGAACTATCATTTAGGAAAATCAGAAATGCTATTAAAAAATAAAATATAAAACAGCAACTGATTTGGAATTAAGCAAGGAATAGTTTGGTTTTAGAAGGGAACACATGAAGGAATATTTAATGTAGTTGGGCACTACATGTTGAGAATCTATAGTTTTAAATGCATTTGACAGAATTTGCATTCACGATCAGAGGAAAACTGATAAATAGCCACTTAGTTATCTGGTACAGTACAGAATTCCCTGAAAATTGAGTCGTCTGCCAACCTCAACGCTCAGTTTCAAGTGCTAGATAAATCTTAATTCTAAGATCAATATTCAAATAGCATTAAAATTAGAAAACATTGAATAAAGGGATAAGGGAGAAAAGGAAATACAGATATTATGCAAGCTATCTTAAAACCATCTACAGTAAATACACATATATTGTTTAATAATGAAAAGAACTGCTTGCCAGTTATAATAAACCACATTATAAGACTACAGACTGACTTACTATCTTATCTTTGCTGGAACCTGGGTTCAAATCCCATCTCATTGGTCCTATAAGAGATCAGGCAGTCTCAACCCAGTTCCCAGTGTGTCATTCCACAACAGAAATAAAAACAAACACATAAAGCAAATCTAAAACTCTTGGAGAGGGGAATGAAATGAATTCAGTGTTGCAGGTAGTATCAAAGATTCTTTAGCTGCATGTTATGGCAGAGAAAAGGGATTTTACTTTACATCTGATTCATGCCTGCTTGATTTGGGTTTGCATGATAAGACAGTGACTAACGCTGACCCAGGGCTCGTTCCCCAGCTCCAGTATCTTTTATCTTAAGCACAAAATAGGTTTAAAAATATTAATCAAAATCATCAATTGAGTGTTCCACTGGAAGTGAGAGCAAAATATTTAACTTTGCATGCAGTAGTTAGACTACGCAAGATTAGTGTGTTACATTTTTACAGCATCATGATGCCACTTTACAATGTGTATGCAAGTTTGGTGCTACACAAGATACTAGAAATACCTTTATTTTCACATTGTGGGACAGATGCTCTGGTCCAAAAGGCCGAAGGATTAGATTTGAAAAGGCTAAAATTAAATCCTAAAAATAAGAATTCCTAAGTCAATATCCACATGCAAAAATCTCAGCCAAATCTAACTGTCCTCTTCATATACAGCACAAAGTTAAAATTATGCATTTTTGCACTATGCATTTTGTTCTTGTCCCACTACTTCTAAAAGCCACCACTAACAAGAATGATAAATCCGTACTTTCTTGCCAAAATCAGAACGTTTAAATGTGGAAATAAATTGCAAGTGCTACATTAATTATTTGCAGTCCAATTTTGTGATGACTGCTCATTCCTTGGACACTTGCTCAACCCTCTCCCATTGTCTTTTACATGGATTTCAGATATAATTTCCAGGAAGACTCAATTTATCTATATTCATTATATAAATTCTACATTTTCACAACTAAATATCATACAAAATAGATTACATTAAAAATATACCACATGGGAAGCGCGTGATACTGTTGATCCTGGACAACTAAACTAGAATCTAAATTGAGTTGAATATAAAATATTTATAGAATATAAAACAAAATTTCAGGAGAGGGACGGGAAACTTTCCCACAGTTCAGCAAATCAGTGCAATGTACACCCATAATTGAAGGGGTGGGGAACATAGTAGTTTTCAATGCAAATAATAATGATCCTTGCATTTGATAATAGCATCTTATCACGTCTTCGAGACGTCTCAAAGCACTTCACAGAATATACGGCAAAGTGAATTCAATGTATATTTTGTGGGCGAAACGCAGCAGCCAATTTCACACAGCAGTGTCCCACAAACAGTCATGGATTGAGTGACCAATGTACTGTTTTTTTTAAAAAGAAATTATTACCCCTGCAAAAGTGGTCCGCCAATCGACTAACAACCAGATTCCTACTTACTGCTAGATAAACAGGCGTGTGGAGTAAGGAAACTTGCCCAACGTTTCGCCCTGCCAGGAATCAAAGCCAGGTCTCTGGCTGTGAGGCGAATGTTCTAACCACTGAGCTACAGGACTCCAAATGTCAAAACATCTTTCATGCAACATCTAGTGTACATCGAGAAGCATTGATAGAGACTTAGGAGAAGAGGAGAAGATTTACTTATCTGCCTTCATGCATAGAAAGGGGGAGAATCGAAATACAACAGTTTCCCATGAAGGGGAAAGGATTTCACATTAGAAGCATTTGTAATATTGCAAATGCATCAATGAGCTCTTAAATTACAGCACTCAACTTTTGGCCCCATTTTATATTAAATAGCATATTACATTAACTTGTCTTTCACCTTATTTTAGCTATTTTTGTAGCTATTTGACAGACCAATCTGATATTTATCTGCATTCATAATAGTTCATTTAATGCATTTTGGAAGATGGCATAAAAAGTGAGGAAGCACAACTGTATAACTGAAATGAAAGGCACGTCAATTGCCAACACGTGAGAAAACTTTCTTTCGCTAGCGGACAAGGTGTGTGACTTACCAGTTTGTGGCATGCTAAAAGTGAAGTTCCTGGAAATGTCCCCGGTTGATAAGGTGGTTTCTAAACTTTCTGTTGTAGCAGTTGAAGGAAGCAATCTGGCAGTTGTGGACTTTGTTAGAGAAGCAGCTGCTTTACTAAAATCAAACCCACCACCAGTTCCCTCCTGTTTAGTAGAGTCCTCAGATGCCACAGTTTCTCGACCAGTTGTTGTACCTCCAAATGTGAAAGGGCACTGTTTTCCATTGCTGAACCCGTGTTCCACAGAATAGGACCCAAATACAAATTTTGGAGCGAAGACAATTTTTTTTGTAGTTTCTGAGCTATCAGTGGATAACATGACTGCAGTGGAAGGAGATGGAATATCAATATCACATTGTTTGGTCTCTAGCTTCGTAGTTTCTTCTAGAACAGAAACAGCAATGTTACTACATGGAGATTCTCTTGGTGTATTCTCTCTGGACGACAATGGCATGACTAATGTTTCCTTCTCCTGAGCCTGCTTAGCTTCTTCAAATACATCTTTAAATGAATTGGCAATTTCTTGCTGCTTGAACCGAACAGCTAGCTGTTCCATCTTTGCTGCTCCATCTGCGAAATCCAAAGCACTCCAGATCCAGGCCTTTTCAGTTCCTTTCATGGGCTCAATTTTTAACTCTGGTGTTAACCAATGATTGGCACAAAGTTTTAACACCTGGTCTCTTCTCATGACTACGCGAACTTTCTTGGAATCATAATTTTCCAAAATTTTAAGGTCGCCTATTCCTCTTTCTTTCCACTGATTTAATTCTTTATCGTACCGGTAAAGCTTGGCTCGATGGCAGAAAATTATTTGCTCATTTTCTTCTCCTGTTGAAACATCAACCAAATCAGGCAATGGAACTACTGGCTCGAAGTGTTGCACATCCTTCTCTTCCTCTTGTCCAACTTCAGAACCCTCATCTGTACCTACAGACAGCCCACTTTGATTCAGTTTAGGAGATTTTAACGGACTTAAGTTTGGATGAAAACTAAAGGTAAATCCAGACGGAGAATCACCAAATCGGAAGAGGTTTTTTCTCACTGGACTACTGGTATCAGGAGTGCCATATGTGGTGCTAGATGCACTTATATCCAAGGCTTCCTCACGCAAATCATAATTGTCCCACTCTAATGTAGGTCCAGTGCTTTCAGAATGTGGCTTAATAACTAAGTCAGAGGCTTCGATGCCACCAGATACAGAGCTCCTATCATCTGGTGATCTTCCTTTATCATCTTGCAAAAATTCTTTTAGGTCTTTTAAACCACTTTTCATTTCTTCAGCTTTTTGTATTAGCCTAGCAGTCCGGCCAGTGTCTAATAGTTTGTGTGGTGTTTGCACTGGTATATCTAGCAGCAACCTTTGGAATTCTTCAAACTTTATTTTAAAGTCTTCAGCTAGCTCAGGTGTCTTGAACTTTGCTGCTAACCGTTCTGCTTTTGCCTCTCCATCTGAAAAGTCACTGGCCAACCACATCCAAGCCCTATCAGAGCCCAATAAAGGTTTCAGATTCATTGTAGTCGTGATCCAGTGGTTTGCACACACTTTAAAAACTTGCTCTCGACGCATAAGTATTCGAAGGCGCCCATTAGATTGGTTTTGGAGAATTTTGAGAATACCAACACCACGTTCCTTCCACTGGCTGGTTTCGGTGTCAAACCTGAACAGTTTGACTCTTTGGGAATATAGCACAACTTCATCTTCCTCACCAGTAACTATATCTACTTTTTCAGGCATGTGAACAACAGGATCAAAATGAATATTATCATCCTCTTCAGTTTTATACAAGCCATCATCTTCATTTTCTACAGAGGAACTGGCTCGGGCACGTGATGTGCAAAACACTTGCTGACCTACTCCTTTAAAGCCTTGAAAGTCAGGATCCTTCTGCCCAAACTGATACCCTTCATCTGGGGATTTTGCAAGATCAGCAAAGGAGAAAACATTGGAATCATTGCCTAGAATAAATTCTTCATTTTTATTTGGAGTGTCCTGTACTGGAATTGTCTCACCACCAGTTTTTGAACCAATTTTCTCTCTCTCTTTTTGCTGTTCAGCAATATTCTTTAAAAAGAGTGCTGCAGAACTTTCCTGTAGTGGTTGACTACCTTTAGAGGCTTTGCTAGGTTCTTGTATTCCAAATTTAAAAGCACCAATTGAATCAGTCTGAGAAAATGCAAATCCTGTATTGGAAAATGGTCCTGAAGACTTAAAGAAAGATGAATCAACCTTGAAAGCTGTTGAACTATCACTGGAACCAAATTTAATGCCACCTGCAGAAAAGTTGATCTTAAATTCTTCCGATTCAGATACATTAGATACGGAAGAAATGTTGCCTGCACCATGACCTGAAGCTGTAAAGGATGACAAAGTTGCTGCATCCTTATTACTTGTGTTGGATGATTGGCATGCTACACATGCTTCCACGTTTGCTTCATTTCGCACAAAACATGTTTCACAATCCCACTGCCCTTCTTTTCTCGCAAAGTTAGGTCCAAACCCTGCTTGTGCAGATGTTTTCTTCGATTCATTTTGAAGACCAAATTTAAAGTTGGATGCAGACTGAACAGTTGATGGACCAGCTGTATCTTTGCCATTAGGGTTGGGTGAGTTGCAGGCTGCACATTTTGCCAAATTTCCTTCATTTCTTATTAAACATGTTCCACAATCCCACTGTCCTTCCTTTCTCACAAAGGTAGCTCCAAACCCTGCTTGTGCATCAGGAGTAAGACCAAATTTGAAGGTAGACGCTGTCTGAACTGTTGAGGTAACATCAGCTTTGCTGTTGGGGTTTGGCTCCTGGCAGGCGACACACTGCGAGAAGGTAGCTTCATTTTGGACCAAGCAGCAACTGCATTCCCATTGGCCGGCCTTCTTATTAAATTTTTCACCAAACCCTGTTTTAGTAAAAGCTGTAACATTTTCAGTTGCTTGTACTCTATCTTCATCTTGGAGTGAAGTTTTAGAACTCAAATGCTGGTTTTCTGAACACGGACTTGGTTTTAATATCGGTTCTTTAACTAAGCTTTGGGCTTCTTCAAATTTAATTTTGAACAGTGAAGCCTCATCAGCCGTTTTAAATCGAATGGCAAGCTGTTCAAATTTCTCTGTCTCATCAGCATAGTCTAAACTACACCACACCCAGGATTTATCAGACCCTGCATTGGGTTTTAATTTCATATCTGCTGTTATGTAATGATTTGCACAGATTTTTAGTACTTGATCTCGCCTCATCAGGAGTCTTACTTTGCCAGTTATCTTGTGGCATAGCAGTTTTACAGTTCCAATGCCTCTTTCTTTCCATTCTTTGGCGTCTGTATCGAATCGGTAGAGTTTAGCTCTGTTGGAAAAGAGCTGTTCTTCATCTTCTTCTCCAGTTTTCACGTCCACCTTATCAGGGAGTGGTACAACTGGATCAAAGTAGGGCCCATCCTCTTCATCAGGGGCACTCTCTGCATCACTTTCTCCTCCTTTGCGATCTTCTGTATTTACCTCAAACGATGGTGCATTACCAGCATCCTTGAAACTAAATGGCTGGTTACTCAATTTATTGCTGAAGGAAGTTTTACTCTGTAATGCAAAATCAAATGAGCTACTAAGGTTCCCGTCCCCCAGGCAGAAGGCATTTCCACCTTGACTTGATGGCATTTCTTGTGCAGATAAATCCCCACGTCTGTCAGTCCGGACAGATCTGCCTGCAGTCAAAATACCCAAAAGACTATCACTGGCTGAAGTTGAAGCTGGAGGTTTGATTTGTGGGGATGAAAATGTGAAGTCTCCTTCATTAGATTGGAAATTAGAGTTGAATTTGAACATTGCTGCTGAGGTGGACTGCAGTTGCCCAGAAACAAAGGAAGTCTTCGCATCATTTTGCATTTGTTGGTTTAAGTTAAATTTCCCAAATTCTATACCTTTTGTTTCCACAGGTTTAATTTGTGGTGTGCTCACTGACGGTTGCGTAAAGTAGCCAGGTTCTGGTAATGGTGGATTTGTGCTTGTTTGTTGAATCCCATGGCTGTAGAAATCTTCGCCATACGGTGAAAGCAATCCAGTTGCAGGAGATTCAAAGCGTAATTGTGCTCCATACATTTCCTGTGAATACATGCAAGCTGAATTGCCCTGAAGAGGTGGTGTGTGGGTCTGCTGTTGGTAACCATACATCGACTGTTGTGGTGGAATTCTACCACCCATGCCATAATGAGGAGGCTGTGGAAAAGTTTTTTTTGTACAAAATTGTTAAATCTTTACTCAACATCAGATTGTCGATTATAAAATTAGAACTAAATTTTATGTTAAGTACCTTTGTTGGAGTTGTAGTGTTTGCTGTTCTAAGGAGGTACTGAGAGTTGTATGCTGGGGACTGATTGTAGAACCCAGATGGCCCTGAAGTAGCAACTGAGGAAAAAAAATATGAAGTCTCCATCTTTCACATGAACAACAAACATTTATATATAACAGCAGCAAATTAACTCTTGTATAGCGCCCTTCACGTCGGAAAGACATCCCAGGGAGCTGGACAATCAGGAGTTTTGGATCCGAGCTGGGAGTTGGGAGTCAGAAGTGGAGGAGGGCAGCGGGTTAAGGGTAGCAGAAGAGGGAGGTGCTCAGACGGGACTTGAGGCAAGAAAGGGGGTGAGATGGAGGGATTGCAGGATAGAGCTTCAGAATGTAGGGGCAGAGATGCTGAATGCCCGAGCGCCAATGGTGGGGCAGGAAGTGCGAGTGACCTGAAGCAGGCAGGTATCAGCCGAGAAGAGGTAACGGAAAGGCTGATATGGAGTTATGAGGTCGGAGAGGTAGGGGGGAGCAAGACCGTGGAGCTGAAGACTTCTACAATATTACGAAGACTTCTACAATATACAGTAGTGCCTTTCATGTTGGGAAGATGTTTCACCTGGAGACTCGAGGGTTTGTACCTGAGCTGGGGGTTGCACTGGGGGATGGGAAGATGACTGAAAGTAATTTTCCCAATGACCAGAAATTTGACAGCATAGAAACATTTTTAAATTATAAACAATGATATCTCTTTCAGAGTTAAAATGCTTACCTGTTAAAGGTGCACCATGAAAATTTTGTGTTCCTGGATAGTGATGGGACAGGTGGTCGTCATGATAACCATCTCCAGGCCAATGAGACTGTGGTGATGCAGTTCTATTTGAAGAATTTTGTTTCAGCTCATGCACTTCATCCTGTTTTTAACATAAAAATCAAAGAGATCAAGAACAGTTTTATTCAAGCCGAAATCATGGTCCATGCCTTTGTCCCTTCCTTCTGGACTATTCCAATGCCCTCCTTGTTGGTCTCTCCAGCTCCACCATACACAAAATAAAATTCAAACTCTGCTGCCCAGATACTCATCCACACAAAACTCAGTCCCCCCTTCACACCAGTCCTTGCCAGGCTCCACTGGCTCCTAATTACCAAACACATCAATTTCAAGATCATCTCACTTGTTTTCAAATCCCTTTATGCCTTCACACCTCCCTACCTATCCGACCTTCTTATCCCACTCTACCACCCGCTGCCTCCGCTCGGTTGCCACTGGCCTCCTATTTGTCCCTCGTCCGCTCCACCACCATTCGGTGGCTGTGCCTTCAGACGATACGCCCCGAAACTCTCGAAGCTCCCTCAATTCCACCACCCCCTTCCCCTCATTTAAAACCTGCCTGAAGACTTTCCTTTTTGACCGTGCTTACAGTCATCTCCCACCTCCCTCTGACTCGTTGTCAATACTCCATCACTGTCAAGTGGACACCACGTGAAGGGCGCTGTATAAATGCAAGTTGTTGTATTCCCATTATATTGGAGTGCCACAAGGATCAGTGCTTGGGCCTCAGCTATTTACAATTTACATCAATGATCTAGACGAGGACATTGAATGTATCTAAATTCGCGGATGACATTAAACTAGTTGGGAGAGTAAGCTCTGAGGATGATGCAAAAAGATTGCAACGGGATATAGATAGGCTCGGGGAGTGGGCGAGTAGGTGGCAGACGGAATTGAATGTGGGGAAGTGTGAAGTTATTTACCTAGTTAGAAAAAATAGAAAAACAGATTATTTTCTAGAGGGAGAGAGATTAGATAGTGTTAAGTGTTCAGAGGGATTTGGGTGTCCTTGTACACCAGTCTCAAAAAGTTAGTTTGCAGGTGCAGCAAGCAACTAAAGGCGAACAGCATGTTAGCGTTCATTGCAAAAGGTTTACAGTACAAGAGTAGGAAAGTCTTGCTGCAACTGTATAGGGCCTTGGTGAGACCGCACCTAGAGTATTGTGTGCAGTTTTGGTCTCCTTATTGAAAAAAGGACATATTTGCCCCAGAGGGGGTGCAGCGTAGATTCACTTGGTTAGTTCCTGGGATGAGGGGATAGGCTGAATAAACTAGGGCTATATTCTCTAGAATACAGAAGAATTAGGGGAGGTCTTATTGAAACATATAAGATTCTTAGAGGGCTGGATAACGTAGACACTGAGGGTCTGTTTCTCCTGGTAGGAGAATCTATAACCAGGGGTCACAGTCTTAAAATTAAGGGTCAGCCTTTTAGAACAGAGTGGAGGAAACATTTCTTCACTCAGAGGGTAGTGAATTTATGGAATTCACTACCCCAGAAGATTGTAGATGCTCAGTCCTTGAACAACTGCAAGGCTGAGACTGATAGATTTTTTAAAAAATAGAGGGAGTAGGGGATATGGGGATAGGGAGGGCAATTAGAGTTAGGTCTGAAGATCAGCCATGAACTTATCGAATGGCAGGGCAGGCTTGAGGGGCCGAATGGCCTACTCCTGCTCCTAATTCTTATGTTCTTATATTAGCTCGTCATTAAAAAGGGACAATATTGTAAGCTGTGTATTGTGTGTTGCCATTTTTAACACACAAACTTTCATTTTAAACTTTGCTGTGAACAGTATCTTGGAATAATGTGGACCCAGTGGTTCAGGATTGTAACTACCAAAACCACCAGACTATTGCCTTGAAGCCAGCACAGACCAAGGAAACCTGCTAACTCCCTCCCAAGGAGGATCAAAACTAGCTAGTCATTCGACATCTGACAACTCGTTGTGAGCTTCTTAGAAAACAACAGAATTCTGCATGAAATGTCTCGAGAACATTCATAGCATCCTCCTTCCCACAGCCCGGACACAGTCCTATCCTTTGAGCAATGGTTCAAACATTTAATAGTGTGGAGCTTCAGTGGCTGCTTATCTCTCTGCATACCAATCAAGATAAATCCTAAGCCTTAGATATGAGTTCACAAACCCAGATTCCATATAATGTCTTACAGCAGCTGTTCGTCCTTAGCCTCATTAGATATTTAATGGACATCTGCATTAAGCACAAAAGGAGGACCCACACAGGACAGCTTGTGACATGCAAGCCACCATAATGGTCGAGAGATACAAGTCCATTGCTGAGTTATCAGTTTTACTCAACATTTGCTTAATCTAGATCCTCATGCAAGGGGCATTGGCAAAGAGCCCTCCACTCTAGAGCTGATTCTGTGTTTTTCCCCACAGATCCATCTCGATGCTTGGATTTAGTAGATACATAGAAGGAAACTACTCTGTTACTGCTCAGGAGCTCAGAATGACATCTTGTACTCTGCAAACTTAACCTGCATTGGGACTGAGAGGTACACTGAACATACCTTCAGTTGCTCCACCTGCTGGCAAATCATCTGTAGTAAATGTCTCTGATCCTCAGCCCAGCGGGGTGGTGTCTTTGGAGACCACTGGAGAAAAACATTCAAATGAAAATCATACTAAAAAAAAATCAAAGTAACGATACAACTATGACATGCAGCAAATTTAGAACAGGATAATTTATACTCGTAGGCAAAGCCCAATCATAAAAGAAGCCAGGAGGATGTCCCAAGGTGCTAAATCAGAATGGATTTTGGACAAATAATACAAATATCTGCAGCCTAGGAGTATGGCTGTATGAGGTGGTGAGGGCTGTTCCAATTCAGATGTTCTGCCTGGGAGTGGCGTGGGAAAGGAGGTAAGCAGGGTCTCCCTGTGACTGAGCGGTCTCTAGAATGATGCGTTTGGTAACAGAATACCAGAATTAAATCAACCTCCGGTAAAATCCAAGGCACTGCTGATGGTAGAGCAGCCTGGCTCGATAGCAGGATTCAGAGGGGCAGACCAGTCAGCACTTCTTCCCACTCAGCTTCTATTAATTCTGAAGGCCAAAGTCCTAAAAGAGAGGGTGCGTTTGGATAAGCAATGGGAAGCTCACCAAACAATACTCTGAATGGCAAGTTATAGGTGATTAAACTCCAGCAATACTCCAATGCATACCAGGGGTTTGTAGCTCAGACTCTTGATTTTAAACCTGACTCTCTAGAATTTGGTCAACAGGATGCAAATCTTTAGGGAGAGAGAGAGCAATTCCATTCCTAATACAGGGAAATTTCCAGATATAGGTGGACATACATACGTGAATGGTTCTGATTTGGATACTCAGAAACAGTCACGGTTTCCGCATGTTATGCACCTGGCTGACAAAAAAATCATTTCAATTCTCTTTATGTGTCAAATGGGTCATTTGAATGGTTATAAACTGGCAATCAGACACTAAAACCAAATTTACCTTATAGCTCTTTGTTGGAGATGAAGAAAGCTTTGTGGGAGACGGGGTAGAATGTTGTATTTGTGCTGCTACAGAGTGAGTGAGAGTACCATTTTCAGCCATTTGAGAATACTCATCTTCATGTTCTTGATCAAGCTGATCGACTTCATCATATTCTCCAATTTGTTCATTTACTGACTCCAACATGTTTCTCACTGTCTCCACTGGTACGGGCAACTGTCAAGAAAGTATTTGTCAGGTACATGGTGATTTATTTTTTAAGCAACTTAGGGTAGCACATACAGTGACAACAGCTTTTCGCATAAAAACTGGAGCTTCTGTTTGATGAAATTACTATCCACTAACAGTGAAGATCTCGATTTCAGACCACAATCGAGATGGATATTAAAAGTGTCACGTCAAATTTTACGACAGTTGCTTCATATTAAGTTGTGTAGCTTTTCCCAGTGATCTTATTCCCATTTAAAAGAATGGTATAAAACATTTTTGTTTATATTATATACAAATTAACACTTACTTTTTCAATTGCTGCAAGATTGGCTTCAATCTCATTAAGGACTTTTCTTAGGTACTCTTTGCATTTGAGAAAACAATTTTTACATTCGTCCTGCTCATCAGCAGTCATTTCATCACCATTTTCATACTCTTCTGCCCGCCGATGAAATATCTACCAATAAAGTCAGCAGAAGATAAGTTACACCAATATTTTAAAAAAACAGAAGTGGAAACATGATAAAAGTTTAAGTTACTTACCAGTGCAAGATTCCAGTGAGCAACAATGTTGTTGATCATTTCGAAAGCAGCTACTGCTTCATCAACTTTTCCATCAACTACAACAAGTGTGGCAAAAGCAATCTTTGCTTCTTCTTCGTAATCTCCAACTTCAGCAACCTAAAACAATGTCAGCATTTCAATTCTACTGAAACTCTAAATAGAGGTTCAAGGTTTTATCTTAAGTTTTTCAAAATATAAATTGAAACTAAACATTTCAATATAGAATAAGTGAGCGTTTCAGTGGCATTGAGTTTGAATTAGGGGCAGAGCTGGGTGATGTGGCAGAGATGCAGGAAGGTGGTCTCGGTGAGGGACTGAATGTGAGGGAGAGGAAAGCTAAGGGCCAAACTGGAGGCCATTGTTACGCAACAGTTCACAGCCAGGCCAGGGAGGTTGAGGAGGACAGAGCTAGAAGGAGACCGTTGATGGGAGCTGAAGAGGTTACATTAAGATGGGGAAAGTTTGGGCTCATCCAGGTTTTGAGATCTGACGGGCAAGTAGATAGAACATCAGTGGACTTGAAGTCAAGAGTAGAAGTGGACCGATTAATGTAAGTGTTATCTGCATACATGTGGAAGTTAAGCCTGAGTCTGTGGACGTCACCAAGAGCGAGCATGTTGATGGCCAAAAACGGTGCCCTGAGGGGGCGGGAGGAGAATGCATGAATGCGGAGGGTCATACAGGACAGGAACAAGGAGAGTAGCTCGAGCAGGGACTGGAGGGAAAGGTGGGAGTGAAGTTGAATGGCAACAACGAGTTCTAAGTCTTTTTGGATAGGATGGGTAGGTTGGAGATGGGTTATCAATTAGGAATAGATAAAGTATGTGCGTCACCTCCCTTACAAAAATTAAATTAAGCATTAAAAAAAGTCTAGATAGATGGTTATGCAGAAATATGTCAAGTGGTCAGCATGTGGAATTAGTTTGCTCCCTAATAAATTTGTGAATTTACGACACACCTTATTTTTCTAGTTATCTATTATGATTACAATGAAGCTTTTTATAAAGCCAACTCAAGATCTCCCTCACTTCTGAAAACAATTTTCCAGGTTACAAGACAACAATTTAAGAACAGTATTAAAGGATTGTGGGCCCAAACTTTGTCTGAAGAGTCCAGTTTTTGGCTGAACAGATATAAGATTAGGGATAAACACTACACTTAACTTTTATGTGTACTTGCAGAGATATGTGGGTCAGTTGAGCAATTTCAGAGAAAAGTAATCAATAGAATGTGTGGATGTGTAGGGGGTGGACAAAGCCAATAGGTTCAATCTGAATCACTGGCATGAAATGGTATTTTGTACAAAGGTCTGACATCTAGAAATTTGGCAGCAATCTTCAATAAAAAATTCTGTGAAATGTACGTTTTTAACCAATATTTTCTGTTCCCATGTTCAAACTACATTTAAAAACTCTTCGTACCTGAATGTCCCTGCTATGAAAGTGCATAAACAATGGATCAATAGGTTCAGGAATGCTCTTGTTTCTTTTGACACTCTCAAGGAACGGCAAAACTTTCTTCCAATAGGAAACACTCCGTCCAATATATTCTTTCTGGTCATAAAATGAATCCAGTCCTGCTCCCTGCAGAAAAAAAATTAAAAAGATTTTAAAAATTAGCTATTCACTAGTCTTTTCTGAAGTTTTGTGCTCTACTACCGACTGACATGTTTCAACAAGTTGTACAATATTTCAACAAAGAAAAAAATTCTTGCTCAGACTATCTTTTCTGATAGCAATGAAACAGATTTTTAAAACATGAATACTGAATTAATTGAGGAAATTTTCATGTGGCAAGTCAAACTTTAGTCTTGTTACCTGCTGGAACTCCATCCTGGAACCCCTTGACTGGCTATATCTCTCACCTCATTCAAGGTCCATCTCAAGAACTACTTCTTTGACCTTGCTTTTGATCATCTTGCTCGTCCTCATCCCCAGCTCACATGCCAAGCCATTAATGTTATGACCTTTGGGACGCTGCCTTGTCAGGAAAGGCGTTATATAAATTTGTATCTTATTGTCCCAGGTCAATTATTCTAATAACTTAAGTGAGACTAAATTTAGTCTCTGAATCTTTGAATTTTGTTGGCACATGGCACCAGTGGCACTTCAAAACCTTATAAAACATATGTCTCTAACCATGCTTTTGGTTAGCATCCTTAATTCTCTCTCCTTGCTTGGTGCTGTTAAGCACTTTGCGTCAATCATCCCATGTGAAAAGCATTATATAGAAGTATAAGTTAAAGGACACGGATCCAACATTGTAATAAATGACTACACTTACAGTGTTGAGGAGACTACGTGCCCAGTGTATAAGTAGGGCAGGTTGAAGGCCATGCTTCTCCAATGCTCTCAAAGTACTTAACTCACGCTGAATCAAGAGTCTTAATTTAGCTGACATACCAGGTCTGAAAAGAGAAGAAAAAGTGTGAAATGTTAATTGTATAAATGCTAGTTTAGCAACATCATAATATACAAATGTATAAACTTCAAAGAAAATTCACATACAGTAGCCATTTAAACAAACCATCAACAACAAAATTACATTTGGATAGCACCTTCCACATTTCCACATTGGGAGGACATCCCAAGGTGCTGGACAAACAGTGTTTCGGACCCGAGCTGGGGGTCGGAATCTGAGGAGTGTGGAGGGCAGGTGGGGGAAGGAGGGTGACCAAAGGCACGGTCGAAGAGGAGGGTCATGAGATGGGTCTCGAAGGAGGCAAGGGAGGAAGCGAGGCGGAGTGACTGCAGGATGTAGTTCCAGAGGTTGGGAGCAGAATGGCTGAAGGCCCGCTAGCCAACGGTGGGGTGGTCAAGACAGGGAATGTGAAGCAGGCTGGAGCCCGCTGAGTGGAGGAAGCAGGCAGGTTGGTAGGGTGTTAGGAGGTCGCAGAGGTAGGGGGGAGCAAGGCCATGGAGGGCTTTGAAAGGGCATCAACATACTTACTGTACTTTTTTGTTGATAAGGCTGTAAACAGCTTCCCACCAAGCTCTTTGTCGATCTGTATAAAGAAATTTATTGACGGATAGCGGCAGGCATCGAGGTTGATGCAAACTGCGTTGATCTGTCTTGTCTTGTAATTGCGTGTAACTTGAAAATATCACCCCAAGAAGAAATATCTGCATAAAAGAAACTCTATTTAGTATAGCTAAGTTAATCTTTTAGAATAGTTTGATAATTATAAGTTACCACAGCTCTTTGCCCACCTCAAGATCCAAGAGACAAATGGATTCTGGTGCATTGGTGTCAAGTCGTGATGTTTCTTGCGGCATTCGAGGAAACAATTGCTTAAGCCAGTTTCGAAGCATTGGCAACTGTCCCAAAGAAAACTGATGTAAACCAAGCCAAACAATGTGCTGCAGATTACCACCATGCAACCTGACAGAAGCTGCAAAAGTGTGGATTACAAAACAGAAGTTTAAAAACACACATTATATATTGCACCTATTATGTAATAATAATCCGTACATTTGATATAGCGCTTTTCACCTCAGGAGGATATCCCAAAGCATGTCACAGTTCTGATGTGGAGCTTCTGACTCAGAGGTGAGAGCACTACCAACAGAGTTAGCTTGACACACACTTATTGAACAACACAAGTCAGGATCCCAGGCCTAATAACATTTTGAAACAAACATGCTTGGATTAGAATTACCTTTGTTACTAAGGATCTACTTACACCAAACATTTACATTGTAAAAATGTCCAAGGAGGGATCATATAGGTACAAGATACCTATGGAGTCCTGTAGCTCAATGGTTAGAGCACTCGCTTTGCAAGTGAGAGACCTGAGTTTGATTCCCGGCAGGGCGAAACCTTGGGCAAGTTTCCTTACTCCACACAGAGCCTAATAATAATCCCTCCAAAAACCAAAACAATAATAAATTGGTCATTTTCAATCTACGACTGTTTGTGGGACATTGTTGTGCGCAATTGGCTGCCTCGTTCGCCCACAAATATAGTCAATTCACTTTACAGTGTGTTCTGTGAAGCGCTTTGGGACGTCCACCCGACGTGAAAAGCGCTATATCAAATTCAAGGATTATTATTATTATTATGTGCTTTCAATTTGAAGCTTTTTTTAAAAAAAAGCAGAGGAAAAAATAAAGTGGAATACAGTAGAACTCCATTGTACTGTATGAATTGGGTCCCCCAAAAATCCAGGGCAGTGTTATAATGAGGCACAATCACTGGTCAGCATTTCTGCATTTACTGCACATATGTCACTTTGTGTTCAGTGTTCATGAAATAACAACAGCAATGACTTCATAAGCTGGAATTTGGCCAATTTATAAAAAGGAGAAAAACATAACTAGTGAAAATCAAAAATATTATTTAACAGTTCCTACCCTCATCATATTTTATTAGTTCATCGAGATCTGGTTCATCTACTCCAATATTCCTGATGTTATCATTGGCAAGAAAAAACCTTTCCAGGGGCATCTGATTTCCAAACAGTTCATCAACCAATGCTGCCTGGCCACTTTTGTTTGCAAATGTTTCTACCACGTCTTTATAGAAGTCTGACTTTCCCAACCGTAGGTTAAGCAGCATGTGACCTACCAAAATAAAACATTTAAAAAGTAAGCAGTGAACATTTTGCTCAGGTTGCATGAATTGTGTAAAACAAATCTAAGAGCAACAAAAAATTATTGTGAATGACTTCTTGCCATTATTCTGTACCATTTTAACACAAGGCATTGTATTTTCCCGACGTTCTGAATATTCAGCAGCATTACCTGATTGACTCCGCCTGTCAGACGCTAACCAATTCAACAAATCTTGTCTCGAGTCTTCTGACTTAATCATCTTCATCCGTGGTCTTGGAATCTAGTGATTTACACACAATACTTTAGGAAAAATAAAACCCTGATATGAAAAAGGTTATTCATAATTTAAAAAAGTCAAACCTTTTCACACATAAAGACCTAGGTAGGGTTAGGGAAGCCTACCTGATGAGCAATTAGAAAGCATAATGTTGCAAGATCGACAGCTGTTTTCCACTGGATCTCATTGTGTTGAGCCATCTTTAGAAGCAATGTTCCAGCATGTAAATAGAGATGTCCTCTTATTTCAGTGAAAGCAACAGAAAGATCATCCACAGTTGGAGTTATGTAAGACTTTGCCATGTACATTGCATGATCAAAACTATAAATAAAAATATAAAAAGCATTCAGCTCACAGTTGTGTTGCGAAATTACAAGCCTAGAAACCACACAAAGCATAAAAAATTTAACCTCTCATCCAAATGCATTTTGTTTTTTGCCTGAAGTCGATTTCCACATAAGAGCTAGATGCAGATAGTGGCTTGCAAAAATGCAGCAATTCTACTGTACACAATTTGCATTTAAAAAGTGCCCTACACGCAGGGTAGCTTCTTGGAGCACATACAAATGAATATCAGTTGGCAGTTATGCTTCCCTTATTAATTTGTTGTTAGTAAGGGAGACAACCACAATAGTGAGGTGCTGGAGCACTTCTGGTACCTGCAGAACTATATCCAAGAATCAGTCGTTTTTAGGAAAAGGAAATAAGTCAATTATACAGATTACCTTAAAAGGGCTTCAGTAGCATCTCGGATGTCTCTGGTTGACAGTGTCAAAAGCACAAGGTTAGAGTAAGCCAAAAGCAATTCTTTCTGCATTAATCTCCAGCGACCTTTTTCAGATCCTGCAGCATTTGTTGTACCAAGATATTTCTGCAGAACAATGCGAGACAAAACCTGATGTTATGCTTGAAGTTACCAGTTATTGACTATATACAGGCAAGTGTATTGAAGGTGATACATTGCGAAGCTAAACACGATAGGTTACAGGAGGATTTGAACATACTTGGGAATTGGGCAGATCGGTGGCAGATGAAATTCAATGTGGAGTAACGTAAAGTACTTCATGTGGGGACAAAAAGTCCTGGAAGGGACTATTATTTGAATGAAGGAAAATAATATGTATGGAAAATGAAAAGGACCTGGGTGTCCTGATTGACAATAAATTAAAGCTCTCCCAACAATGAGCTATGGGAGTGAGTAGAGCAAACCAAGACGTTGGGATGCATCAGAAGATCAATAGTAAGCCGAAATAGTGGGGTAATCCTGCCATTGTATAAATCATTGGTGAGATCATACTTAAGAGTACTGTGTACAGTTCTGGTTGATGCAGTACCAAAAGGATATTGGAGAAATCGAAAAGATACAGAGGAGGGCAACCAAAATGATTGAGGGAATGGAAGGACTGGACTATGAGGAGCGACTAAGTAAATTGGGCAGGTTCACCCTGGAAAAAAGAAGATTGAGAGGCAACATGATTGCTGTCTTTAAGATTCTAAAGGGGAAGACAATATAGACCATGACAGGCTGTTTTAGCTTGTCCAGAACAGTAAAACCAGAGGATACGGCCTGCAATTGAAGGGGGGTAAATTCAGAACAAATCTACACAAACACTACTTCATTGAGCGAATAGTGAACCTGTGGAATAGGCTCCCTAGGGAGACGTTGAAGCAGGAAGTGTTGATTCTTTCAAATACAGATTACATAGTTTTCTTTTAGGAAACAACATTATGGGATATAGTACATAGGTAATTTGGGACATATGTGCATGCGACCGCCAGGAAGATGGAAGGCGAACCAGATGGACCTTGGTCTTTCTTCGTCTAGCATTTATGTTCTTATATTGCAGTAATGGTCGAAAGGTGCGAACACATTCAACTTGTACTAAAGAGAAATGACAAAGTTTCTTCTTACAGTCAGAACAATGGATAACTGGGATAAATTGAAGATGTCAAATCAAGGAACAGGTTTGTTCCCCCAACTGATCGTTTTTATTTCTTTTCCTCCACCACTAGAAAAAAAACTGTATAAGGAGAGGTGGGAGAACTCTCATAGTATTATTTATGACTTACCTTATGCTTTACATGTAACCATATTTGTGGGAAGAAATCCTTCATTTAAAGGTAGCGTCAAAAAACTGTAAATCATATTTAAACTAAACATTCTGCAGATTGATATTAACTCCCTGGGGAGTACTTCTTCAAATACAGTAATGTAGATTTTCTTGCTCTTTTTAAAAACACATTTGTCACAAAAAATGTTATTACAACATTAAAATGAGTTTCCAGAGATTAGTTTAAAATGTGGTTAAATCCACATCACATCTGACTATAACTTACAAATTTCCAAAATATTCATGAAAGTTTATCATCAATTGAGAAGAGGTACTTTATGCAAAGGATTGAAAAAAAATTACAGAGACCTTTAATGACTGCACCATGCATGAGTACCACTCCCGACTTCTGGGCAGTGTTCTTCTTTTCTCAATGTTGACACACTGTTTCACAGCTTCGTCAAATCTCCCGCTGGAACAGTAGAGCTCCACTAAGCGAATATTAACATGAACATCATCTGGTCTATTGTGCAACTCTGACTGAATAAGATCAAACAGTTGATTCCAGCCCAAGTGTCCCTTTTTACTCAGTAGTTTCTCCTTTAAAAGAAATTCAGAAATGATGAGCTTTACAACACTGATCATTAATAGCAGTGAGAAAATCAACCCATGAACTTACAGGAAGTCTCAACTTGGTTTTGATACTCTTAAGCATGGTGATATTAATAATAACCCTTGCATTTGATATAGGGTCTTATCACATCTTCAAGACTTCTCAAAGCGCATCACAGAATATATTGTAAAGTGAATTGACTGTATATTTTGTTGTGATGGGTTTCCTCATGTCAGACACCCAGCTGATCAAAAAATTTTTTGTCAATCTGACACCTTTACAAAACTATACATTCAATTGCATTGCCCAAATTATCTTTTTAGCTCAAATGCTTCAAAAGTTATGCCTATGTACTAGAATTAAACAGTTGTCTGAGGAGCACTGCATAAACTTCCTGACCAATCAGATCTTTAAATTTGAAAGTTTCAAGCAACCACTGTAGCCCATTCAAATATAGTTGCATAAGGAAAGACACATTCAATTTCGCTAAATTTTTCGATACTGCACAAGTGGACCATAAAGCTCTTCTAGGACTTGTAATCCATTTCCAACTTAATTTGAAACGCTCTGGGATGCTACCCTGCATGAGGGACATTATTTGAATGCAAGTTGTTATTGTAGCAACAATAAAGTTAATTTCAGCTCACCTTCAGTTTGTAGATGATGGCATTGCCAGGAAAGTGATTGGCTGCCTTCTCCACCCAGTACTCAGCTCTTCCATCAATTACGTTCCCATCGTCAACCAGTAATTCAGCCACTTTCAACACAAGATCTTTCTGTACTGGATTCAATTCCACAGCTCGCTAGGAAGATTTAAGAATTCATCTCAGGGCATGTTTCATTAAAAAAAACCTGCTAGCAATTCATCCTTCTATCAAACATTGTATCATTTTCAAACTACAGTATATTTAAACAGTAATTTGTTAAAAAAGTTTCAAAGACATGTAATTGACTATCAATAACTGTGTTCAAACAAGGTACATCTACAAAACATCTTTCACATTGGGAGGATGTGAAAGTGCTTCACAGTTGACTCGGAGCCCAAGCTGGTGGGAGCTGAGAAGGGTGGGAAAGCACAATTGAAAAGAAAGGCCTTAAGGTAGGTTTTAGAGTGGGGGAGGGAAGAGGCTGAAGCAAAGGGATGGAAGCAAACTATAGGACGGAGTTCCAGAGAACAGGGGCAGGGTGGCTGAAACCTTACTATATCCTGCAATCCCTCCAACTCACCCCCTCTCTCTCGTCCTTCTGTCTGAAGACCTTCCTCTTCAATTGTGCCTTCGGCCACCCCCCTCCCACTGCCCTCCTCCCCTTCTGACCCCAACTCCCAGCTTGGGTCCAAAACCCGATTGTCCAGCACCCTGGGATGTTTTTCCGATGTGAAGGACGCTATACAAGGGTAATTTGTTGTTATGAGCGAGGCCATGGGAGGATTTGAATACAAGGGACTTGAATTCGATCCACGAGAGAATGGGGAACCAGCAGTCTAGTCTGGGATGGGATGCTAGGCTCACAGAGTCTGCTGCAGGAGAGGACATGAGTTGCAGAATTCAGCATGGTTTGCAGCTTATGTCGGGAAGATAACTGTTCTATCAGTTTCTGATTTTTTTTTCTCATTAAGTTTTTTTTAATGTTCCAAAACAAATCCCAATTTTCATCAAATTTATTCAGGTTATTTTTGTTTCAAATGTACCCTCCATAAATTTGTCCTTTTTTTAAAAAAAACACAAAAGGCTGCAAAAAAAATCCTGAAAAATAAATGGGTTTTTATTTTGTAGATAAAACAACTTTAATGATCTTTAAGTATTCATCAGTGGTTCGGGACAACGAAACAAACCGATTTTAAACTTAAAATATCAGATCTATAACTGCAATAATGAACCTCAAGGAAAATAGTTCAGACTTGTTAATATTTTAGGAGAACAATAAAAAGAAAATCGGTTTCTACCAAATCTCACCAAAAAGTGCAGATTAGGGATCAACGTTGACATAAAACATCACAAATGTATTGGAATTCTTTAAGAAAGTAACTAGTGAATGAGAAATATCCAAGTATAAAAATGGGAAACTAGTTGGTTTAGTTAGTTAGATTGAAAACCGGTTGAACAATAAGCATCAGGTGACAATAAACAGAAAAGCTTCTGCTTGGGGGCAAGTAACTTTCAGTTTTGCAAAGGCATACTTTGGTGTTTGCTTCTCCCTCCAACTTCCTCAATCTTCATAGTCATTCTTTCTTACTCAGTGAGGTAGTGCAACCTTGGTATGCTGTTTGACCCTCAGCTATCTTTCCTTGTTTACAACCAGTCTCTAACCAAGACTACTTTACCCAATGTGGCTGAAGCCCTCATGCATGCCTTCGTTACCTTCAGACAACTGTTCAAAGACCCTGCCAACCAGCCTCCCATCTATACCATCCACAAGCTCCAGCTCATCTCCCCGTATCCTTATCAGCACCAAACTTTGCATGCCCAACCTTGTTACCAGTGATTAAACATCAAGATCTTCACTCACAATTACCTTCATACCCTTGTACCTCTATTTTTGTCATCTCCAATCTTCTCTCCTGCTCTCCACCTCCCCTTTATAAACAAAGGCCTGTTGCATGTTACTTTCCCCCTCTACCCCTATAGAACCTTCAGTCACTACAGCCCACCTTACACTTCCTCAACTAGCCACGAGAGTTAAAGGAATGTTTTCATCCAGACAGTGGTTCGGAGGTGGAATGCCCTCCTAAATAGGGTGGTGGAGAATTCCATTGTAACTTTCAAGAGGGAACTGGTCAAGCATTTGAAAGAAAGCTTAACTGGATTTGAAGGGGTAAGAGGATAAGTGGGATTGAAGCAATATCTTGCTCTGTGAGCCAGCACAGGCTTGATTATGAAAGAATTCAACAAGATGGATGTTGATAGGCTGTTTCCAATTGTTGAGTCTAAAACATGTGATCATAAACATAAGATAGCTGGTAGCACATCTAAAAGGGAAAAACATCTTTATGTTCCTCCCTTTTAGATGTGCTACTAGGGTGTGAGGATATGGAATTCATTGCTGAAAGCTGGGTTGAAGCAAAAAGTATCAATATACTTAAAAAGAAATCATGGGATTCAATCACAGCTTTCTCTGAAAGCCACTGCAAACTCAACGGACAAATCCTTCTGTGCTGTAAATTTCAGATTCATGAATGGCTAGGACACCGGGAGAAACTGATTTCGCTTTTCAAATAGTGCCGTGGAATATTACATCCACCTAACAACAACAAAATTATTTATAGAGCGCCTTCAACGTCAGGAGGTCATCCCAAGGCACTGAACAGTCAGGGGTCAGGACCCGAGCATGGGGAAGGGGTGAGGGAAGGCAGAGAGGTAGGAGGGCGACCAAAGGCACGATCGAAGAGGAGGGTCTTGAGACCGGCCTTGAAGGAGGCAAGGGAGGAAGCGAGGCAAAGGGACTGTGGAATGGAGTTCCAGAGTGTGGGGGGCAGAGAGGCTGAAAGCCCGGCCACCGATGGTAGGGCGAGAGACATAGAGCAGGCCAGATCCCACTGAACGAAGGAAGCGGGCAGGTTGGTAGGGAGTCAGCAGGCCATGGATGGCCTAAAAAGTGAGGATGAGGATCTTAAATTCGATCCTCGTCAAGCAAACAGGACGGTTTTCTTTTCATTTAACGACTCATCAGAAGGACAACATCTCTGAAAATGTATACCCTTCCAGCACTGTACAGGGGCGTCACTAGACTGCGTGTTCAGTCACGATGTGGGGCTTGAAAACACAATCTGCTGACTCAGAGACGAGAGTGCTACCAACGGAGCCAGACTCATGCCTGAATAAAAACACCAGTGTTCAACAAGCATACTTGATTTTAGATTAATGCTATTCACAGCAACAAACATTTGCAACATGTTTGTTTATCAATGTCTTGACTTACCTTGTAACAACCAACCGCTTTTTCATAATTTCCTTCAAGCTCATAGATCTGTCCAAGAAGCTTATGTGCCTTTGGATCCCTTTCTTGCACACTTAAATATGCTGATACATTCCTGTCAAACATTGTAAATATAATTAAAATATTTATTCCAACAAATACTCAGGCTACAAAAGCAAAAAGATATTCCAATTGATAAACCAGTCTTAGGAGTCCTGGAATTAAAATTGAGGGGAGCCAGAAAAACATTTAGTATACAAGCAAATTATTTAAAATTGATTAGTTATCCCTAAGAACCAATCTTGCAATATAAACATTGTTGCAGGACACAGATAATATGAAATGTATTAGATAGAATTCCAGTTGTTCATGTAATTTAGTTAAAGACATCTGTTGCGCTTGATTTAAGAAAACAAATTGCAGAGCACTTATTTTTAATTAATACAAATGGCTCTCCCTATAAAAAAAAGTAAAGCCAAAAAAGCAACAAAGTATAGAATTGCCAGATTTTGCATTACCTTTTTGCAAGGTCATATTCCTTGGCTTCATAGTAGAGTTTTGCAAACAAGAATCCTTTAAGTGATTTCTAAAAGAAAAAAAGGCTTTTTAATAATCCAAAACTTAATTATAACCTTACATAAAGTAATGAATAGCAAACACATATTTCTCTAATCTGGAATTAAAAAATCATTTTAATATCACAAACATTTTCACACATAGTATTTTAACTCAACTGCTGACAACACTTAATACGCTTTTGCCGACAGAACATTCAGGGGGTAATAATCCCTTTATAAAAATGTTTTTGATCACTCAATCCATGACTGTTTTGTGGGACGCATTTTGTCTACAAAATATATAGTCAATTATCTTTACATTTTACAGTATGTTCTGTGAAGCATTTTGAGACATCTCAAAGATGTGATAAGGTGCTATATGAAATGCAGGGATTATCATTGTCTCGATTTCAAATTAAGCCTTGGGTCAACACTTTGAAGCCGTTTGAGACTTATTTTTGTTAAAAAGTAAAAGGCACTGTTTCAATACCCCTGTCGAGAAACCACAAAGAGCAACTGGAACACGACAGAATTTGTTTGGGTGTCACTCAGAATAGAGAGAGCAAGATACTTCCTCAAAAACCAGGGAGGCTCGAAACACAATAAAAAAAACACGAGGCCAGCAGTAAGATATCCTGAGCTCGGGCAATAATACTGAAACGAAACACAAACTAAAAGCGGATCTCAGCCTGAACTGCGCGTCACAACCCGTCACTGAACGGCGTTGTTGCTGTTGTTGTTGTTGTTGCAAATACTGCCGTCTGTAATACTTTCAGTTAAGTAACGTAAACCGCGCGCGCCGGGGGTTACAGACCCGGTGCTCTTATAACAATAATAATCCTTGCATTTGACATAGCGCTTTCCACGTCTTCGAAACGTCTCAAAAGTGTTTCGCGGAACAGACCGGAAAGTGAACTGACTGTGTGTATCTGTGGGCGAAATGCGGCAGCCAACTGCGCACAACCTCTGCACCCGTACCCACCCCACCCACCCCACCCACCGAGACACTTTACACCCAGGACCGAGGGCCCCACAGCCCAGGCCTCCCTCCCTCGCCGCCCGAGGCCGCCGGCTCAGCGTGGCCCGAGCCTCGGGGCGCAGACGTACTTACCACGCGGGGAGTGAGGGGCAAAGCGTCGATGTACCGCTCCACATCTGCTTTGCTGCGCATCATGTCGCTCGCTCGCTCGCTCGCCCGCCCCCACCCCGGACCCCTCTTCTTAACCCCTCGCCCTCGGCCGCTCCGTGTCCCGGAGCCTCTTGGGTCGCTGTGCCGGACTTTGCGTCGACTGCCCCGCGCGCCAGTTGCTGGAAAGGCCGCGGGTTGTACCAACCGCGGCTCCGCGTGTGCGTCAGAGACCAGGCCGAGGATCCGACGGCGCCTGCGCAACACACGCCGCCAGCGGGCTCCACCTCCCGCCGTCACGCCCCTGACGCCACAGAGGGAGTGGGCGGAGTCTCATTCAAATCCGTGTGACGCGCCCGTTTCAGTTGGTGACCTCCGCGGACGGTTTTGGTGATGTTGCAGCGCGTGGTGCTCCCAGTGAGTCCTCCCGCCGCAAGAGGCGCTAATGTCAAATCATAGAGCACAGGAGGAGGCCATTCGGCCCATTGTGTCTGTGTCAGGTCTTTGGAAAGAGCTTCCAAATCAATCTTACTCCCCCCGCGCGCTCTCCCCATCGCTCTGCAAACTTGCCATCCGCAAATGTAAGAGTTATTATTAATAACTGTTGACTGTTCTTGTTGGGGTGGGGCCGGTGAGCGGCGGCTCCTCTGGGCTGAGCGGATGACGTCCTGGCACATCGGCAGGACCGGGGGGCGGGGGGCGGGGGGTTCACGGAGGGAGCGGGAGGAGAGGAAAGAGCAACGCTGGGAGGCAACGGCTCTCTCAAGGACCTTGGATAGGAAAGGGAGGTTTGAGATGGGCCGAGTAGCTGTGATGGGTCAAGGGAAGGTTAATTCGCAGACATGGGGTCAACGTCCACATGTATTCGGATGACACCCAACTGTACCTCTCTGCCTCCATCCTTGACTCCAGGACCACTGCTGTCCGTTGACAGAATGTCTGTCAGACATCAAGTCCTGCAGGAGATTTAACTTTCTTCAGTTGAACGTCAACAAGACTGAGGACCTCCTGATTGGCTCCCGTCAGCGCCTCCGCACCTCAGGCGCTGACAGCATCGCCATCCAAGGCTGCACACTCCACCTTACTGAGCCAGTCTGGAACCTTGGCATCTTGTTTGACCCTCAACTATCCTTTCTATCCCACCTCTCTGCCTTCCCCATCTCCGCAACATTGCTTGGCTCCACCATTGTCTCACGCTGCAGGCCGCCAAAACCCTCATACAAGCATTCATAACATCTAGGCTTGACTATGCAAATTCCCTGCTTGTCGACCTCCCCAACTCCTTCCTCTATAGGCTGCAGACCATCCAGAACTCTGCAGCCCATGTCCTTTCCCGCACTAGGTTCCATGGCCCTATCACCCCCATCCTCGCCCGATTCCACTGGCGTCACATCATACAGAGGATACCGTTCAAGATCCTGGTCCTCAGCCTTCAAACCCCTCCATGGCCTCGCTCTCCCCTACCTCTGCAAACTGCTAACCCCCTACCAACATGCCCGTTCCCTCCGCTCAGCTGGCTCCGGCCTGCTTCACGTCCCCCACCTCGCCTGCTCCACCATTGACACATGGGCCTTCAGCCGCTCTGCCCCCCATCGTCTCCAACTCCATCCCGCAGTCACTCTGCCTCGCCCCCTCCCTTACCTCCTTCAAGACCCATCTCAAGACCCTCCTCTTCAGCCACGCTTTCAATTTCCTTCTTCTTCCCCCCTGCCCTCCACGTTCCATGCCATGACCCACTCTGCCTTCCCCCACCTCCGCAACATTGCCCGACTCCGCCACTGCCTCACCACTCAGGCCGCCGAAACCCTCATATATGCCTTTATTCAACCAGAGTTGCCCCTTCCTACCTCTCCGACCTGCTAACCCCTTATCAAACTGCAGAGGTGCAGCAAACTGGCCTGCTGCATGTCTCCCACCCGGCCTGTCCCACTATTGGCAGTCGGGCCTTCAGCCTCTCTACCCGCAGCCCTGGTTAGGATGTTGGAGAGGTAGGGGGGGAGCAAGGTCATGAAGGGCTTTGAAGGTGAGGACCAGGATCTTGAACTGTATCCTTTGTGTGATGGGAAGCCAATGGAGTCGGGCGAGGATGGGAGTGATAGGGTCGTGGAGCCTAGTGCGGGAAAGGACACGAGCTGTAGAGTTCCGGATGATCTGCAGCCTATGGAGGGAGGAGTTGGGGAGGCCGATAAGCAGGGAGTTTCCGTAGTCAAGTCTGGATGTTATCATCGCGTGTATGAAGGCGGCCTGCGGTGTGAGACAATGGCGGAGCCAGACGATGTTGCGTCCGTGGGGGAAGGCAGAGCGGATCATGGCACAGATGTGGAGTAGAAAGGATAGTTGAGGGTCAAATAAGACGCTTAGGTTCTGGACTGGCTTAGTAAGGTGGAGTGTGCATCCTTGGATGGCGATGCTGTCAGTGCCTGAGGTGTGGAGGCGCTGACGGGAGCCAATCAGGAGCACCTCAGTCTTGTTGATGTTCAATGAAGAAAGTTAGCTGTTGGACAGGTGGATGGTTGGACTGTAGGTACGGTGCTTGACTGACCGCACCAAAATCACAACTTGAGTGAACTGTGGCAATTTTAGGACCAAAAAAATCACGACTTTCTTACAGCCTTATCAATAATTTATTTAAATTCTATAATGCAGGTTTATCTGGTGACTTGCTAAGACAAGGTTCTGTACTATGTATAACCCATATGGAATTATTACTACAAGGTAAAACTAAGCTTATAGCCAGAAGAAAACTCTTGTTCTTTAATGATTTTTAATTAATATGTTGTAGAGAAGACTGCTCAAAGAATATACCAATGTAGCCCATTATTACATTATGTGTTTAAAGCTATGGTAGCCTATTCTTTTCATATGCTGCACCTCGTGCAGAAAACATGTAAAATAATAATCCTTGCATTTGGCATAGTGCCTTATCACATTATTGAGACATCTCAAAGCACTTCACAGAATATATTGTGAAGTAGATCAATAGAAGTGCTTAAGATTATGAAAGAATTTAAATGGAATAATTCTCCCCGGAGGGACACACTCTAGAACTGAACTATCGAGACATACATAGAGCGTTGCCTTGATTTCAACATTTCATTGACAAGCATGTCAACCACTTTAAACTGCAGCCCTTTTATTAACACATTAATTGATACTACAAGGTAAAACTAAGCTTATAGCCAAAATAAAATTCTTGATCTTTAATGACGTTTAACTAATATGTTGTTTGGTACAAATTCTTCAGAGATTGTTCTGATGTATTAGAATCAGTTCAGCTCCAAGGAGACCCTGCTTACTTAGGTCCACTTTACCAGCACACCCAAGGAGGATAGTCAGAAGCTGTGATTGAAGCTTGTGTGCTATATAAACACCAGTATGGACTATTGGTCTGAATGGCCTTTTACATACTTTATTATCCCATCTAAAGGTAATTAGGCTCATATTTGCATTCCTTTGCCTCTTTTAATAGTTTTACTTCTTTAATACACTGGAGGGCATCATATTTTACCAGTGCTGCAGTGTACACTATAAACGTTATTGTTGTGACATTTCAATTGAAGTTTCTTATGGTTTGTAACTTCAAACTGACCAAGAAAAAGCAGCTTTCTCTGTCAGAATTGAAGATATTTTGTGCTCCAAAGTGGTTGAACAAAACCGTTAAGTTAAAATACTTGCCAAGTCTAACTTTCCAGTGACTTTATGAAAATATGCATGTGTGTGCCTATTGTTTCAAAACTAACTTAGTGTTCTTTCATACTGCTTCAGTGCTTTCTCAAAATATTTCATTTCTAATTGTAATATTAAATTTATATTTTAATAATCATTGCAATGACATGGTGCCTTTCACGTCAGGAAAATGTCTCAGAGTCTCACAGCACTTACACGAAAATGAAGCAACTGTATTTTCCAGACGACTGCAGCAGCTATGAAGTGAATCACCAATTTTATTTGGGAGCGGGCACATCAAAGTTGTCCTTTAAAGGTTCTTCCGCCATACTAAAGGCAGATGTCCATTGTGTAGCTGATGAGGAAACTGAGGCTTCAGTGACTGAAAAACATTACCTGAAGTCCAAGTTCATGAACATGTGTGTAATCCACCCTGATTTGTGTGCAGAGAGGTAAGTAGCTGCTGCTCAAGCTTTGCACCTTCAATTGATGGAACCATAACTTAATGGAAGGGGATATGTTTCTGAGTTGTGGGCAGAAAGATGGTAATGCTCTCATATATTTCATGTTGAACTGCTGTGTTGCTCACCAAGAAGCTTGCTGGGGGTTCCTGGTACTTACCATCTACCTAATCAGGGCCCAAACCCAAACTTGTTGGACGTCAAATTACCATCATGTAGGTGGTTTCCAGACTGATGAAAACTGTTGTTCATAAACCAATTATTTTGCAGAAACTGTTGATACAGGAATGTTGATTGCAGAATTAAATAAAAAGTTTATATTTTTAATATTTACATTTAAATTACTGATTTACCCATTAGTAAATTATTACTACAAGATAAAACTAAGCTTATGGCCAGAAGAAAACTCATGATTTTTAATTAATATGTTGTAAAGACTGCTCAAAGAATATACCAATTTAGCCCATTATTACATCTATCTGTATTAATAAAGACAAAATGTTTGTCTGTCTGTCTGCCAAGAACACAATAACCAATTGACATAGTGACATGATTTATACTTCATCGGAAAGGTTTTACATGGGGGAGCGCCATGGCCATATTTTTTTCGGGAATCTCCTATCGTTGATGAGCTATATTAAAAAGTCTATTAAAAAATGCTTTAAATAATGAAACTGGTTGCAAGCATAGCTGCAACCAGTACAGCTAGTTCAATATATACAGAAAGTGTGCCAACATATTTGGCTGCCGTGTTTTGCCCACAAAATACAGTCAATCTACTTTACAGTAAGTTCTGTGAAGCGCTTTGAGGCGCTCAAAGACATAAGGTGCTATATCAAATTTAAGGATTATTATTATATATCTATACTAATAAAGACAAAGTGTCTGTGTTTCAGATCATCCAGAACTCTGCAGCCCGTGTCCTCTCCCGCACCAGGTTCCGTGACCCTATCACCCCCATCCTCGCCCAAATCCACCGGCTTCCCATCACACAGAGGATACAGTTCAAGATCCTGATCACCTTCAAAGACCTCCATGGCCTTGCTACCCACTACCTCTGCGACCTCCTAACCCTTACCAATCTGCCCACTTCCTCCGCTCAGCGGACTCCAGCCTGCTTCACGTCCCCTGCCTCACCTGCCCCATCATTGGTGGGCGGGCCTTCAGCCACACTGCCCCCACCCTCTAGAACTCCCATCCTGCAGTCCCCCTGCCTCACCCCCTTCCTTGCCTCCTCCAAGACCCACCTCTGACCGTGTTTTCGATTCCCCCCTTCTTCCCCCACTTCCCTCTACCCTCCCCAATCTCGAGCCCCAGCTCGGGTCTGAAACACTGACTGTCCAGCACCTTGGGACATCTTCTTGGGACATCATCTTGGGCCGACCTGAAAGGCTCTATACAAATGTAATTTTGTTGTTGTTTCTGCCAATAGTGCAAAAACCGATTGACGTAGACATGATTTATACCTCATTGGAAAGATTTTGCAAGCGAGAGGGTCATGGGCACTTTTTTTTCTGGTAATCTATCGAAAAATATTTTGATTAAGCCCAAAAATATGAGGTTGCATAAAATATGAGATATACGTAATATTCTGCAACAAAGTAGTGACAGAGGAAAGCACACAGCCTTCTAAAGAGATATATGGAGTCCTGTAGCTCAGTGGTTAGAGCACTCACTTTGCAAGCGAAAGACCCGAGTTCAATTCCAGGCAGGGCAAAACCTTGGGCAAGTTTCCTTACTCCACACGCCTAATAATCCCTCCAAAACAAAAAACAATAATAAAATTGGTCATTTTCAATCCACGACTGTTTGTGGGACACTGCTGTGCGCAATTGGCTGCCGCGTTCGCCCACAAATATACAGTCAATTCACTTTACAGTGTGTTACCCTCCGTTCCTCCGTCTCCGGTCTGCTCCACGTCCCCCGCCCCAATCGCCCTACCATCGGTGGTCGGGCCTTCAGCCTCTCAGCCCCCAGGCTCTGGAACTCCATCCCCCAGTGCCTTCGCCTTGCTTCCTCCCTTTCCTCCTTCAAGGCCGGTCTCAAAACCTTTCTCTTTGACCGAGCCTTCAGCTCCCCTCTCGACTCTCTTCCCCCTCCTCGCTCCCTCCCTTCCCTCCCTCACCCTGACCATTTCCCCCCTCCTCGCTCCCTCCCTTCCCTCCCCTCACCCTGACCATTTCCCCCCTGCTCGGGTCCTGACCCAACTGTGCAGCGCCTTGGGACGTCCTCCTGACGTGAAAGGCGCTTTATAAATGGAATCTTGTTGTTGTTGTTCTGTGAAGCGCTTTGGGACGTCTAGAAGATGTGAAAAGCTCTATATCAAATGCAAGGATTATTATTATATCTATACTAATATATTCTGCAACAAATGTATCTTTTTTTGTGTTGTCATGGGAGCTACAGTCCTCCCAACAGGTGTCCTCCCACTGAATCATACCAACAGAAGTCCTCCCAATAGGACATTTTCTTTATCTTAAGGGAAGTTGCCTAAGAAGCGAAGATAATCCTTTCAAGGACAAAGAAAAATACAAGACAAAATAGAGGCTGATTAGATGAAGTTGAAGAACAAAGAATAGTACGGTTGGATTTCAATGCTGAAAGGACTGCAAAACAAGATGCCCGCTCAAAGAACAGCATGGCTGGACATCGGCGCAGTAAGGCATGCAAGAACTGTTTCAAAAGGCTCCATTTCTCTGTTTGAATGTGCTTTGCCATGTAAATTAACAAGGCACAGGGGCAGAGCTTAAAGGTTGCTGGCCTTTTCTTGAATACACCCTGCTTTTCTGATGGATAATTCTCTGTTGGATTCTCACGTGTGGGTTCATCTCAAAACCTGTATATCATGGCCAAAGGAGGAAAAACTGCAAATGTCTACATGGAAGCCTTGCAATAACTCGAGGACCTGCTGCATCGTACAGTAAACTCCTTTGGTTAGTATGGCTTTGATAAGCATCCTCCCACAGGAGTCCTCACAAAAGGAGTCCTCGCAGCTGAGTATAAAGACAAAATTTCTGTCTGTGTGTCAATGTACATTCCATACATCCTTTGGTTGCAAGCGAAGCTGCAACGGGTAAAGCTAATATATTATAACATCAATGATATTATGTAATGCACTTCATCTGTGAGGCATTGCATCAAACAGCCAGGCTGATAGCAGATAAAGCTAGTCATAACCTATGTAGAAATGTATATATCTATATAAAACTCAAACATGTTGGCACAGGTTTTGCTAACTAGTTTGTGTCGTTTGTATGATTTTTTACATTTTTATGTTTAACAATCTCTTTCGAATGTACAGACATTAATTAAGAGTATAAATTTTCATGTTAAAATATATACAAATTAAAGCATACAGTTTACTTGTAGGACAACTAAACTAATCATATAAAAGGTATAGTACAGCTTGCTAGGGTAACGAAATTCTATCAGAATTTTGAACACAAAAAAAATCATTTATTACAATTTCATTGCTTCCTTCTGCTGTTTTTCCACATCATCTTCCCAAGAAAGCAGATGAGAAACCGATAGACACATTTACAGCTTGCAACGGCAATGATATTCTGTGATGCACTTTATCTGTGAGGACTTGCATTGTCCAAACTGTGTGGCTGAGGGCCGATAAAGCTAATTATATACTGTGTAGATAGTTAACCAACAGGTTAAAGGCCCATCTATGCACACTGCAGAAATAACCTGAGAGTTGAAGTGCAAAGACTGTCCAGTGCCTTGGGAAATCCTCCCGACATGCAAAGAACTATATAAATGCAATTTGTTGTTGAAACCAGTGAGAAGCCTGATACCACTTGAAAAGAAATTCAATAAATATGACAAATTGGAATGGTTCATCGTGTGTATACTTTATTACATAATACTGGAGTAATTTATAGGTGCGGCATATATTGAAAAACAAAAATACATTCTTTAGTGATAAAATAGCATGAGTTCAGCATGTACTTTCTATTACACCTTGCTGGATAAATAAGCTAGCAATTAGTTTTTTTTTAAAAAATGAAGGTATTGATGTAAATTTCACTTCAGTGCTCAATTGATTCACTAGAATGTGCCAGTGAGTAATCATAGAACTGATGTTTGAGATGAACATTTTTGATTGTACTGCATCTCATTCTGTAGCACCAACATTCGCTGTCAAGAGAAACAACAAATAAAACCAACTGCAGCAAAACAAATTCAAAAAATTAGTGGATCACATGAACAGCTACCATAACATGCCAGTCGGTTCAGTAAATCGTAAATTCAATTCACAGAACACTTCAAGATGACACGATGACATGCACCTGCTTCCGTGCTTTTGTCTATTTAACTGTCTGTTTTGAGTTGTAAAGTGAAAGAAACTATCAAACAAGACAGCCCAGAGGTTTCTCTGACAGTTAAGGCAGTTTCTCCAGAGGGTTTGTTATATTTTATATATACTCCACACAATAAAGATACAGTAGTTGGCCTATTTGCTTTAAAGTACAGTACATGTAAAGGGAAAAGGGTAGCATAGATTTCTTAAATGTTGCCTTCTATTATCTATCATTGCAAATATATTAGAGAAAGCTAGGCAAAATTAATTAAGGTTTTAAAGGAGAAAAAATGTTTCATGCAAACAAAACAAAGCTGATTTTATCACAAAACCGAACACTCCAATTTCAAAAAGGATTTGAAAATCCAATAAGAAATAACAGGTAGCTTGTAACATTCTCCTCTTTGTACCACTCTAGGTGTTTTACTTTGTAGTATTGTTCAAAATTAAATCCTTCAAACATTTAAGCCCCACGTTTTTTCTCTTGGTGGCTAATCAGTATCAACAGCTCTCCAGCACAAGATAACACTTTATTTCTCATATTTTTATTTTTATTTCTCAAGTATGTAATATCTAGATAATCAATGCATTGCTGCAGTTTTAAAATGTAGATAAAAAAAGTAGTGAAAGTCATTGAACCTACAAATTAGTATGAGAATGATCAATAAAACTGTACTCTGGCGGAATTCATTGTGATAGAATGCAGAATTTGGCATACTTTGCAGCTCTTATTCTAGGTGTCTATAAACGGCCATTAAAAGCTATTTAAATTAAATATTGATTTACATACTTTAAGTAGTGTCGGCTTGGAATGTACTTATCAATGCAATTTGAAACATTCCAGCAGTACTGTTTCGAGCCAGAGCACATTTGACAGCATTACGCCAATGGGTTGCTGTCATCCTCTTTCATTTGGTAGGCTCCAGTCACAAATCAGGAGCAAGCTGCTCACATTTCCCTTCCTCTATTGAGTTTTTTTTAATATAAAGGATTTTGTGTTTAAAATCAGAATTTCACCAAGCATAAATTCTTTTGACAAACAAGTTAAACTGCCTTTAAAAATACTAAAGTTTCTAAAAACACTGCAAAGTAGTGCCATTTTAGAAAAACAAATTAAATTCTCCACATTTATTGTGTAGTGGATGATTTTACAGGTATTCTTGGAGTAGTAGGACCTAGGTTCACCTGCACAATGAGCTCATGATTTTAGACAGGCCATTCATGAGGTATTTATTTCCTCACAGCAAGTCATAGGGTACTTCTAATAACTGAAGAGGGAGGGTTGGGAGAAAGGAAAGTCATCCTACCATTTTACATATTTCCTGATGGACAAGATCAGGTCACCAGATACTTAGTCAAAAAGCAAAAGAAATACTTTTAAAATGGAGATTTAAAAAAAAGATTATTAAGGCCTCAAAAGGTGATGGTCAAATCTAGATATTTTGCTCATCTTTAGTGGTTTTTAATTCTGATGACCTTTTTTATATGAAACAAAACATTTGGATTAAGAAAAACTTTTTTTTTTGTTATAAATTGTAAATTGCAGTTGAGGAAACGCTAGCCGCGGGCTTATTTCCGCACACCAGCTTCAGCCAGTTTCTTCAGCCTTTTCTTCAACTCCAATGGGAACTTCTCGTAGCATTTTTTACAAACTGGCTTCATATCAAACTCCACAAACTTGTTTCTGCGGAAAAAATACCAATATCTTACTTGATGCAAAAGATGTGCAGTTGTAAAAGCACACAGGCACACAATGCCCACGTGTACAAGCACAGAGGTACCCAATGCCACACGTGTAAGCACACAAGCACGCAGCGCCTGGACACTGTATTCTCTGCTCATCAACATAAGACTATAGGATCTTGAATAGGCACCTGTACCATCTCAACAGCAAGATGGGATCACTGCTCAACAGGTCATTTGAAGGACAGCATCAACACCGTGTCAGAGAAACAGTTATCAAGATGAATTAGAACTATAGAAGAGTACAGAGAGAAGACCAAAGTGTAGCAGTACAGAATGAGCTCAAGATTTAGGTCAGACACACACAAGGAAATCTAAGATACTAACCAAGGACAGAAGAGGAGGGAAAGACAAGGATTACAGACAGATGTCCACCATTTTTTTCTTTTTCTGTTTTTCTTTTGCATCTCTCTCCCGTTTAGCGAGTCGACGTTTTAATTCTTCAGGCATTTTCTCATAACAGTGTTTGCAGACTGGCTTCAGATCAATTTCAACAAATTTGTCCCTTTTGAATGCACGGTGCACATAAACAGATGGAACGGAGACAAGAGTGATGCAAGACACAGATAAAGGTACAGAACAGTGCAGAAAAATTAAGAAATCAGTTATATTGATAGTAGTGTCATATTGTAGAAAAGAGGAATGTCTAGAAATGAGTCACAAAAACACAAAATGTATTGGCATGTATGGGTTAGGAAGATACCCTCCTCATGCAGAGAATTTTTTGTGTTACTTGAGTGTATAGCTTTGCTTTGTTCCCCAAACCTGAATTAGCAGCCGTAAAATTAACAGTGTATCTGAAACTTGGAGCTCTTAAAGTCATTAAGTCAAAACTATTTTTTAAAAAGTTTTTTTTTGTTTAAATTCAAATATACTGTCAAGTTGGTTAAGTTGCCATTTATTCAGGGTTGGTCTCTGTATGCCCCTGGCAGCTTTATTTTTTTTCTATTGCCACTGGGACATTGCACGAGCACCACAAGAGGTAACACAGAGCTCTGCTACATTCTTTGAATTGGGATGATGAGTCCCAGGATTTTCAAAGAACAAGTTTTAGGGCGCAGGAAAGGCAAGATATTTGGGAACAATTTTTAAAAAAAACTAGATTGAATTATACATATTTAATACTCATTTTTTTAAAAAAAAACGCTCAATAAGACATAAAAATACTTACTTGAGTGTCAGCTTGGTATTGCAAGTTGAACAAGCAAAGCAGTTAACACACCAAGCCTTGTTCAAAGCAGATACAACTACACAGGAAAAACAAAGTTGAAATACAAGGTTAAAATATTGCTTTCCTTATTTGTATTTGTTCATTTATTTCACAAATCTCCTCTCCCTCTGCATGAAAGAAGTTCTGCCAAACTTTCCTTCTTACTTTAAACATGTTTCTTGAAATTAATAGTCTAGACTGACAGTCCAGTGAAATGTCTAGTGAGTGCTGAATTTTCAGAGGTGCGTCCATCAACTTTTGGGATAGAGAAAAGATCTCTTTTTGTGCCTATTTTAGAATTCCTTAGAATATTTGTGGAATCCTGCAGCTCAGTAGTTAGAGCACTCGCCTCTCAAGCAAGAGATCTGGGTTTGATTCCCATCAGGGTGAAACCTTGGGCAAATTTCCTTACTCCACACGCCTAATAATAATCCCTCAAGAAAAAAAATAATAAATTGGTCACTTCAGTCCACGACTGTTTGTGGGACACTGCTGTGCGCAACTGACTGCCACTTTTCGCCCACAAATATACAGTCAATTCACTTTACAGTATATTCTGTGAAGTGCTTTGAGACATCTAGAAGACGTGACAAGCGCTATATCAAATGCAAGGATTATTATTATTATCATCATCATCTTCATTTGTAACTTGCAGTTCCAGATATGGTCAGTGAACATTTTGCTTTGATCAATCCCCTCCAGAATCCTTCAATTAAGTAATTTTGAAGTCTCAAAGGAACAGGAGAATTTCTCAAAAGAAATTTCCCCATTTACACACAGCTATTTGTGATACCTTACACTGTCTCAAGGGTAATAACAAAATATTAATAATCCTTCCATTTGATATAACACCTTATGTCATTGAAATATCTTAATGACCTTCACAAGATTTACTGTAAAGTGCAATGACTATTTTATAGGCAAACTTGGGAGCCAATTTGCCACAAACAGCCAAGTGAACGATCAATTTTAGCTGAGGGATTGTTGGCCCACAGACACCAGGAGAAACTTCCCTCTCTTTTTAAATAGTATCACGGCAACTTTTAAAGCCCACTTGAACAAGTGGATGGACCTCGGTTTAATGTCTCACTTGAAGGATGGTGTCTCATAATACTCCATAATATTCTTGATCCAAATAGATTATCAGTACTACCACCTATTAATAATTATTCAAAATATAAGTCAGCCATGACGTGCTGCCAATTACCAGATTCTCTGTGAGATACTATAAGTGAACCTCATTGCAAACCATCACTTTTTTGACCCTCTTAAATACTTTCTTTATCAGCAAATTAATTTTTACATAAATATTTAGACTCTTTCTTGGATGAAAAATCAAAGGTTTGTTCATTACCTCTTAAATTGTTACAGTCGATCAATAGAAACTATTTTTAAAAACATTTTTCCTGTTATAAAAAGGTTCTTAAGCAAAATGTGATAAGACCACAAGATGTGTTCAACATCCATTGTGCATTCTGCATAAATTATTTAGGAAAACAATACTGCTAACTAATAATAATAATAATAATAATAATAATCCTTGCATTTGATATAGCGCTTTTCACGTCAGGAGGACGTCCCAAAGCGCTTCACAGAACACACTGTAAAGTGAATTGACTGTATATTTGTGGGCGAACGCGGCAGCCAATTGCGCACAGCAATGTCCCACAAACAGTCGTAGATTGAAAATGACCAATTTAATTATTGTTTTTGGTTTTGGAGGGATTATTATTAGGCGTGTGGAGTAAGGAAACTTGCCCAAGGTTTCGCCCTGCCTGGAATTGAACTCAGGTCTCTCACTTGCAAAGCGAGTGCTCTAACCACTGAGCTACAGGACTCCGACTAGTGACATAAAAGCGCTACATCAAACTTCCATTACATAGCTGATTTAATGGTTGCACCAACATAAAACAATAAAAAAATCCTTCCGTTAGATATAGAGCTTTATAGTGCTATATCGCATTGAAACATCTGAATTGCACAAAGCAATTTCCACACCATTGAGTGAATTACCATTTTATCTGGAGGGCTGTTATCAGGACACTGAGCACCTCCCTTTTCTTTTCAAACAGTGCCATGGGATCTTCATTGTCCATCTAAAAGGATCTGAGGTTTAACGTCCTATTCTAAGGACTGTACCTCTTGAAAATGCAACACTCCCTTAGTACTGCAAACCTAGATTATGAGTTCAAAGTCCAGACGTGGGGTTTGAATTACAACAGAGGAGGGGGGGGTGGTGGGTGGGAGGGAGAGGAGGGATGTAATCCTGTTTATTGCAATTAATGCTTAATGTAAAATTTGTTATAACCACACAATTGGCATTTTGTCAAACTTACCATCTCCTTCAATCACACGATTGCAGTGGTAGCAAACGTCACCAAACAGCTGAAAAAGAATCATAAACTCTGTAAGGTGCTATTGATTTCAGTTTGGCAGATCCATTTTAAGTCTTTGCTGAATAGTTTAAGCATCTGTTGAGGCTATTGGCCGTATATTCAAACAGCAAAACTTCAAACGTTGTGGTCATTTTGTTTTGTTTTTGCCGTCGTTTATCCTACAGAAAGCTTGGCTCTTTCAGACAAGTGTTTCAATTCTGATATAAAATAAATTGACATCTTTCAAATTGTGATTGACTGGCTAGCTGTGGACTTCCAGCATTTTTATTCTTTTTTCCAAAAAATGCCCTTAACCCCAGCAAATCTAATTTTCAAATGAGCTAACATTATGGGTAGCAAGGTTCACAATCACAATCGTAAATTCTCGAAGACAACGACAAGAATATTTGAGTAGTTGCTTCAAACATCACTCCCATTCAACTGTTACTGATGGAAACTTAGAATCACTTTTGATTAGAGTTCTCATCATTCTAACAAATTCAGAATAGATTGCCAGTGTGCAAAGTTGGCGCATTTAAAACAATGACTAATGTCACACAATACAAGTTTACATTTATATAGTGACTTTCACATCAGGAGGACATCCCAAAGTGCTGGAAAATCTAAGGTTTTTACCCAAACTCGGGAGGGAGGCGCAAGAGGGGAAAAGATAGAAGAAAGCGAGGTCAAAGAGGAAGGTCTTGAGGTGAACACAGAAGCAGGCTCGGGAAAGGGCGAGTCTAAGTGACTCTGGGATGGAGTTCCAGAGAGTGGGGGCAGATTCGCTGAAAGCCCAATAACCGATAGCGGGGCAGATAAAGTGGGAGACGTGAAGCAGGCTGATGTCTGCTGAGCGGAGGGTGCGACCAGGTATGTAGGTTTTGAGGAGGTCACAGTGGTAGGGCGGGGTAAGACCATGGAAATATTTATAGATTATTAATAATTAATAATTTAAATTATTAATTTAAATGCTCCCCATTTTGAAGAGACCAAGCCCAACCAGCCTGACCATTGGATATATTCATACAAAATATAAAAAAAGTAAAACAGAAAACTACATAAAAATCATATTATATGATAGTACCTGGTTATAGTGAGTTTCACAATAAGCCAGTCCCTTCCTCTCATAGTGACGATGACCTAGGAAAGGTTTCTCACATTTGGCGCACACAAAATGCTGGAAAAAGAATTGTATTAGAGTTAGAATAAGTAAACAGTTAAGAGACATTAGAAACAGTTGCCTCAGGTTGTTATAATAATAACCCTTGCATTTGATATAGCGCCTTATCACATCGTTGAAGCGTCTCAAAGTGCTTCACAGAATATACTGTAAAGTGTATTGACTGCATATTTGTGGGCAAAATAGCTAAAGAGACATGACTATACTAAAAAGAACCCTGCCCAATTCCTGAATTTGGGAAAAGAACAGATTAATAGATGAATGCAAAGAGTTCTAAGGATGCTATGCCTCAAAGATTTCAACTCTTTTCTTTTTGAGGCCACCAAAATTTCAACTCTACCTACTTACTGCTAGGTAAACAGAGGCACGTGGAGTAAGGAAACTTTCCCAACATTTTGCTCTGCCGGGAATCAAACCCAGGTCCTCTAGCTTGCGAGGCGAGTGCTCTAACCACTGAGCTACACTGCCAGCAGCGTTTCTCAAAGATTTTGTGAACAAGGATTTTTCTCAAATGTGGTTTGTCAAATGTATTGAAATAAATGAAAATGTGCATATAACTATATTTCCTTTATTTTTCATATGATTAAGTATTTTTAGGAAAAACTAATACTGCAGTTAAGTGTTGGTGGCTGCCAGTAAGGGTTAATGATCGCACACTGAGGCAACCAAAATAAGTTGTTTGGAGAACCACTGACATAAAGTATTGCAGTATTAAAGTCTGGGGATATTGAAAATTAAGGTTTTTTTTGTAGAAATAATAAACAAAAGCAGTCGAACAATTCCTCACGTCATTGAGACAGTTCTTTTTACCGTATGCACTGTCAGCAACAAGCAATTCCCTTAGCTGAAGTTGCATGAAGCAGCTATAATGCTCAGTTGCCTCTTTGTATCCTTGACAATGGACGTCCACCTCAGCATAAGAACATAAAACTGCTGCATTCTGATGTTTCATCGAAAGCTGTGCAAATCACTCCCACTATTGCTGAGGCATGTTTGTACTGTGAGCTCATAGCCTCACTTTCCTTGGGGGAAAGATGACCTTACTCCATTCCCTCTGGGCTGAAATTAAATCCACATTCGAGAGTCTGAAGAATCCAGTCCTAAACCCACTGTAAAAACACTGATACGAGTGGGTGTACAAACATCTGGTAAAATGGCAAACAAATTAAATCCCAGGAAAGATATACTGCGCGTCAGATTTGCAACAGGAAATTTGTACCTTTTGTGAATTGCTGCATTGCCAATCACTGTTGCATTCAGAAGAGATAATAATCATTGCCTTTCACATCAGGACCTCTCAAAGAGCTTCATAGCGTATATCATTAAGTGTAGGGACTATGTATTTGTAGCCGAAAGCGGCAGCCCATTTACACTTAGCAATGTCCCATTAACAGCCACATATGAATGACCAATTTTATTCTTAAGACTGGGTACTGGGAGAAACTCCCAAACTGTACATCTATAGCACAGATGTAGCTCAAACCAATTACCATAGATAGTACCTTACCTCCACATGCCACTGCTTTCCCATTGCATTAACCACGCGTCCTTCAATTGGCCGTCGACAAGCACCACATATTGGGACACCCATCTTATCATGACAAGGCAAGCAATACAACTCTCCTTTCAGCTCACGGGCTTCAGCTGTCAGCTCCTTCCTGGTTTGGATGAAAAATATCAGAGGGTGTGAGACACAATATATCTGTTCATATCCATTAGCACTATTGTGTTGTACTGAAATAACTAGTTCTGAAAGGATCGCTTCTTTATCTGCATGAGATTCCCCCACCTTCTCCCCATTTGTCTATCAATTTTCTTCCCCCCACCCCACCCAAAGATACTAACTTGCTGGTCTAAGATTTCAACAGTCTTCATTCAAGTGACAATCTACAGAGTTAATGGCACGTGTTGTTTGACCACAGAGGGCAGCAGAGTTGAATTGCCTCTGATCCTGTTCCCACTGAGTAGACAGCTTCCAGGAGAGGACAATGAATAGGGCTCAGGAGTGGTAATTCTCTCCCCTGGCCCAGGGGTGCTAAGGCTACTTTTATCTTCCCACTACTGTCTGAGTTGAGATCAGATAGATTAAACACAGATCAAGAACCAAATGTGCATCCTTCACTGTATAGTTCTTAAGAGCTATCTGTTTACAATTCAATATAGTGGCTTTCACGTTGGGAGGATGTCTCACAGCACTGCGTAAAGCTGGCTGGGCGTTGGAAACCTAAGGGCGTGAAGAAAAGATGATCAAAAGCGTGGTCAAAGAGGTAAAGCTTGAGACGGACCTTGAGGTGAGGTGAGGGAGTGAGAGGGAGGAATGTTTAATCCCACTTCCCTGTCTTTTCCCAATATTCATTAATATTTTTCCTTTGCAGAAATCTGTTTAATACTTCCAAAGTTGAATTTGTCTCATGCTGTACAGTCACTATTAGTGGAACATCATTTGCACATCTGTCAGGTTGGATATGCTTAACCAAAATAGAATTAATCTCCGTTGCTCTTCCTAACCATCTGCCTGTTGTTTGGAATGAATCCAGAAAACACAGACATTTCAGGATGTCCTCATTCTGCACAATGCACTGAATTACAGCAAACAAGACAACAGAATGGCAGAAGTGTATACTGCTTGTGGTGATTAACCCTTGGGGTATACAAATACAATAGTTCTGAAAATAGACAACTGCAATTTAGTATTTTGTTTCTTACATAAACATAATGAATGATTTTTCTTAGGCTGTAGCAATATATATATGTCCAACTATGCAGAAGAATCAAACATTACTTTAAAAGGTTTTAAACTGAAAAGACAAATAGATCTTTCAAGTAACCATATTGTGCCGCTAAACCCACCTGGCTTAAATTGAACTTAACGGTCCATTGCCAGATCTGGCTCAACCTTATCAAATCGTTCCGCTCTGCCCTCACCTCCGGTAAATCGTCATTCTATTCCAAGATAATCTTGGAGGTCAAGGACAACCCCAATCCCCTCTTCACCGTCACCAACCAGCTCCTCCGCCCACCCTCTCACGCCTCGCCCATCCTCATCTCCAAAGCCAACCATGAGGCGATGCTGGACTTCCTCAAATCCAAAGTCGAAGGGATCCACTCAGCTGCCTCTGCCCTTCCGTCTACTACTCCCTCCCCATCTCCCCCTCACACGCCGGCCCCTACCCGTCCCTCCCTCCACACCTCCCACTTCTCTCTCACCACCCGTATGCTCCCTCGACCCCATCCCAACCCTTCTCCTTACCTCCCAGCTCCACCTCCTTGCCCCTTTACTCACAGGCATCATAAACCTCTCCCTGTCCACTGGTACCATTCCCACCCCTTTAAAAAAAATATCTACCATCCTGCTTGCTCCCTCCCCTCAGGGAGCTCCAGCCTACTTCATGTCCCCTGCCTCACCCGTCCCACCATTGGTGGGCGGGCTTTTGCCACTCTGCCCCCGTCCTCTGGAATTCCATCCTGCAGTCCTTCTGCCTCAACCCCTCCCTTGCCACCTTCAAGACCCATCTCAAGACCCTCCGCTTCGACCGTGCTTTCGAGCACCCTGCTCTTACCAATCCTGACCCCCAGCTCAGGTCGGAAACACTGACTATCCAGGGCCTTGGGACGTCCTCCCAATGTGAAAGGCGCTATACAAATATAATTTTGTTGTTGTAAATGTTGCTTTTGGAATGCAGATTTTGTACAGCAGCACCAAGATTAAACCACTGCTACATCATTCTTAAGAAACCCTTGGCAATATTTAGAGATGTGCAAAATTTGTAATTCATGAAAAGGGCAGAGTAAACGTGTACATTTAAAACTCCACTCAAATATGTAGCTTATAATCAAAAACAGAAATTGGACATCAATAAGCTATTTACATGATCTGCCACCGCTGTACAAATAGGATATACATGCTTTGCTTTGCAGGATGCAGCTTTTGCTGAGGGAAAGGAATATGTTTTCCCAGTTTCTATTCTTTCATTGGGGTTAAAAAAAAAATTTAAAAATTGAATGTTAAAGCCATGCAAGCTACTCCTAATCTATATGTGTTGCGCTAAGCCTTTGGCTATGTTTTGCAGAAATCTAAGCTCCTCAACTTGAATTTGTAAAAAGTTTAATTTTGACTCATTCACATTTTCCACCAGAGCAGAAAAATAAAATCTGCAAAAAAAAACAAACCCAGAACATTTTGTTGAAATATCCTGTCGGGTTGGAAAGATGTGCGTGCATGCGGGTGTGCCAAGCTCCGGTTAAAAAATGTAGGATTTTCTGGTTGACCTACAAACCCTTGGCAACTTCACGTGAATCATATTGAGGTAGAGAGTATGAACCAAACAGCCAAGTTCAAAATTTTGTCAAGTGAATCAATTATTAAGAACCCTTTCACTTTTTGCAATCAAATTGAATCATTTCATAATGTTCATGTATGTAACTGTTTTTACATAATAAACAAGTCAATTTCTTCCTCAAAGGCAACCAATAGTCCTTCGTCCTTCTCAGAATGCTCACCCGCCAAAATCAGTGCAGAATTGTAGCTTACCCACAGTTTGCGCAGTTGAAATGATCTGGGTGGTAGGGGTCATTCTTGAATATGAGTGGCACTTCATCAATGATGGCATGACATTTCTGACAGATGTATTTTCCCAGACCTCTGGCCTTTTCACGATTATGGCATGGGCGGCAAAGATGCCTAGAAACAGAAATAAGCAGAATAATCACTTATATTGTAAAAGACTCCCTTTGAGTCCTTAGAAACAACTGGTGAGAAAATGAACTTCCATTTTTATATTGCAATAAAATGGTATGCATGAATATCCTGTTGGATGACATAAAACCTTTAAAAGAACGACAACAATTTGCATTCATATAGCACCCTTCACGCATGATAGTGTCCCAGAGCGGTTTATAGAATAAAAGTGCTACAGTAAAAGATTATATTTTTGAATGCATTTACAACATTATTATAACATGAAAAAAAATACACATCTTCAAATGAGTCAGCTCTCAAACGGATTTGCGTTTAAATGAATCAAAGAATGCAGAAGAAAAAGGCAATAGCATGGCTTAAAATATCAGCTTGGTTCAGGCAGAAAGTAATAATGTAAACCAGATGCTGAAGTAACAGGGGAAGAGGGACAAACAGGCAGCCGGAGCCAGCTAAGTGGAGGCAGCGGGTGGTGGAGTGGGGGGTAAGCTGTTCCCCCCACTCCACTACCCGCTGGGGAGTAAGGAGGTGCAAGGGCATGAAGGGATTTGAAAATGATGGAGAGGATCCTGAAATCGATCTGTTTGGAAATTGGGAATCAGTGAAGCCTGGTAAGAATTGGTGTGATGGGGGCGAGTATCTGGATGTTTTGAATTTATTGAATTTTGTGTATAGTGGGTCTGGGAAGACCAGCAAGGAGGGCATTGAATAGTCCAGCCGGGAAGTGATGAAAGCATGGATGAGGGTTTTGGCTGCATTGGTTGTGAGGTATTGACGGAGGTGGGCAATTTGACAGAGAATTTTATCTGCGAGTATGCCAGTCAGGCCACCTGGCTACACTCTCCTTTCTTTCTGAATAGTGCCAAGGATTTTTAATGTCCACCCGAATAGGCATACAGTACCTTGGTTTAAATTCTTGTACAAAGGATAGAACATCCAACAACATATTGCTCTATCTGTGCTGTATTCGGGTTTTGGAGCTCAAAGTCCCGACATGAGGCTTGAACCCAAAATCTTTAATAATCCAGAGTACAAGTTTATAAGCACATAACCTTCTTACTCTTCAGAACAGTTTACTGGATTTATTGAAATAATTAAAATAAAACTGTTCAATTCAAAGCTTTGATTTGTAGAGTGGAGAAAAGTAAAGATCATAGTGTACTGTGCAATAAATGCTGACAAGTTGTTAAATGACCTCAAGAAGTTAACTGGCAAGTAGGAAAAGGAAGCTTCTATTTTTGTCTCATTTTGGCGGAATGTTTTTTTCAAAAGAGGGAAGACACCAAATGCACAGCACGAAATGCTGTTCCCAGAGGAAGTGCTTCCTGTATAATCAGCACGGTTATTGTAATGCAGCTTTTAAAGAGAGGTATTGAAACTTCACTTCCTTTCTTCCTTTATTAATATAGATGGTATACATTGTCGCAACAGCAAAGAGTGAACCTCCAACTTACTGCATGAAGAACTAGAGTCTTTCACAAAGGGAAAGGGAACCAGCAGGTAATTCACACTACAGTACTGGAATGAATATTCTTCAAACTGCTGTCAAAAGAGAACCTTCGTCAGTCTTCTCACCAGCACACTGTAAGTACTGCACATTGTAATCACACATTAAATGATTTGGTTATATTCTGACTTGGAGCATTGAATTCCTTGCAAACCAGTATGGGAATATTATTTGTTAATTACATTCTCTGGATGCGTCTGTAGCAGACAATGGAATTCATTCTTTTAATAAAAAAACAAAAAATTAAATGAATTTGTATATGAAAGTGGATAAAAACTAACCTACAATCTATTCATTAATTGTTTTAAAAAATTGTCCTCAGTCAATCATTTCAGCGTCTCAATCGGGTGTGAGACACAATACAAAGAACACTTACATTTGGGTGCCAGGTACTGACACCGGTCGGTGGGGAGAAAAGGCGATAACTTAAAAGTGGTTTAAAAAAAATGCAAAAGCAAATGATTTAGAGATGTGCATTAATAAAAATTATTTGATAACTTGCAGTCCAGAACACGACCGAACACCATGGCTGACGATTCTCAGGAATGGAATGACACGACCACACTGGCTGCAAAGTTACCAACAGTATCGCAAGCCAATTTCAATCTAACAACTACGTCGGTCGAAAGACTGGTTTATATTGTGATCTACAGCACAGTGTTCGTAGTTGGGCTGATTGAGAACAGCATCTCTCTCTGGGTCTTCTGTAGCCGTATGAAAACCAAGACCATATCCAGCATTTACATGTTAAATCTCGCAGTGGCTGATGTTGGTCTAATTCTGACTCTGCCATTACGCATTACCTATCACATACTTCAAAGCCACTGGCCATTTGGAGAGATAGCTTGTCGGATCACTGGCTTTCTGTTTCATCTCGACTTGTACAGCAGTGTCTACTTTCTTACCTGCATCAGCATTGATCGTTATTTAGCAATAGTGCATCCAGTTAGATCACTCAACTTTCGCAAGGTTCGTTATGCAAGAATAATCAGTGCTACTGTATGGGTAACTGCGATCCTAGGAACCTTTCAGCTTGCTGTGACTGCTCAGACCTTGAAAGCCACAGAGAACACGACTGTGTGCCTGCAACTGTACAGAGAGAAGCCATCTCTCTATGCTTCAGGGGCATTGATTATTGGATTTCTCTTTCCATTTCTTGTTATTATCTGTTGCTACATCCGCATCATCAGACACCTCCAGTCTTACAGGCGGCTTGATTACAAGCACAAGGCGTCCAGGATGATTTTCACAGTGCTAACAGTCTTTTTGGTTTGTTTCTTACCGTATCACATTACTCGGTTACTGTACGTTATTGTTGCAAATCAGCAACTGAAGTCCACTTCCACAATGGAAGTTCTTGCCATCCTGAACCGTGCATTCTTCTGCCTGGCAAGCATCAATTGTTGCTTAGACCCAGTGGTTTACTTTTTTGTGGGAGAGAATTTTAAAGAATCTCTTTGTAAGAAAAATGCATGGAAAACTACAACTGAATGTGAAACTCGTACCAGCAGCAGCACTAACAGAGCAAACAATGTAGAAAATACAGTATTTGATTAATGAATTAAAAATGAATTAGTTCAACATTTGGAGAGTACTGTGGGGTACAAATTCCATTCAGTGTTGTGTATCGCCTTTGGCAAAGTGCTTCTATAATGGGAAATCCCATTATAGATAAAAATATAAAAGGGAATAATTTCCAGGTGTACAGGGGCAAGGGAGGAAAATGAATCGGTGGATCAATCTTTGAAACAACCTGCACAGACATGGTGGACCAACATGCCAAAGGCAATACAATAATAACATAATAATCCTTGCAATTGATATCACGCATGCTATCACGACTTTGAGAAGTCTCAAAGCGCTTCACAGAATTTACTGTAAATGAATTGATTCTATATTTTGTGGACAAAAATACAGTACTGTATTGTACAATAGTGCATTGTAATACTACATGCAACACTGAACAGAATTTGTACCTCTGTGGGACAATTACCATGGACAACAACAACAACAAGATTTCATTTATAGAGCGCCTTTCACGTCGGGAGGACGTCCCAAGGCGCTGGACAGTTGGGTCAGGACCCGAGCAGGGGGGAAATGGTCAGGGTGAGGGGAGGGAAGGGAAGGAGGGGGTAGAGAGTCGAGAGGGGAGCTGAAGGCACGGTCAAAGAGAAAGGTCTTGAGACTGGCCTTGAAGGAGGAAAGGGAGGAAGCAAGGCGAAGGCACTGGGGGATGGAGTTCCAGAGCCTAGGGGCTGACTAGTCCTCAGAGGGAGGACTCCTCTATCAGTGAGGACACACATTCATCTGGGAAGAGATGCAGCGATGGACCAGAGGTTTTCCCCTCCCCTATTGGTATCGTCACACTCACTGGAGACTAATTAGTTCAGGGGAGGAGCTCCACATGTGTAAAAAAAACGTGGATTCCCATCTCAAGTGAGTTTAAGGTAGGAGTTGTCAGTGTACACCCATGACTACAGATGGAGTTTCTATATTATGGTTCAGCTTATTTGTTAATAAATTTTGAGTTTGTGATATGACATGACTGTTGCCTCAGATTCCTGCTATAGTATTTATTTATTTATGGTGCACAGTATATGTGTTTAAAATAGATTCCACTCTGTCATTTTTTTTCTATTCTGCTATTACAGTTGCTTAGTTTGTGAAAAAAATGGAATTTGCAATGTAATATTTTTAAATCATTATAAGTTTTCCAATTATATCTTACACTTTCCTCTCTATTTAGTCAATTATCTCTACTCCATTTCCAAACTAAAGGTAATTTTTTAGCTGGTTAAATTCCATCAGTACCAGTTTTGGGATCCCTAAACATAAATCTGTTTTGAATGCTCGCTCCCTGCTGGAGGAACTCCGCATCCATCCTCTGGGGCATCCAATATTGAAATGGTCAAGACTGTAGAACTGTAGGCCTGAACAACATAGCAGCATCATTATCAACTAACTCACACCAAGTCTCGATGATTGTCGCTCTAAACCAATGCATTAAATTTTAGCAAGTTATTAGGTTGCCTATAATAGATCTCAGGACAATTTTCAGTAACATACTACACAATAAAGCAAGGGTGCATAGAAGCACAATGAATACTGTAGAATATACATCACAGCTGTTTCATATAAAATTGTGAGAGAGCTACACACAGATAAACACATTCCTTCAACTCCTAATGGACTGTATTTAATAAACCTCCTAGCAGATGTCATTATCTGACCAAACATCTAAAAAAAACTCTTCAGGATTCCTAGGAATAGCAGAACTGGCAGATAGTCTAATTCCACATTATGCATGTATTCATCTTTCAGTTGAGAAGTGGAGAACAGAATGTTCTGGCACAAATTGAGAACCGTTATTAAAAAGTGCATTCTCAAATTGAAAGTCTGTATATTGCATAGTAACTTTTATTTTGGATATCAATATACACTCTTCGCAGCACCCTTGTTCCAAGGGCTGACCGCCCCAAAAAGCACATTCCCCTCTCTGCTTCATATTAAGTCATTTCTCTACTACTGTTGTAATAGTGGTAGGATTGTTCAACAGGAAACAAGTTTGTGCAGAATAGGTTTTTTCCACTAGTTTTTACCCACTCAAAAATTATAATGGTGAGCTCTGTTAGCCAAGAACTCAAACCTCTTTAGAGCACAAACTTTTAATTCATAGAATACCTACATTTGAGTTGAATGCAGGAGCAGACTTTACCCTCATTTCTGCAGTTGTGATGAACATATCATTGAAATGTACCAACCTGCCGGCGTTTTTCACAAATCCAATATCTGCAAGGATCTGCTGACAGAGATCACAGCGGAAACATTCCGGATGCCAGCTATTGTTCATAGCTTTAATCACTCGGCCAATGATGAACTCACCTACAGTGAAAGGAAAAATGTTAAACTTAACTTAAACTGCTTAAAATACAAAAAGACAGTCTGTTTCCGTCATCTCATTTCCCCTAACTAACCTAACCAAGTAAAACTGGCTCCCAATATTTCAATGGATTGATTTCAAGTTCTGGCCTTTAAATCTTTTGATCTCATTCCGGCCTTCAAATTCCTTGATGGTGTCTCTCCCTATCTATGTAATATCTTGCAACACTATTCTCCCATACATGGCCTCTGCTATTACGATTCAGGTTTACTTAATGACCCCGCCACCCTCACTCCTTTTATCCCACCTTCAAATCTCTGAAAACACTCTTCCAAAATCTTGCATCCTTGTTTCTTCTCTCCCTATGTTCATAAATCTTTGAAAACATTTAGCTTAAATCATACATTAGGCAAAATGCATAATTCTTCCTTGTGCCTGCTCAGTGATCTCCATTACATCTGTCAAATGTTTAAGACGTTTTTTTATATACTAAGGGTCCTAAACAAATCCAAAATATTGCAATGCAAAGCTGTCCTACACTATATTCTGTTGGGTTACAGATATCCCTTTTAATAAAGCAATTTCTAAAATCAGACAGGAAGCGATTTCCTTCCTTCATTAAGATGGAAACAAACTCATGCTGGTTACAATTCATGTGGCAAACCTCTGGCTCTTCATTAGAATAGTCATTTTTCACATGCCAGTTTGGTTTGGGGAAGCTGTTATACCGTTGGGCAGCATTGTTCTTGCCCTCACAACAGATCCAAATCCCTCATGATCTTGGCATCAAGACCATTCTCTTAAAAATTAATATTACAAAGAGTTTTAGAAAATTCTTCAGTTTTTATTTAGAAGACTGTTTTCACCAACTTGTTTCAGAATCTGTAAATATTGCAAGGCAACAAGGCTTAGAGCAACAATGAGACAGATAGCCACATCAAAATGGAGACATTAAAATATAAAGGAATCTTATTGTTTGTACAAAAACAATGCTAACGTAATGTTGAACACTCACCACATTGATGACAACAGGGAGCAAAGAGCATCTGAAAATCATGCTCACAGTATTTTCGGCCTTCAAACTGCAACGAAAAAAGAAACGTTAAAAATGTGAGCGTATATCATCCTACATCATAGCAGGAGTGTTGGTTTCTTGATTCAAAGCACACCAAAAAGGGTCTAATTTGTGATATTTCTTAGTTTCTCAATGTAAAGAAATGTATCCAATGATCCAATTTTTAAAGCATATTGTGCTAAAGTGCATTCACATCCAGGCTGGACTACGCTAACTCCCTAAAAACAGAAACAGAAGTCTCTGGGAACAATCAGCAGGTCAGGCAGCATCTATGGCGAAAGGAAAGTGAGTCAAAGTTTCGGGTCCAGGACTCTTCGTCAGAACTCCGTTTGTCAGCCCTCCCTCCATAGGCTGCAGATCATTCATAAATCTGCAGCTCATGTGCTCTCCAGCACCAAGCTCTGTGATCCTATCACCCCCACCCTCGCCCCAATTCCACCACTCCCCATCCCCCAGAGGATAGAGTTCAAAACTTTCATCCTCGCTTTCAAAGCCCTCCACGGCCTTGTTCCTCCTTACCTCTGTGGCCTGCTAACTTCATATAGATCTGTCTGCACCCTCCGCTCAGCGGGCTCCGGTCTGCTCCATGTCCTCCATGAGCCCACCCCACCATCAGCAGTCAGTCCTTCAGTTTCTCTGCCGCATCCCACAGTTCCTTCGCTTCCTCCCTTATCTCTTTCAAGGCCTGTTTCAAGATCCAGCTCTTCGGTCGCACCTTGGTTCACCCTCCTACATCTACCATTCCTGCCCTCCACCCCCCGATCCCAACCCCCTGCTCGGTTCCAAATCCCTGACTGTCCAACGCTTTGGAATGTCCTCCCGACATGAAAGGTGCTATACAAATGTAATTTATTGTTGGTAACCATAGAAATTTACAACATAAAAGGAGCCCTTTTAACCCATTGTATTAATGCTAGTGTTTCATCAATGAAACTATCTATCCTCTTCCCATTTCCCTGTTCTTCCCCTCTGATAGCTTTCCTCAGCATGCTCAACTAATTCCCTTTTAACTTTATATTTTTGGGGGTCAGCTGGGTGTCTAACACAAATGGAAATCTGTTACCAGATTTAGGAAATTCCAAATCAAACAAGAGTTTCACACATGAATGTCACTGACAAATGGAACATAATTATAATAATAATAATAATCCTTGTATTTGATATAGCGCTCTATCACATTTTTGAGACGTCTCAAAGTGCTTCACAGAATATACTATAAAGTGAATTGACTGTATATTTTGTGGGTGAAACACACTGGCCAATTGCACAGTGTCCCACAAACAATTGTGGATTGAGTTACCCAAATTTTTTTATTGAAGGGCCTATTACCCCCGGAAAAGTGATCCACCAATCAACTAACAACCGGGTTCCTACTTACTGCTAGGTGAACAGAGGCGTATGGAGTAAGGAAACTTGCCCAATGTTTCACCCTGCCCGGGAATCGAAGCCAGGTTCTCTCGCTTGCGAGGCGAGTGCTCCAACCACTAAGCTACAGGACTCCACATTCAATTCCAGGTGCAGAAAAATTTCCGTTTGTAGGCGGCAAACGAGTGTGGAACTGCACCATTGAGTCTGCACTTGGCAGACTCCACAGTGAGTACCTCCAAGTCCTGGCTGGTCTTATTAGAAGTGCCTTGGAATACTGTGAACCCGGACTACTGAGTTCACCACAGAGGGTTGACTTGATTCTGATATTTTGTTGCCAAATATGTCACCTTGGAGCCAACCAGCTTTGAAGAGGATCCACTTACACCACGCCTCCCCCCCCACCCCAATAGATAGTAATTCCCTTTAAAATTTACCAATTGAATGATTACATATTTCTTATTAAGAAATCTCGCAAATCAGACTCCATCATTATTAAATACTAAAATTCAGTATTAATGCATGGATACAATTTTAGGTGGCGACCATTGAGGTGGGGAGGAGGAAGGAAAGAATAAGCGAGTCAAACTAGAGATATCAAATTATTGGATGGACCTGGATTATATTTGGATTGTGAAATGGATATTGTAAATCAACATTTAAAGACATCTCAACAACATGATAAGACGCTATTTTAAATGCGAGGAATATTATAAACTGAATTCAGACTTGTTCTGTTGTGGTGATTTTGGTCATGGTATTATTTTCGAAAAGAAGGAACTTTTCCTCAGTGCTCTAGTTAATTTTCTCTATTTATCAATATTTACTCAACCTCTATACAGACAATTTACATTTATATAGCACGTCTCACATTGGAAGGACATCTCCATGTGCTGAACACTGCTGTTAGGGCCCCTGAACTGGGGATGGGCGCCTAGATTATAATTTGAATAATAAATAACTATAAAATTTGTTTTTCAAATCCTTGCTGCTGTGACTACGCATCAACTTAACTTATCCTGAGATGATTGGACATTAACTTGAAAATATTAGTGAACTCAGATAAATCATATACAAGAAATGTAAAACTATGCAGATGCACAACTACAATACAACATGCAGCATTCTTTTGTCAAACATATGCTTACAAATTGAGGAAGGTCCAACCAAACGATTATTTCTGTCACACAATGTTTACTCAAATGCTTTCAAAACTACCTTGGCCCTCGGCCCACAATTCAGAAGTCAAACCAAATTCTTAAGTATTATTTTCCATTCATTCTTTGTTCACAGTACATCTCCCCTAATGTTTTCCCTGCTCATAATTTATCCTCCAGTTCTCCTGAAACTCATTTGTAGATATTGCCCTCCAACCTATTTTGCCCACAAATATACGGTCAATTCACTTCATAGCATATTCTGTGAAGCGCTTTGAGACGTCTAGAAGACGTGAAAAGCGTTATATCAAATGCAAGGATTATTATTATATATATTATTTAACCTCTTCCCACATTCCCAAATAATCCACCTCACATTTTGTACGCCTATCCAGTAGACTTGCATGATTTGCCAATACGTAGACTTGTCAAAGACGTGGTTAAAGATGGATTTGGCTAACAAAACAGAAAACTGAACTGATAAGATTCCAAAGCAAGCCATGGATAAGTGACTCAAAGTCCCCCTCTGTCTAAAAATAGTAAATAAGCTATTGCATTTCGAGAAACTTGATTTGCTGAAGATTTAAAAGGTAACAACTGATGGGTTGAAGTAGAGAATGGCGACTTACCTCATAGAACAGGCCTTCTGGAAACTGCTGAAAACACTGGGCACATACAAAACACTGCTCATGATACAGCTCTCCATTACTGTTCACAATCCTCTCAGCTGGTGCAAAGCCACTTTTGCACCGCTCGCACATGGCATTCGCCAGGGCATTTGCCATGTTACTAAAATAAAAAAAGAGAACCAAGTCAATAATGAGGCAATGCATGGAGTGCCTGATGCGATACATCATTACAATATGTAATACATCATTACACATACACAACATGAAGTATCATGAAATATCAGTACAATATTAATTTAAATCAAGGATGTCAAAGGCAAAAGGTGTATTTTGGGGGAAGGAAACAAAAATATGATAATCACATCAGATCTTGAAACAGATGAAGCCAACTGGATATGCTGAACACGCCTTTTCTTATACCTACATTTGATATTTCTTGCCTCCTTTTCCTTTCAGCCTAAAATAGCTATAGCATGCATATGATATTGATAGTTTATTATCTCATTGACCTCTAATCTGCTGGAGGCATCCAGTAACTTCCAATAAATCCAGACTAGGCCCACAAAACAGTCTAAGACACACAATTGCAAAGTAAATATAAACTATTTTTAAAAAAAGTTCTAGAGATGATAATACTAGGGAAGAGAGAATGTAATTGGACATTATAGTCTATAGGTTCAATAGGCGTACAGTACTGTATAATATTTCAAAAGTCAGTTCAGGGGAAAGAAACCAAACGTGGCAAAAGAAAACTTCCATTTTTGTAGCATCTGAACACATTGAAGTGTCCGAAAGTGTTTCAGAAGTAATTACGGTCAAGTGTAGTGACTTTTTTTTAAAAAGAGAAAAGCAGCAGCTAATTGCGAGCAAGATTTCCTAAACAGCTCTGAGGTGAATGATCAACCGGAGGATTGCTGGAAGAAACTTGTAATGTTAGCGGTGTATCTTTTGCACAGTGATTATGTGCAGCCTTAGGAAGAAACCATATTGGCAATAAACTCGGATTTCACAATAGTCAGATCTCAGTACAAACACATCTGTACCATCAGCAGAACTCAGTGGAAAAGATCCAAAATTCCAAACTCTCCACTTCATCTCAGAATTTCCCCACAATACTTACAACAGTCTGAATACACGTCCAAACACACAAGAAAACAAGTGTCTTCCAGGCCAAGGACATTGTTGAATTAGATTAAATTGCTTTCAGATGTCTCTTGACATTTGTGATCTGGTGATACTGTTATTAGAATTTCAAGGCAAGCTGAACACATTTGTACAGTCGCTACATAATAAAATTTCATACAGAATAAAGGTCAACGCAATCAACCACAACAATTTAGGTTTATATGGCCCCTTTTGTGACAGGAGGATGTATCAAAGTGTTTCTCACAACTGACTGAGAACCTGAGTTGGTGTGGGTGGAGGTGGTGGGAGTGGAGGGTTGCTAAAACTGCAGTTGAAAAGATGGGTGTTAATGTATGTTTAGAAGGTAAGGAGAGAGTGAGCAAGATGGGAGGGATTCTGGGATGGAGTTACAGCGAGTGGGGGTGGAACGGCTGAAAGCTACCCCCATTTTCCTCTATAAAAGTATCAGGTTTATTCTAATTATCTTTAATATAAAGTGTTAACTGAAATTGTAGAAGTGCACAAGATTACACTACTCAAGTTTCTAATAATGGGAACACTCATTCCTCATTTACTCATTTCTAATGCAGTTTATACAACTGAAAGTAAAGCGAGTTATTTTGCTTTCAGTTGTACAAGCTGTAAATTAGAAATTCATGGCAACACAGGAAAAGCTTTGCATGCAAAGAGCTCTGTTAACCGATGTTATTTTAAAATATTAATTAGCTTTCAACATTAAAATGTTTAATAACATTAAAAACGGTCCCCTTAAAGGGACTTGAACAAAGCATTACTTTTGAAGGGCCACTTCTGAGCAGGGGTTAAAGCAACTTTGATCTGCCTTTTATACAGCACTAGTGCTAATAATCAGTGCTGCACTTGGCAAATGGCTTCCAGTGTAAATCATTTTGCTATAACACTTCTCACACTCGATTTATACTTTTTACTTGCAAAACTGCAGTTACTATGCATTAGGCTTACTACTAAATCTACCTTATGGATTATTACTCCGGGAAAAGACAGTGTGAGACACTGGGGTCAATGACAAAAACGTACAAGAGAAATAACTTACAATCTGGCATAAAAGTCACAGAATTCTTTATATACTTTTATATCACTCCGTCTTCTCTGTGATTTAGACACAGCTTTCTGATCTTCACCGTTTTCCACTGGGCCTCCATTCATGATGGTGTGATGGACTTCTTCGGTCTCAGGAATTATGTAAGGCATTGTTCTTTCTTGAGGATTCATCATATACGGTTAAAATACCTTTAAAGATTGATGCTCTCCGATGCTGAAGGCAGTCCAAACAGACACAATATGCTGTGGGATCTCAGAGGGCTTTCTGATTACAGTAACAAGTTATCCCAAAGCAGTCTAAACTTTTCCAACCCTCAGAGGAGTCAGCGTAACCTTCGCCAGCTCTGTTAGTTTCAAATTAAAAGTTCAGCTGCAGCAGGATCAGGATGACACTGGGTGATATATGGGAAGCAACACTGATAGGTCTGGTTCAGCTGATTTAACATCTCTATGGCAAAATGACTGATATCCATTCACCATTCGTTTAGAAGACTTAACTGTTTTTATTCATCAGTTTATAGAAACGCAGTAATAAACTCAGATTTCATTCACATTGCATACTAACCCTTTCGGGCTTACAGAAATAATTCTATAAAAGTTGTATTTATACAATAAACTTAGAAATGCCTTACATTTCCATCAGAGTTTCCAAAACCTTTATATTATACAGCATTGGATATATTGTGCACAAATATTTCCTGCAGATGCTTTCCGTATGGACAGAGATTATGCTTTTTGAAAGTCACAGGAAACCCTCTGGCTGAACAGATTGTTTATCATTCTGTTTGTACAGTGAGGATGACACATTAATTTGAGATCAATGACAGGTAGAATACTGCAAAATCCTGGAAGATTTGTACCACAGGTCCCCAAACAAGAATCATTCCGGTAGCTCAGTTACATTTACGCAAAGCAAAAGTAATCTTCCATTCAAGGCATTGGAATTTTTCTTAAACATATATTGCATAGAACCTTGAAGGTTACTGCAATAACAAATATACTGGAAGGAAAGTGGAGTCACAAGATCAGATTTCTACATTTAAAAGGATTTAGAAATCCTGCCATTTATAAACGCGTTTGGCACTCCTAAAGGAAACATTTAAATTTAAAACAAGCTTTTAGTAATTATAAAGGTTAAGATAATTTTGAAATAAATATTGCCATTTGGAGGCTCTATACGCATCCAAATGTTGCGTACACATTCAGTGTAGGACTTTTATACAGTAAAAGACACCAGCTGTGGTGCCTTCTGAATATTTTCTCTCATTCCACGAATAGACGCTGATGATAGTCACTTCTCCAAACTAGTTGCTTGACGACAACAGCTGCTTAATAGCAGTCTAGCATAAATACTCCCAACTCTTCGTCTGATTTACACAGAAGGATGGGGCATCAAGATTACATTAACTGAATAAAATTACTGTACAGTATTAACCTCCATAAAGATTAGTTACTATGGTGCTGTTTTTAGTGAACATTTTCTCTTTCCAATATCTATTGACAATCTCTGCATTGTTAAATTGAGAAATAGTTTCTTATGTCGCCTCTGGTTAGTTATTCCCTGCAATGTATCTTCCCTAATTTTCTCTCCTATCCTGAATGCATTCTCAACTCCTATTTTCCTTCTACTGGGTAGTTGGTGGGTGCTCTCTGGTACCTCTCCTATACTGTCATTATGTTTATGCACAAAGCTGAGACAGAGAGAATATCAGAGCCAAACCCCACTGCAATCCTCACTGACGTCCACACAAATGCACCTTTGTGAGTCTCTGGATAGCAGTCAGGAGCTGAATTTTTCCTAACCTAGGGACACTTTGTACCACAATGACTGATGTTCCAGCTGAGATCAGCTAACTAGGCACAGTTATATTTGACTCCAGCCTTTCGGTTTGCGTGGTCTAGTGTTGCACCATATAAAGTACCTTAACATATTTATATTTAAGGACATAATTGTACAATCACCACCAACATTGTATGGGAGAGTTTTTTTTTAAATCAGTAAAAAATCAGTACATGGTATGCCCTATCATAAACAGAGTTTGAAGCAGAATCCATAATAGCTTTAAAAAAAGGAAATTAACCAATTGTTTGGAAAGGAACACGATAAAATTAACTTGGGAATAAGGCAGGGGAGCAGGACTAAATGGATAGTTCTTTCAGGAAGATAACATATACACAAAGGACCAAATGGCCTCCTTCAGCAAAGTAAAACTTTCTGATTCTAGGATTCCTGAGGAATGTAAACTACGCTGACACATTTAACACAAAGCTATTACTGGACTTCAACTTATTCATCGTTCTTCTGTAAAGATCCATCTAATTTTATCTGCACGGTACTATATTTGCTTGCAGCAACTGTCAACACTTCAGCCAGCCATCGACTTGGATAGATGTACGACTTAGGTGATTATACGATTTATACAGATCAGATTTATGTGAGTTTTACTGTATAATCCCAGGGGGACTTGAAAAAGCTTCTGTACAGGAAACATTTCTCACAAAAATACTGGATCACTGTAGCTCAAAAAACAAGTCCTTTAATTTCAATTTGTATCTGTCGGGTTCGTCTGAAACATCACAGGAATGAGTTTGGAAAACTCAGACAACTTTTCTTCCAGCAACCCCTCCACCCCTTCACTCTTTTGCAAATTAACTAAACTTAAAAAAAAAGCGAAAAATCATAAAAAGCATTCAGTGGAAAATGTAGACAGAAACAACCAACGGCACAATAAAATGTGAATCATCTGTCACAAAGGAGTGGAATCCTCATGGGACTATTAAAATTCATGGCAAAATCAATGACAACTTTAAACACATGTTTGACTGACCTCTGCAGATAAAGACAGCTTCTTATGCTTGGAATGGTTACTGTGGGGAGGAACACAAGGGGCGGGGGATAATCATTCTCAGTTGCGGTTTTAGAATCATGGTGCCTGAAAACTTTCCTCTTCAACTGTGCTTATGGCCAACTCCCCCTCTCCCTGGCTTGGGAGTCAGGCGCCACCCCCCCCCCCCCCAACTGTTAAACGCTCTGAGACGCTACCCTGTATGGAGGGCGCTGTAGTGCAAATTGTTGTTGGTGCGTTCATCATTAATCCTGACAGTTATCCAAAAGTAGCCGTTCACTGAATTTGGAACAATTACTTGGCTAATTTAAACTCTGGAACTCTCTCCCTCAATCCCTCTGCCTTGCCCTCTCCTTCCCGACTTTCAATCCCGCCTAAAGACTATCCCACTTATATAATGCCCTCCATGCAGGGTAGCGTCTCAGAGCGCTTAACAGTGACGGAGCCTGACTTCGAGCCGGGGGGGAGGGGTCTGCTCAGGCAATAACACCAGCACCTGGGAAGTACTGAATTTGCAGAAGTGCCACCTTATGGGTGAGACGTCAAACCAAGGTTCTGTCTGACTGTTCAGGCGAACATTAAAAGATCCCGTACCTTTATTCAAAAAAGAGAATCTTCCTTGCATCCTGAGACGCTACCCTGTCCTGGCCAACATTCATTCAGATTATCTGTCAGAGCCATTTGTGGGACCTTGATGTACACAAAATAGCTCTCAAGTTTGTCTACAATAGAGTCACTACACTTCATAATGATTACTGTAAAGTTCTTTGAAATGTCGAAGTAATGTCTCAAGAAACTTTACAGCCCGTTGAATAGAACTATAATATCCTTGAATCACAGTTCAAATGGAAGTTTGTTCTATTGCAGACATATTGTAGGACAGATGCACACCTGGCAAGTCAATGTACATCTCATCTAAAGACAATTCTCATTTCCATAACCTCATGTTACAAAATGCTCCTCTCAGAATCAAGAAAATGTGGAAGTTGAAATACACTGACATCTCAAAGTTTCAATATTGTTTGAAAAAGAAATTCAACCAGAATGTTAGACAATGCTACGATAAAACTGGTCATCAGTGGTGTAGGAACAAGGAATGATAAAGTTTTTTAAAAAAAAAAGTCTACATATTTGCGTCAATCAGGAAGACTATGGGAGTGCAGGACGAGAGTTTCAGGCAGGTGCTAGACAAAACTGCTGATAACAAGCCCTGCTTGTTGCCTAAATAAGCACCCATTGAATGAATACTTCCCTTAGGGGCAGGAAGGGTCGGGGGGGAGGGGGGGAGGGAAAGCAGAAAATGGCAAGATTCAATATAACAACAAATTGCATTTATATAGCACCTCTCATGTCAGGAGGATGTCCCAAGTCATTGGTTTGCATCCGAACTACGAGCTGATGTTGAGGTGGGTGTTGATTGGAAGATGACCAAAGGTGCAGTCAAAAAGGAAGGTCTTGAGACAAGCCTTGAAGGAGGCAGGAGAGGGGGCAAGGCGGAGGGGCTCCGGAATGGAGTTCCAGAGGGTGGAGGCAGAAAAGCTAAAGGCCCAACTTTCGATGGTGGGGCAGGCAGGGTGAGTGACGTGAGGCAGGCCAGTACCCTCCGAGTGGAGGGAGTAGACAGGTTAGTAGGGTTTTAGGAGGTCACAGAGATAGGGCAGAGCAAGATTGTGGAGGGCTTTAAAGGTGAGGACAAGCATTTTAAACTCGATCCTCTGGGGTATGGGGAATCCAACACAAGGTAACCGCCAGTTAGTTCTATAAAATTAATGATTTAGAGAGATGACTCACATGGAGAAAATCATCAATGCAGATTTAAAAGGCTGAACGACCCGTTTAAATTCTGTTAATAATTATATGTAAAATGAGATCACAGAACAATCTAGCTCTGCTATCTCCTCAATCTGGTCCTTGATCCAAAGCCACTTATTTGTCAATCGATTTTTAAAACTGTAATCTCTGCACAATTTGACAGCTGATTGGATTACTTCAGAATCCTCTACAACACCAAAGATAGTCATATAAAAATATACGACAGATTGTGTTTTTATATGGGTTTTCCATATGCATATGGAAAGCATATTAAGCAGAGTAGTTGTGTATAGACTAACGAATAGAATTCCTCTATCTGAGATATAATGGATTTTTGGGGGGAACAAAAAGATTTGGGTGGGGAGTTTCTCAGGACTGGTCAGACTAAAAGCAAGCAAACATGGTTCCTGTGCTCAAGAAAGGTGTCAGAACAATACCCGGCAACGACAGGCCCATTAGCCTGACCTCAATAATTGGAAAACTATTGAGTTTCCCAACAGTTTAAGAATTATGACTCAATTACAATCGACTCAACAATCAAAGGAAAGTTAGAGGTGTCCTAATGCACATTTTATAATCTCTCCATTTCTGGTCTCAAATATCAAATAGTTTTTTTGCAAACACTGGAGCATTACCAGACCCCAACTGGCACAAGGAAGATCCTGACATTAATGGATTTTAAATAACAATAGTGAGAATAACCAATTGC